ATAAGTAAATCAACATATGGCAAAGTCTTTGGTATGTCAGGATCAGATTCAATGTACAGTGAAACTGTTGATTAAAATACTCCAGGCCCATATGGGTTAAATTTAACTCTAATTTTTACCTATTATCCAGACCCAACTATTCCTTCACTAGGTTCTATAGTAAATATTTTATCAATTTTCAATGGTGAAGTATCAATACGCCATTTTACATCCTTTCTATCTGGATTTGATAATTTTATCTCTTCTACTGTAGGGTAACATTTATCAGGAGATGTGATGATCTTTTTTTTAAATTCAATTGATTGTGGTTCAACTAAAAATTTAGGTTTCAGGCCTTTGCAAGATACTCTTCTAGTTAAGGAGGCTAAATTCTGATTAAATCTTGCTAAAGTGATTGGCATATCAAATTGATAATGCTTTACATCTTTAGGAGAAAATTTCATCAAGAAAACTTATGTTCTACCAGGCAATATAGTTAAATTATAGGATCTATACTCCTTAGTTTCCAAATCAATTTATTCAGATTTTTCAGATTGATTGTCCAATGACTCATCTAATTTTGGGGCTGGTTCATCCTCATTCTCTGGGTGAATTGAATGCAAGATTGTATCATCTTCATCCTATGGTTTTACTTCTAAACAATCGATTCCATCAGGTGCTCTAGGATTCTCATTCTAATGTCTCAAATCCAAGACTAAATCAACTGGTATAGTGGAATTATTGACCAAGGTCATTGTCAATTAATTACTTGTTCCCAAAGTAGTTATATTTCCAAAATCAAACTCTTCTTCCACAATTTCTATTTTTGGTATTATAGCTGACCCAACAACAGGCACTTGTAGTTACTTTCCTCCTCTAATTAAGATTATAATATCTCCTTTAATTATTCTTTCATCTTTAGAAAGGAATTTAACTTATAAATCTCTGGAGTCTTCTGAACTTATTTTTCCTTTTATGGGATAAACTTCAATTCCTTCTGGAAGCTTAGTTGTTTGAACCTAAAAAACTGCAGAACTTTTAGATAGATTCTTTAGAGTTAACACCTTAGCTTCTTACTTACAAACAACTATTTCCTTGAAATCTATAACAGCTTATTTGATAGCACATTTAGGTTCTGAAACAACTCCCGTGCATTTAATGTTCTAATCCAACCCATCTTCTGTTTTTAATAATAATTTTTCTTCCTCGTTTCTAATAGTGGCAACAGTTGCTTATTATTAAGGTATTATTGATTGTTATTATTATTACTATTATTACTATTATTATTATTATTATTATTATTATTAACCTTAAGTATTTTTGTCTGTTTATTGTTATTGCTATGAGGTGACTGGTTATTTAACTTCAGGTAGAGGCTACAACTAACTTGGTTTGTAAATCACTTAACATTCCAAATATTTACCACTCGGTACAACTCCTGATTCAGGTTAGACATAAAAAATCTTTTTTTCAGTTGTTATCCATCTAAATTTAGCTTCTGCATTTCCATTATTTGTTAATCGAACAATTTCAGCAGTTTCCATTTCATTGTTATCTTCATTAAAACCAAATTTGATTTGAGTTCTATTCATCTCTAGGAACACTCTCTCAATATTTGCTTAGACAAGAAATTCAAAAATATGATTCTCATTTATTACATATTTTAGATGTGTTTTAATCTATCCTAATTATTTTGAACAAAGAATGACATCAAATTATGCAGTCTAACCACTAGGAATGATTTATGGTTTAATGTATGATTAATTGAAATCTTCTTTGTCAGTATGTAATCTTACACTAATAGAATTTCTGAGATCATTTCTCACATAAAAGTATTTAATTACAGTACTTTTAATGTAAACATTTCCAAATTCTATTTTAACAGGCCCAGCTTATATTTTTTGTAATTAATCAGCATTTAATTCAGCACTTGTATCCCTAATTTCACTATGTGTTTTAGGTTCAAAAGGGAATTTTTTTTTTTATATATTCCTTAGATCCGGTTCAAAAGGCTTAAGCTGTTTTCCTTCCTTTAATTAATTCTAATGAAGTGGTTCATAATGAAAGATTGGTTTAGTCACGAATAGAGTTTCATTAGCTTCTGGTAATGGTAATTCTTATTCGTATCCATCATCTTGCATTCCAACGGCAAATTCATAATCAATAGGTGGTTCTGGTTTAGGTTCTTCTTCTTGTTCTTGTTTTTTCGTGGCTCCCGAGGGCTTAACAGGTTCTTATTTGATTTCCTTCAAACGTTCATTCATCTAAGTAAATTTCTGTTTTATCTTCTTATCCTTAACCTTCTTAAGCCTTTATTCCCTATGCATTTTTAAATATTCATTATATATTTCTTTATTTAATGACTTTTGCTTTAACTCTTCAATTTTGTCTAATGAAATTCCTTGTTGAACAAGAGACTAAACTGATTGTGAAATATCCAAAGTTTAAACCTTCTCAATTGATTTAATATTGCTTATGCTTTATTCTTTAGTTATAGTGTGCTTCATTTCAAAATCTTCAGGGAGTGATTCAGGTCCCCTTTTAACTTATTGTTTATTTGTAAACTATTAACTCACTCCTGCTAATCTAACTGGAATTTTGAAGATTCCTCCAAGCAATTCAGCATTAATAACAGTTGTGAAGTTTCCAGTGTGCTTAGGTTTGAAACTAACCCAAAAGTTTTATTTTTCTTCTGGTTACAAAATTGACAAAGTTGGATTAACTTAGAAATAAGGAACTACAGGCCAATGAATTTGTATTGGCAGATCCGTCTATTTATTAGTAACTTCGAAAACAATCTCTTTGTTTTAGTTGGCAGGACACAATCCAAATTATAAAATTGGAGTTGGTGGAAATTTGATTGTAGGACAAATACATCTCACCTGCAAATGATTCATCAATGGTTCATTATCTTAAAAATCAAAAATTGCCGAATAATGATATTCATCATAATCTGGTTTCAATTGTTCAGGAGACAATGCAAAAGATCTCGTCCATACTTATTGTTCTTCTGAAACTTTAGGTTTACATTTAAAAACTATTGCAACTTATGAATAACTTTCCAAAACCCCTTCCTCTGGATAACATTCCATAATTCTTTCTGTCTATTCAAGACCCAATTCAGCAGGAGTCTACAATTTAAGAGCATCTTCTTATTAATGCAAACCCTTCTTCAATTTCACCTTAAACTTTTGTTACTTGGGAGTGTTATTTACTAAATATGTTTCAATCTGCTTGAATTATCCATAGTAAATCTAACCAAAATCAAAGAAATTGTTTTGAACTCCAGTGTCGTCAATCAAAAAACGAGTAAATTCTATTGACGTTGCATTAATGTCTATAGTTTTCTGGAGACTTTAACCATCTGCAATTACTTCTACTAAACCTCTGAAAATACCAGCATCTTTAGGTTTATAAAATACCTTAACCGCAAATTCTTGTCCTGCTCCTAAACTAAATGAAGTCGGCTCTATTCTGAAATCAGGCAAACGATCAATTTTTAGTTCTACTTTACCTGTCGATCGCCCTTCATTCTTAAAGTAAATATTATCTACTTTCTCCTTTCCTACACGGACAAATCCCAAATTTATAAATGGCTCAAAAACTATGCTATAATGAATTAAATGTTAAAAATACGCAGCTTGAGGAGGGAAGGCAAAAAGAGGCACATCAATAGTATAGTTACCATCTGACACAATTTTCAAACTGTCTTAATACTACTCTAAACTGGCTGTTTCAAATGTTACTATCAGTTTCATTGAAAGTCCAGCTGCTATGGCACTATAAATCTACATAATAAACACATACCCCTGCATTTCATAATCGCATCTGAAGTTAGAATGAGGTTGAAATACACGAATTCTTCGAGCAGTCTATGTTAAGTTTCTCACAAACACAGTAATTTCATAAGTCTAATTAATCTATATGTCTTTAAATATGATCTCGCTTGGCACTACTTCAATAGGCGGACCTGTTGAAAGTTATTTAATACGAGTCATCGTACTGTTGAGACTTTTGTTGCTCTAATTCATTATTAATAATAATAATGTGTATATTCTAAGAATGTGGATAAAAGAAAACCAACTACAAATCATTTTCTAGTTTCACAACCAAGAGTAAAATTAAGATTCCTCCTTTACCAATTAGTAAGTAGTCTATAATAAAATAGCATAGGAATTATAAGAAAAATATTGTTTATTATAAGTATCCTTTCTCGAATTAATATTAATTGAAGATGAAAATTTCTTTAGAAATGGATAATAGATTTCAATTTTTGAATTAGTTCTTAGATAACTTTAAATACTATGTTTGAGAATGCTAAATAAAAATAATAACTGAAGGAAAAATGTAAACTATTCGGTACTTTATAATTTTCATTTATAAAGTATTTCATTAATATCAAGAATTAAATTTTAAGTTAACATCCATAATCTATTACAATGGTTATTGATAAAAAAATTATAATATACTATCATTAACTATACTTTCCTTTTGTTATCAGGTTATTTATAAAGTCCACATAGGATATTTAAATAAATGGTTTTGATAAAATTTGGAAATTTATAAATTATAATTTTAACAAAATAAAATCTAAAATATTATGCTATTATTTTTTATGATTGATTATTTAAAATATATTGTACCATCATGGATTCAAAAAGTTATTCAAGAAATTTATAATATAAAGATTTTTCATATGGATCCTGGGCACTAAATAGTCCAAGAAATAGCTAAACTATGCATCTATGATTCAATCTGTAATAAAATTATTGCTAAAATATTGATTTAAATTGATTTATCTTATTATAATGTTTACAAAATTATACTTCCAGTGAATTATAAAATGATAATATAATTAAACATTTATTTAATTTCTAATTGTGGGAATACTAACATTTATGGAAATTCCTGGGAAACAATTTAGATGTCAAATGTTTGATTATATGCTTCATCATTAATATGACTTATGAGTGATGCATTAAATTAGTAAAAATATATAAAATAGAATTAAGCTTTTATATTCATTATTTAGTTCTAAATGATAACTGAAATAGATTTCCAACTTCTTATTCTTTATAAGAATTAATTTTTAAAGGATAATAGATGTCAGAGATTTTGTCTTATTGTTTAACACTTTTCTCGCTGGTGTTTAAAGTATTTCTATGGGAATGTTGTTATTAAAATCCTTAATAGTCATCATTATTGAGCTTAAATCTATAGCTGTTTTATGGAGATTGTCGATGTTGGTTATTCTAAGTGTTTGAAAATTCTAGTTTAAAAGTAAATTAAGGTGTGATGTCATTGAGATTTCTAGTTTTCTAAGAGGATCTATCATTTTATTTATGCTAAGTCTGGGTTTATGGAGTTTATTTAGTAAATAGTTTATAGATCTTCTAAATTATTTATAAATATAATTTTACTTATTGTATTAGTTATTGTGATTGTTGCTAATTAGTAAAGGAGTGTTAGGACTTTTAGGACTCACTCATTTAGAAATGGGGTTTTGATTTAAATTTGAGGGAATCGATTGTTTTGATTTGTTTTTTGTTATTTTTAAAATAGTATTAATTTTATTATTATTGACCATAGAACTCTTAACTTAACTATCTATAAAATTCATCGTCATTATTAATTTTTAATTTATTTTCAGTAGGTTAAAATTAATAAGAATCATCTTTTTCTAGCATAAAGCTCACAAATCCATTTTAGTTCATTAAAATTAAATATTATTATTATATATATATTAAACTCATCATTACTCATTAAGAATAGACAAATGTTTAACCTATTATTATTTAAGCAACATTTCTAATTAGTTAATTTAATCAAATGTCTTAGCATTCTCTAACAACTTTTTGATGTGTTCTTTATCTAGAGTAGCATCTTTCAAATTAATCAAATTCATATAATCAGTCAACTCATCAGGTTTGAAGGATTCCTCAGCTTTTTGTCTTTCCTAATTTTGAATTTAATAATTTAATTACTGATTGAGTAACTTTATTGAAATCAAGAATTTTTAAATTAGGTAAAATTGCAATTACTTTATATCTATAATCAGGTTATTAAGTGATAAGATTTCCATGTAAGATCAATCTTTTGAGTTTTTTGCAATGCTTCAATTGATACAATTCGTTGATATCAGTTAATCTATTATTCATTAAGATTAAATTTTCAATATTGGGCAGTGAATCAGATACATCCGTCAATTTAGTAATTCTATTGTTCGATAAGTTTAAAGTCTTAAGTCTTAGGATAATCTAATACAGTATACCTTTTTAAAAGGGTAAGATTTCCTAGCTTTTTGATATCATTATCCCCTAAATCAATGTGATCAAAAAAATCCTACATAAAAGAATCTTGATACCAATGTAGCTCCTAAATTTTCTATGGCTGTAATTTTCTTTGCTAAGATATTTAAATATATAGACTAATACCTCGTAGATCAAGCTGTCTTTCATTTAATGGATTAATAAAATGATGTGATCCCTGTATTAATTCAGAGTTAATTTTCATTAATATATTTATATAATTTAATCATCCTGTAAATCGAAAACAAAAAAAGCAAAATGTCGATTAGATGCCTCTAACATCCACTTGCCAAGCATATTAAAAGTCACACTGAGGACAATTGCCAAATGACCCTTAAAACAAGAATTTTTCAACTATTTGCATTCGAATTAAAAATGAATGCGCAACATCGCTCTATCTCATTGTTGACTATATATGCTCCATAATAAAATTATTTTAATGATCCTATTTTAATGCAACATTTTACTCCTAATTTACGTGTGCAAATAAATGGACATACACTTCCCATGCAATAATTTGATTTATGAATGTCTTAAAATAATTGTTCCACTTTTTCATGACAATCTTGGCATTCAACTAGTTATTCACAACCTTTTTAATATAAATAAATCAATACACTTTCGATAATGATTCTAAACAAAATCTGGATACTTAACTATCTATTTGCAATTATCATTTGGGCATTTTATACTTAAATTCTTTATTAACACTTATGCTCTCAAACTATTTGGAGGAGCTGACAATAATTCTTATTTACAAATTGGACACACCTATCTCACATCTTCTATATTTCTAATATTATAATAGCAATCCTTGCAAATTTCGTGTCCTTATAAACAAACTATTATTGGAATTTAATTAAATTCTCTACAAACAGGACATATTAATTCCTGTTTTTAGATTTCTTCATGAAGTTCTTTTTGCGATTCCAAATTGATTAGAGTGTCAAATTTTAGTAATTTTGAATAGTAATTAATTTTTGCAATCTCTTCTATCTCTTTTACTATACATTGTCCGCATGTATAGGGTTGTTCTAAATTACAGCGTTTACATGTATTCGGCAATGTTAAATATTTTAAGAGTTCTTTTAAATCTATTTGCTATTTGCATGAATCGATTGGACACTTAATTTAAAATTTGGATTTCTTAGATTAAATAGTATTGCTTAAGATCTACTTTAAACAATTTTAACATAGATGATGATCGCATTCTATTGATAAATGAAATATGAACTTCCTAATTAATATTGTGGGTCCATGGCATCACATTAAGCACACTATTTAGTCTATTTAATTTTATGCATTATTAATAATTAATTAATATTAATAAATTCCTTTCATGTTTTTAAAGTATTATCCTGACCTTATTGTAGTTTTGGTCGATTCTTTGGATTTGGATCCTAATCTAAATTTGACATTTTGCTAAAACAAGATAATTTAACCTTAGAAACCATATTGAATGAGGAAGACATATTGTCTGAATTAAAAAATTCAAGCTCAGGCAAGTTTGCTGATTTGTAAGTTTAAATTTTGACTACATTCTAGCATAATACAGCATCCTAAGGAATACTATAAAATGATTTATTACATTAATAAAGATGTAACTGATCAGGAGTATAATTCTAAATATCCATTTTTGATAAGTGAAATATTAGGTTCAGAAAATGATAAATTGATTAATTTTCTATTTGAAAAACAAGAGGACACACCTTAAGAAGAAGTTTAAAATCCTTTAGAAGATCAGCTAGCACTGAGTTAATTCTAAGAGGAACATTAAGAAAACGAAAAACTAAGATAGAATTTACTACCTGATCTACTTTCTCTATTAGAAAATGATTTCCTCTTAATCACATTAGCTGGATATTTTACCAAGATTATTTCAGCAATTATTCATAAAAGAGGAGATGATGTATTTCTATTAATAAATTAAGTTTTGGGAATACTTAAAAAATCACCCACGAATAATCTCAAATCTATTCAAACATTTAAGCATAAGACAAATTACTGAAATATTTGAAAAGTTGATTATTTTAGATAAAGGTTATGAAGAACATCATGAAGGCTTTTATATAGAAGAGAGACAAAATTTAATAGCCAGAATGCTCAAATTCCTCAAAGGAGAATCACATTCAAATACAATTATTACAAACATTTGTGAATCCCTTATTGAAGTATACAAAAGAGCATTGATATCTCTTGAATCTATGGTAGTTTTGAGAGAAATTCTATTAAAAATTGAAAAACCGCTATTCTTTATGAGTTTGGCACTGCAAACTTAAAATAGTTCCATATATAGTTTACTCAACATTCAATTTGAATTTTATAACAAAATGTCTTAGCTATAAGATAAACCATACGAAATAGAACTTTCTGTTCTTTATAAACCAATTTTAGATGAATCACTCAAGGCTCTAACTTAATAGGACATCTTTAAAGTATCTTTTTAAACTACTTCTGGAAATATAATTAGACCATTAGGCGATTCAAAATTGTTATTAATATAATTGATTATATAATTAATTTAGAAAAAAGAATTAGCTCTGGTAATTGAAAATGGAGAAATATTTTAACAAATAATTAATTTAGTATTTGAATATCAAACAAACAATTAATTACATGTTTTATTTGAAAAATTGATTGTTGCCATTTTAGATTCATAAAATGATCATTTGCATGAACTATTTTTTGAAGATACCAATTTTCTGAATTTACTAATAAAGATTAATGGGTCTGAAGAAAGAAAAAAGAAACATGGATTTTAAGGTATATTAACCAAAATAACTAATTATATTAATACTCCAAGTGTCCTTTAAAAATGTTAAGTAGTATAAACTGCAATTGATAGCATCTAAAATGAATGGTTAAAATATCTTGAAGAATTATAAGTAGTTAATGAAGTTGAATAATCGTGGTTATTAGGAGTTAATCCAAGATTCAGAGAACAAATAAATGTAGATCCTTATAGTCCCCCTATTTTCTGGCCTAATAATCTATCCTCTTATTAAAACAATTCCACAGATAATTCTAATTCATAAACAAATGAAAATCAAGAAGAAACTTAAGTAGAAACTAATAATACCAGTGAAAAACAAGAAATTGATCAAAATGCAGATGAATTTGATTCAGAAGAAGCTTAAATTGAAAAATAATCACCTATTGAGGTTGTACAAGTGAAAGAAGAGAATATTGAATCTTTGGATGAGTAATAGCCTGAAAAGTATGAATAAAAGATAGTTGATTCTCCAGTCTATGTTGTTAGTGATGAATAAATAAAGGAGAATCCTGTATAAATAGCAGAGTTTTAGGAGGAGCCAAATTAATCAGTATAAGAAGAACAAGATATTGTCTAACAAGAAGAATAACTAAATGATTAGAATTAAAATTAATAGAATTAACTGCAAGAGTAGCCAAAATAGGAAGAATAATCTAATACACAAGAATAACCAAAACAAGATGAACAATAAGATTTGCTTCAAGAGTAACCAAAGAAGGAAGGGTAATAATAACCTTAAGTTGAATAAGAACCATAGGTAGATAATAATGCAATTTAAGAATAACAGGAGCAGGATTAATAACTTAAAGATAATGTTTGATATAATATTATTATTAATATTATATAGATACATCTATCAAGATACTTAAGATTTAATTTATTCCTTGAATTCTTTTTATTTTAGTATGATCTTTATTTAACAACATTGAATCATCTTTTTGCAAATTCCCTAATAATGATAATTAAAATTGAAGAAATAGTAAATGAATAATAAGAATTTTCTCTTAAAAGTAATTAGCTATCTATTGATAAAATAACTTTATCAAATAATATATATTTAATCATTATTCTGTCTTTTAAGTTCTTTTCTTTTTTATCAGTTTGTTTTACTTTAAATGTTTAGTTCTGAGAGCTGCTGCCTTTCTTGCTTCGTTCATAATGGCAAGATATCTTTGTTTAAGTTCTGATTAATATTGATTAAAAAGCCTTGACCATTCACTCTAAGTTAATCTCAATTTTAATTTTGGTTTTATGTCAGAACACATATTTTCCGCTAATTTTAGTATCAAATTTGGAAATGGTTACTAATCTTATGGTAATTAACGAATTTTATTAAAAATTATTTCTTTAAAGACTACTGAGTTTTATCCATTTCTTCTTCTTGAAAATTCCCTTTTTTGTAAAATGTATTTGATTTCTTAATCATCCTTAGCCTTCAATTATTTAATTTCAGGTCCATCAGCTTTAAATCTAATCATTAATTTCCCTCTATCTGTATTTATCTATTGCTTATGAGTTTCTTTATAATCATTTATTTTTGTATAAAACTTAATTAATAAATAGATAGATTACTTCTCTCATTTATAGGGTATATTCTCTTCTAATTTTTTGGAGATGTTCTTTTAGAATTTCATATTTGACCACTAATTCTTCCATGAATACTTTTTCATGAACTTACAATTATATCATCATTTGATAATCAAATCTTATCTTAGCTGCTACACTAAGTGCAATGTTATCGATGTATTTAGTATATGGTAGTAGGACTCTTCCTAAAATTTTAGGATCTATATCTTTAATGTCTTCATCTATTTATACAAAGGTCTTGACTTTTTTTAATAAATTTGTCCTCAATTCAGTTGCTTTAAATACTGGATTGAGTTTAAACTTTAGATCATTCCAATTTTATGATTTTTAAGGTGCAATCAGTCTTTATAAAATATGATGCTACTTTTCCAGGAGATGTGGTAATTCATGCAATTTTAATTCTTCTCTATCTTTTTCGGTCATTTGACCTTTAAAACTTTGTTTTAAATACTCATCCCATTTATAATTAAGATAACTTAATTGCACTTGGAAGTTATGATTGTACCATTTCCAAAATCGTTAAATTGTTAATGTTTTGGCTGTGATAGTCTTTAAATTGACTCTAAATTTAACAAATAAGGAGCTTCTCAAATGATATAAGTTGATTTTTCTGATATAAGTATATTTAGATTTAATTCTAAAATGAATTTTGAATCTAAATATAAATGATAATAAAATTTTCTTTTATCTTAACCCTAGTTTCGATTTAATTTTTTTGATGATATTCCTTTTTCTGATTGTATTTTGAATGATTCTAGCTTTCATATGTTCTTTAAACATTAATCGTTTCAATTCTAAACCTCTTTGAGAAGTATCCTACATCATTTGAAAGATATTTTCCATATTAAAATAAGTCAAAATCATCCTAAAAAATTACATGTTTTGTTGTTATCTAATAATTTCTAGTCTCTTTTTGTATCTAAATTCTGGGGATTTCTCTTGGATTTATTGTTGGATGTGATGGATCTTCTCTACAAAGTTATCTTACTTTTTTTATTGAACAATTCTTAATTTCATCTCTCTTTCATAGGCTTAAGTTTAAATGGCTTTAATGATGTCTTCTTTGTTTTGAATGGGAACCTTTTTTAACTGCATTTTATCAGTAATTTCCTTATTGAGTTCTTCTCTTAATTTTTATTTCTTCAAAAAGATTTCTTTTCTCTTTTATGATAATTGTTTGAGATCTCTTTTGACATTATGAAGGAAATAGGGATCAAACTGATCAAATTTATCGTGATACTTCTTCTTATCACTTTGATTGAGATCATCGCTTTTATTTTTGGAAGACTTCGAATGAGTTTATAAATTATTCTGGTTTTCAAATGATTGCTTATTGTTATCGTTTAACAGAGTCTTCATAAATTTAGATTCATCCTAAGACTTAACCATTAGGATGTATTAATACTTCAAAACATCATTTTCATGACTTAACAGTTAATCTATGTCTTTGTGCTATTCCCAAGTTTGTGATGTTGGAGTTGAAGTATTGCACACAGGTATGTATAGGTAATTTTGATATTCTAATTATTTTAATTTGGATTACACATCATCATAGTCCTAATTTACTTGAGTATGATAATTAATGATATCAGTGTCCAATCGTAAAGATTTCGTATTCCATTTATTCTTCGATGCACCCTTGAGAGAATCAACTTGGCTCTTCATCTTCCTTAATAACCCAGCAGTTTACTCATATTACGTGTTTTTCAAGGGGGATTCTACGGTATCACAAAATTATTGAATCGAAGTTTGCACTTAAATTTGATCAATCTTATTTTTTTTATCAGCAAAATCCTTCATAAAGGCAGCCTCCTCTTTGACTCTCCTCTATTAATGCGAGGTGTACTAATCAACATTCAAACTTGGCAATTTGTACTTCGAATTAGCCGGAACAATAAGAACAGTAAAAGTGCTACCCATAGCAGCGTCAATTACTTTTACATTCTTCAATTCTATCAATTAAGGATACCTGACTTTATCATCCAAATCCCCTAAACAGTTTTTAATATTTATTCCCCAACCAAACAATTAACCTGATAAATCCAATGCTCCAAAATGAGAATCCCCAGCCATTATCTTGATGAACGGTTTCTGTTTTTAGCATAGTTTGGCCGGTATAACAGCTTTGGATAAATCCATCTAAAAAGGACCTTTGCCCCACCCATAGATATCTCCCTTCACATCAAGTGCAATGCTATAATTGGTACCACATACACAAGATACTATTTTGGTTGAGAAATCCTCGATTAATTTTGGAACCAATTGTTCCTTCTAGATAAAATCCATATAACCTAACTTCCCATCTGCAAACTCTCCCCAACTCCACACCTTACCTTAATCATCCCAAGCCAGTACATGCTTCTAACCACAAGCAATTCCTATAAATTATACTGCAAATTGCTATTGCAAGCCCAAACAAAACAATTTATTTGGAGTCAAAAGATATGTGGTTGTGCCTACACATTTCAGTGCTACAACCTCAGCTTGGTGAACTGGCAAATGACTGGATCTTCTCTCCAATTCATTGTATCTATTGATCGAAAAATTATAAGTAATATCAAGACTGCTTATCTAATAAAAGGTGTCAATTTATTCGGTGAAGCCTTGTTTCTCTGAAAGTTTCAAGACTTCTCCGTAATTCAATTGATGCCAATTGCCCCAGACGTAGATCTTTTTGTTTGTCGAGTAGGCAACCACAAAGCCAGTTCCAGCATTTACTAATTTATAAGAATTTTGGGTTATTTGTGATATGTTGACAGGCATGCTAACAGAGGGCTGTTATAAACCTAATTAAGCGAATTGAGAATTTCCGAACCCCCAGAGATCGTATTAAGCTATTTTATATCATAAACGTACTATCTATCAGGAATGTATTTTATTCACAACATATGGCACTGATAAAACACAACTCCTGCTCTCCCTTTTTGGATGTTTTAGCAGGATCTCGAGAATATTTGTTCTGTGGGAACACAATCCTTTGCAATCTGAATAACCAATAAAAAATTACTTCTAATTGTCATTCATAATGGTCTACATCTATAAGGCAAAATCACCTACTCCAAAGTAAAGCACTAAATTACTCAATCAAAATACCATGAGTCATTATTTAACAAAAACTGAATTATAATTGCAATTTTATTTATAAATTTTGTCTTAATCAAGAAAGAATAGTCTTAAGAAATGTAATATTATACCAATTAACCCTAATTTCAACAACAATGTAGATTTGTCTAATCCTAACCTTGCTGATTGATAGGATCAATTGGTAGTAATTAAATTCATAAATCATCGTTACTTAATTAATGAAAAATAGTATCATATAAATTTAAAGAATGTATAAAATGATATATATGTCTTTCAAGCTATGATTATTATCAATGTTAGGAACAGAGTAAACGTGATTCCTATTCCAACATAAATATATGTTTGGGCATCTTAGAGCATTGGCTTAAATTTTGCTAGTTCTTCTAGTTCTTTTTTTGCATTGATTTCAAGTGTGTCATACAAGTTCTTACCGCTCTCTTGTATTTCTGGTGGATTGTAGCTATCACTTTCCTTAATTGCACTCGGAGGGTTCAATTTAGTTGTTTATGTGATTTGATTGGATGTTATGAAGTCCCTTCTGATTTCAGATTACTCATTGTCACTAGCCACTCCTTCATTACCATTTAAGTTGAAGTATTTTATCTCGAGGTTATCAATTTGCTTTTAGACATCTTATTTAACTCTTCTCTCCAAGTCATTTGGTTGAATGGCGTCATAATTTGGAATTTAAATAAAGGTCTTTTTCAAATCTTCCAAAGCCTCTATAACATTCTTCTTTGTTGTTGATGGAAAAGTCATCATCAGAAAGTAGCATGCTTTGAATATTAATTACATTTTACATTTTTTTTCATCTAATATTCCATGCCATTCGCATCTTTAATTTCCTTAAGCAAATACTTCAAATTTGGTAGTTTCTTACAATTGTTTCTTTAATTAATTTATAATAGATCCTTTGGTATCATCAAAGGATTTTGAGGTTCCTCTTTTTAAACAGAAAAGTGTCTTGTTGCCAACTACATTGTATATCATAAAGCATCTGTAGACTGATTGTTTTCTATACTACTCCTAAATCTTGGATTATTATGCAGGTTGTCTAATTGAATTAATTCTAAAGATTTTAATAATAGTAAATACTAAGGAGTGCTTACGAGGAACTAATTGCTAGTTGACCTCTATTATTCTTATTGGATTCCCTTTTCAGTTTCATCTGGTTGTCCTTCTGGTCCGATGTCTTTCACATATTGTTGTTCCAGTTCATCTAACTTGGCCAGGAGATCATTTTTTTTTGTAGGTGGAAAATTGGATTCATTCAACTAGGATTTGTAAAATACATTTGTACATTCTAGTAGTTGGGCACATAGAGGACGATTTGTTATAATTCGAGTAAGGATTGCAGAATGGCACTTTGATGTGATCCAGGGAAAGTCATCATTAAAAAATAACAGTCTTAACTTATATGATAAATTGTAAACTTGTCTTTTCGTCTAATATTCCATGCCATTCACATCTCGATCCACCAGGAATGTTTACTTAATTGCGTTGGGAATCGTAGAGATTTTATTTAACATATTCTTTAACTTTCAATATGGTTTCTGTAAATAGGTTGCCACAGTGACGTTTAATAGAAATTAACACTTATTGCTTATTGCAATCATAAACGACAAAGCATCTAAACACCCTCCCTTCATAATCTAAGGCTGATTTGGATTGCATACGTAGATCTAAATTATTTTTATTATTAATTTATATTTGTTATATTGTTTCATATCTTTTAATTCTATTTTGATAAAATCAAGCCTCTTCGAACTTTCCTTCGTGAGTGCAGTAATTTAATGTTATTATCAAAATACTCATTTGTTTATTAAACTAAAAAAGTTCTGAAAAAATGGAAAGCTATAATCATATTAAAATTGAAATGCTTGATTTTTATACAAAAAATATGTCAACTAATATATAAATCATGCTACCAAGTGCCTGCATAGCATTCTTTATTTTGATATTCAAATTGACCCTTCCCATGAGCTTAATCACATGAAAAAACTCCCATAAACTTAGAACCATCGGCAAAATAGAGAACTCCGATGCCATGCTTTTATCCATGTTTGACCTGTCCTTTGTATTGAATCCAATCCTTCCTTGCTAAATTCTTATATGATTTCTCCGACTCCTACTTTGGTTTATTAAAAAAGGTAACTTCACCGTCAGGGATATCAAAGACCCACATCCCCTCTGTTACCTTTTCGTTTTCAGAATCATAATAAGTGCCTTATCCATGTCTTCTTTTATTGCAAATTTATCCAATGTAATAGAAACCGCCTGAATATTGCAATTTCCCCTATGTGATAGCATTTTCAAAAGTGTTTCTTGTCTCCTAGGTTCTGCCATAGTCTTTGATCGAGGCCTGACTCATGTCTTGTTGCTTGTTTCTTTGTTACTCTGCCTATTAGTTTTTAGACAAATGTTAACTAGATCTAATCATAATTGGAGATGTAGCTTAGCCAGAAGGATGCTTTGATTAAAAGATATTCTAATGCAATAGATTGTCAAATGAGGAAGGCTTGTTATAACCATTAACAAAGAATTCTTAAGGTTGATGCTATTCTAATAGGCGATGCTTCTTTAGGTCCAGGAACAATTTATTGACCATTTCATCCAACTGTATGAAATCAGGTCTCTCACTTTCATCCAATTTTAGCATCAATTCAATCAAGTGTAATATTTATTCATTAAAATTGGTGGTTATGAGATCATCTTAAACCTTCCTCAATTGGAATTCATCTATTGTCCATCTCTTCCAATCATACACTTCTGGCTTCTTGGCTTGAATCAAATAGATGATCATCAATCCAAAATTGAAAACATCTGATTTATATCGATTGTGTTTCAGATACTAGAGTATTAATATAATATAGGCATTACTTTGTCTTTCTTAGGGATAGCCTCAATTTGTGCTGGAGAAAGAAAGGCTGTCTTTTTCATTTCACTCAAAGCTTGAAATATCTTAATATATACTTTGTTTATCATCATAAAATGAGATGAACTCTTGAAATAGATTTTATCGAATTGGTTTTTAATACCTATCCACTAATTTGAAGACGTCAACGTTGAAAGGAGTTTTAACCATTACGATATCATCGATATCAAAGCCTGATGGGTAAATTTTGTTTGCTTGTTGAAATGAAAATGCTGAAACTACGCAATCCAAAAGAAATAAGATTTCGTTTTGAGTAAATTGCTATTTCATTATGACCTTCTTGTGTCGAGATAAAGGTTCTATTGGTTAATCAATGAGAAGTGTTATTTCAGTATATGGGATGAAAAGTTTCATTGATTCTATTATGGAAATATTGTGAATTGATAATAAATTAGGGTGATTGTGCTATTCACTCTTTGTTCTCCACTTCCTCACAAACTCTCTTAGTTTATTCTGGGAATCTGTTGCTTTTGAATAGATCAATCCAAAATTTGGTAAACTATTATGTTGAATTCTATGATTTAATGTTTGATTACATTTCCACCCAATCCAAGGTTTAAAATATTTTATACTCATCCGTATAAGGCATTGGAACCTAAAATTATGACATTATTTCCCTCATTCGTAAATCTTGCTCGATATCTTAAGTTGTCCCTTAACAAGAACCCATTATTCCAAAATTTTATATATTATTATTTTATAAACTATCTGTTTTTTTAAACTATCAAGAAACCAAAAAAGATCTGTTAGCAAATAGAACTTTATTTTTTAATAAAAGCATTTCCATTGTACATTAGATACTTAATAAAATATAAAAAATATGTTGATATTCAAATCTCCTTAGATGACGTAATTTTCTCAAGAATTCAATTTTATAAATACGATAATGTTATCTTCAATTTTAAATTAGATATCTCTCAATAGTTCATTCTTTTTTTAATAGGAATTTTAATGCTAACTCTGTACTAACTCCTTTATCAAAGACCTTTCTACCTTTAAATTCATTTAAAGAGTATGAAATATGAATTCTCATACTCTATGATTGACATAGAATTAAGTTGGGGTTCATCTCAATATATAAATCTCCTAATCTACTAATCTTTCGTTAGTTCTTCAGTTGCGTAATATGGAATTTTTTGATTTTTATGAAATTATATTTTAGAATCTAAACCTTAAAATTTGTTGCATTTTCAGTAATGAAATTTCTACTTTGAATTTAAATGGATTTATACAAATGCTTAGAGTTTACTTACCTTATTGTTTAATTTGAGAGGTTAAAATAAAAATCTGAAAACTAAAAAACAGGTGATGCAGATAGTGTTAATTATTAAATAATGCTGAGCTATTTTATTATACGTATTCTGCCTTCTATCATTTTTAAAATGATTTCTTATGAATATGTAACTTAACAAGGGTTCTGTATTTAATAGATCTACTCATCATTTTTATATTTCAGTCTATTTTGTATTTTATGTAAGGCTTTAAACATAAATAATATTTCATAAAATTTTGGTAAACATCAATATACTTGAAATTTGGAATACAAACATACTGAATATAAAGACATAAAAGTATCGCTTATTGTGTCTGCCAACACATTTGCCAATCCAGGGACAGTGATGATCATGACCTTCAATACAGACTCCGCATGCATCGCAGTGTTCTGTTTATTTTTGTTATCTTTGCTTGCAAATTTCACAGTATTTAGTTGGTTATATAAAATACTTATAACTATAATTGCTAACTCCTTGATTCATGAAGGCTGCCAGGAAGTAGTTTGTTAAGGTTGAAGTATAGGACACTACGCTTAAGGATAATCTAATGAATCCGAGATGCCTTGAGTATAACAAAATCAATATGATGAAGCCATAAATTGCATATGCGATGTAGGCCCACAAAAATAGTTGAACTAATGGTTAAGCCTCTTTTACAATTAGGTCCGAGGACGATTACTGGAATGCATTCGTCCATGTACAAATAAGGTTTGCATTTCCCCCAATTCATTTATTATTACATCATATTAATAATGAAAAATTATAATTATCTCTTTAAGTATATTATTGTGGGAAGCACTAGTGAGTAATTTTATTATTGATGAAGGTGTAGGAAAAAGTTGTTTGCTTCTACAATATGTGGAACAAAAATTTAGAAATGCTTACCAAGTCACCATGGGAGTAGAGTTCGGAACCAATCTTATCAAATCTAATGGGCATGTTATTAAGTTATATATATGGGACACTGTAAGTTAGTGATCGCTTATGATAGGCTGGATAAGAGTCCTTTTCATCCATGATTCGATCGTATTATAGAAAGTATATTTGGATTAAATTAAGTGCTATTGGATGTATATTGGTCTTTGATTTGACAGACAGAAAATCGTTTGAGTCCCTGGTCAAATGGTACAATGAAGTGTTGAGTTGCACTGGCAACGACATTCAAATAATTATTGTCGGAAATAAAAGTGATTTACAGAATAAGTATGTTCTTTCCATATTAAAGGCAGTCGGGAAGTTCAAGAAAGAGAGGCTTTGGATCTTGCCAAAAGGTTCAATGGAAAATATGTAGAGGCATCTGCTTTAACAGGATCTAATGTCACCCAGATATTTGAAACTCTAACTGAATAGATACTTTAGGAAATCTAAAGTGGTAAAATTGATCCACAAAATGAAGTATAACAAATCTCTATCAAAGATTTATGGGATAAAAATAGGTGATTTTGAAAAGAGAAGAAATTCAGAGTTTGTTCCTAAAACTTAAAGGTAGTCCGTTTAGGTGAGTTATCCAATTCAATCACAAAAGTGGGAGTGTTGTTGAATAGTTGATATCATAAATTTAATTTAAATGCTTTCAAATTTAATTTATAAAATTTATCCCAAATCAAAGTTAGGAATTCCATAACAATCTTATTTATAATACATTCAGAAAACCTATATGACTACACATAAGCCAATTTATTTAATATTTTTCATTATAAATGTTTGATCACAAACTCTTTCATTAATTTAAAATTCTCCATCATCATAGCATGTTCGATCCCCTTAAGTTTGATTAAATGGAATTCATTTTCTATTTTTACTAAAGGTTCTAAGGACTTCTCAGCAAATTAATATGGAATAACCTCATCCTCCTCACCATGCAATATTTATATAGGAGTCTTGTTATTGATTTCTGTGAATGGGAACAAAAAGCCCGAGTTCCCAAGTATGCCACCTAAGGATTCTCTAAGTTAATTTAAAATCATAAATAAACTTGTATCCTAATCCTGCCAATAATGACATACAACATCCTTAAGAAAATCCTCCAATGAAGATATTCCTCTTTGGGACTGGTTCCTAATCAATCAGACTCCAAATGAAATTTCTTGACTCTATAGCCTAATCTACACCCCACAATTCCTTGTCAGATTTGATCCCCCAATACTATTTCCAACTTGGGATCATTATATCATACCATGATGTCATCATTTCCCCTTAATTTTTGGTTAATGGTCTGACAGGAGCACATAGTAAAATGACCTTGGTTGTTTAATTATCAAAAGGGTTCAATTCTGGATTGTTGAAACCTGCCAGAAAACTTTCAGGGACATCTTCTAATCCATGCATCTAATTTTAAAGTGGGAGGTATTACCCAAATGAAAGTGTATTTATGTTCTTTCTTAGGATGTATATAGATGTGCTAATCTACTCGGGTGATTCCTTAGGTGAAATCTTTAGTAAGGGCTGGAATCAGTTCTTTGAGGGATAACATTATAAGATTATTAATTAAGTTAAATGGGAACTTGCTCGAATAGACCTGAGCAAAAATAGATTTCAGAAAATCTAAGACTAAGAGCAATAATGATATTTCAAAAAATTGATGTTCAAAATAAGGGTTATATTGATAAAGAAAGGACATTATAATTTTGGAAATCGAATTTTGCAAAAATAAACACAGATGCCTTGTTTTCATAGGTTGATTATCATAAAAGTGGGAACATAACAGTTTAGGAATGGTTGGCCTTCTGGGATATAGTAAAATAGTAGGGTTACACCGAATAAGAGATATCAGATGAAGTAAATATGAAAACAATTTATAACTGTTTAGCTTGATGAATTGCAATAAGGGAAGGCTTGGGTGTAATTCTAAAAGGTTGAGGCTTTTATCAGGGCAGATACTCAGAGACACAAAACATAAATTGATCAGATAGTGCAGATGGAGAAAAAAACATTACTTAAGTCAAAGTCTTTTAATTAGAATTGATATTATATAAAGATGGTTTAAAATCTTTATTATAAAATTTATAATTCCAGATTGAATAAGATTTTAAGTTATAATAAAATCTAACTTGAGATCTCAATTAGAGCAATTAGAGCAATTTTCATAGAAAAGAGTAGATAAATCAAGAGTTAAACTGTTAATAATATATTCAACTCAATTGAAATTTTTATGATACACATTCAATAAAAATTCAATCATTTTCGCTTTATTGCTATTTCCAATTGCATATAATTGATTTCTTCTTCGCTCATAGGTCTTAAATTTTCAAGTAATAATTTCAGGTTCCTACTTACTTCACCTTATTCAGGTTTTATTAAGTATGAAATTATGGCTTGACTGACTAATTTTACTTTCTAAACTGGTTTATCCTTTCCCCAACTTTGTTGTAATGTTTAATAAATTAACTCCTCTAGTTCATTGGGATTCACTTATTTTTACAAAACCAAAGTTAATATCTATACTACTTAAAACACAATCGCAGGATTGATATCACTAATGGACATAAACAGAGTCTTAATAATCTTGACCACCAATGGATTGAAGTATTCTTAACTATTCTCTACACACTAAAATAAAATTCTAACATATTAAATTTATATGATACTTAAAAAAATAGAGAATTTCTCTTTGCATTTCATATGAATTAAGTGTTAAAAATGCATCGCAGATCACATCAATTATTTTTTACAAGTATGGTGATTCAAATAGCACAGATTGACAACATCTTATACATTCTTTGACATATTCAACATAGACCTTCATTAGATCTGGATCTTTCCAACATTTGAACTATTCTATACAAAATAAATGAATTTAATAATCATTTACTTTGGCCCACTGAGCAACAAATTAATGATCAGCAGATCTACCAATAGCTTAAGTTATTAACTATAGCCAATTATGTTTTTATATTGGATCAGAATGAAATACTTAATAGGAAATTTACAACAGATGAATGACCTATTATTGATTTTAGTAGTTTGACACCTTCAGTATAATTCGAATTAATTTGAAAAATTCATCATATAAAGAACAACTTTATTACCCTTACAAGACAACAATCAATGGTTCAAATATTGATTGACACAATAGATCTAATAATTACTTTATTTAATCGTTCTCTCTGGCATTCAAATTCATCCATTAAAGTATGGTGATGACTAAAGTGTTATTGTAGTTGAATTCCTTCTCAGTTACTTAAGGATTCTTAACTTGTTAAAATTGATGATTTGCAAAATTGAATAACTAAAATTACTCCAATTTTTACTTATATTAAACACTCTGTGCTGCCTTATGTAAACAATCTGTAACACAACTTTATTATTCCCTCAATGTAGTTACTCACTTGGGATTAATTGATGAACTCACTAAAATGCAACTCTAAGAATTTGACACTCTCAGTAATCAATTAAACATTATTCAAAGTACTTAGATTGCAAATCTATTCAAATGCTCTAAAATCATATATTAATATATAAATACACTCCTGCCAAAGGTCCCAATAATGGATGGAGCATGTATTTGAAGAAGTATTAAGTAATTTGAAGCAAAATCTCACTATTCAATTACAATTGATTGGTGAACTCACTAAACATTTATAAGGATGTTTTAACGATGATGTCAAAGTTTTGATGAACTGGTAATGACAAAATAAATTGAACTATTTGTAATATGAGTTGATTGTTGATTTAGATATCAGCCTCATCTATGATTGAGCATAATGAAAACAATGCTGACTCACTTTGAATTATTTACATTTAGGAATCAGGGCTTGAAATAACTAAATTAGTTAACACAATCTGAAAGTATTAGTCTGATTGCATATTCATTTCAGCACTTTTATAGATGCTGTAAAAGATATCCTTAGAATGTTCTCTGAAATCAGAAGTCGATATGAAATGTTAGCCTCCCTCATAATACTTAACATTATAATCGGCATCTTCCTCTTCAGGCTCTCCTAATAGAAACTCCTTTGTCAATTTGATTGTTTTCATTCTACATTTATCAATCATTGTTTATAATATGTTCAAACCGAACCCTTATAATTTATTATACTCTCTCATCTAGCTCCAAAATTCGAATGTTTAAAATGCAATCTTCCTTGATGGATTACTCACAATATTACCCATCAAATTAAACACTGCTTGTTCATATGTTGAGTTGAAAACTATGGCATAGAAATCACATATAAATTTAGTTACAAAGGAGGCATACCCCTTTGACAATTGAGGACTGTAGATTTTAATGATGAATTCAAGAATCAAATTTAAATTTTATAACACTCCAGCTTCAATCGAATTTACATTCTATTATCTATTGTACTATGAGAAGATGACACCTTCATTTAATAAGGCAAATAATTTATCACTATATTCGGTAGCATTTGTTGAAAGTGTTTGATGTAATAAACTTAATATTTATTGAGTTAATTTGAGGTCTTTGAATATATTATATGAGAATTGCACCCAACATTCAATACAATACACGGTTTAGTTAAATACACTCAAGTCTTACACCCAGAGCAAATTCAGAAATATCTCAGACAATGTGTTTTCTTAAGTTATGAATTCCTATTACAATCTTAACTATTCACTTTTCTTATACCATTCCTTGCCCTATATTGCAATCTATGTTAAAATTTCAATTCCTATTGTCATTTTGGCTTTCATCAACACAACCAACTCTTATAATATTCTAGCTTTATTATAAATAATACCCCTCCCATAGTGATCGATTACCAACTATGATCACGGCTAAAGAAGAACAGACCTAATTCAGAGCAACGGTTGGTAAGGGTCTTGCTAATAATTCTAGGAGATATGGTTGGATTGCAATATTGCATTCTTCTTTCAATCTTCTGTATATCATCTAACATGCAATGAATTAATATTCTTATTGTATATTCGGTTGGTCTAACAATTCTTTTGCAATTGTGAATGCCTCATTGCTTTGTTGTAGTTTGAGAATGTATTGATTTGCTTGATGACTAATGGTTTTATCAGCATTAGCTAGGTTTTAATATTGTCGAATAAATTCCTCCGTACTAAACATTTTAGTTAATTAATAATTAAAATTAATCAATTTTTTTACACATTTTTATCCTACAATTTTTAATGACCATTAAAAATGGATTCCTCGTAGTGCTCTCAACCTAAGATAATTTTGAAAGCACATATAATTATAAAATTGATTTCTAAACCATGCTTAGAAAGCATTGAGGAGTTTTGATTTTTAAATTAAAATGCCCATCGATGTGTTTGAGTGAAGTAAATATAAAATGTTAACAATATCATTAATTTATTAAATTGATTTTTTTCTGTAATTAAAGCATCTATAAATTAATTTCTTGATTAAAATTATAAACTTATTAAAATATCTATCGAAAAACCACATCGTTTACTTTTGTCAATTTTGAAGGTAAGTTTGATTTCCTTTGTAAGTTCTCTCTACGAATGAGGCTGATTTGTAAATATATATCGTAATAATTTCTTATTTAACTTTCCAAGAATTATATATAACTGGCAAGAATCAAATATTTAATTTATTAGCCAACCCTTTCAAAAATTTTCTTTTCCCAATCTAAATTACATTTGAGCTTTCTTAATTCTTACTTTATGTTTATCTTTGATGTAAATTTCAGAATATATACTATATAAGGAGCATATTTTAAATATAAAAAAGATTTAATATGGGGAATGCTTGTTATAATCAACCCTAAAATGCCACTTAAATGCATACTTAGGAGGAAGAAAGCCTTGTAAAAGAAGGAAATTTAATAGTTATTCAAAACATGTGTCCAATTATTAAAAAACATGAATACTAACTTGAAAATTTGAATGAGGGAATTGGAGTAGGCACAATTACTGCTATCATCATTAAACCTAAAGATTAGAGTTAAGTAGTAGAAATTTTAAGGGGGATAAAAAACACAAACACAGAAATCCGATATAATAATCGATAGGATTACAATTTTGGTACTCCGTCTTCAAAAAACGATTCAAAAAGAAGCACTATGGGAAAATGTAATAGTGAAAGACACGTTCATTTTTAGGTTCCCTAAATGTAGATAGTAAAGCATGAACATAAACAATTGAAGTATTCTGTCAAGAAATGAATAATTAAGCTTTATATATATATAAATATTTAATTGGCATAGACAATCTGGAGTGAAAAATATTAAATATTTTGTGCATCCTAAAAGTATTGTTCAGTGTATGTTTGATTTTGCTTTTGCTTTTTAGGGTAAGTTGTTGAGGTATGAATTAAAATATATTATTATATTGCAATAAGTATTATGTAAATGTATTAAGATTTATTTAAATTAATTTCAAATCATGGATTAACCTTAGAAGGAAGCTCTCTGTATTCATGTGCATTATTCATAGAGTGGGATCAAATTTAAGATGAGGAATCCCAGCCCCAATAGCCTGAGTAAAAACATTACACAAGCAACAAGCCGAAACCCAAAATGCAATCCAGAGGGGAGATTGAGAGATTAATTGATGAATGTCCTGATGAGGAAATCCTACTCAACATTGTGAAATGCCATTTCGATGCAACCCTTGAGGAAGTGAAACTAGCATTTCCAAATTTCGAATTCCTCAAAGTTGAAAATTACAATCCAGGCAGTTTTAGTTTGCTCTTCAAGAATAAGGAATAGGCCAAAGAATTCCTGTTCACAACCAAGGAAACTGTATAAACTCATCTTCTATCATCAGAAAATTAAAGACAGAGGCTTCTGGATCAAATTCCCCCCTAGGTTTTAGAAGTCCTCCTAGAAATTACCTGATAATCTCAATAAGCAAAATCCCTTGCCCCAAACAGGCACCAAATTTGTAGATGCCCCATAGAAGAATAGGGATCAATATAACAGAAAAGGTATGTTTGATTTAAAATTGTAGAGCATGATGGAAAGCAATTCAATAGAAGTGATGGATAGAAGAATTACAAAAAGAAAGACGACGAGGATGATGTAATAGTTTTATGAATAAAATAAGGGTTGGGAAACAGTTATGCCTCACAGAATGCCAAAACCATACAAGCCATACAGAAAGCCATAATAATAGTAATAATAATAGCAGGGTGTTAAGAAAAATTGAGAAAATATATATCTTTTAACAAGTAAATTTATTAAAATAATTAATGGGAGTACCCAATTTCTATTCTTGGTTATCTAAACGATATCCAATGTGCAAATACCCTTTCACCAAACATCATGGGCATTAAATAGATTTCCTCTATCTTGACATGAATTAAGTCATCTATAAGTGCGCAACCAATTAAACCATTTTAAAGGACTATATGATAGAAAAGAGTATCGAATCCCTTTGGACATCCATCTTAAATTACATTGACACCATAATTAATTTAGTGGATCCACAATTAGTCATTTATTTGACTTTTGATGGAGTTGCACCAAGAGCAAAGGCTAATTAATAAAGATAGCGCCGATTCGCATCTTCAAAAGGGGATGCCAAAATCAAATAATTGCTCAAGTAGTTGGATTTGGAGTAATAAAACCACACCTTTAAAAATAATTAGATAACTGCAGGTACAGAATTTATGTATGAATTAAATGAACAAGTCAAATTTTTTATCAATCGTAAATTCAAAGAAGATGAAAAATACGCTAACTTATAAGTCATCTTCTCAGGCAGTGATGTTCCTGGAGAAGGTGAACACAAGATACTAGAATTCATGAGAGGAATCAAAAACCAATAAAATTTCAACCCAGATTGGACTCATTGCATTTATAGTGCTGATGCAGATCTAATTATGCTTGGATTAGGAATACATCTCAAATATGTGTCTATCATAAGAGAACAAAGCAATATGGATTAAATCAAAACCTAAATAGCTTGCAAGAGAAGCATTGAAACTGTTAAATTTGAGTTGATTAACCTATAAATCGTTAAAGAATATTTGGACTTAGAATACAAGACCATCCAAATGAAGATTCCTTACAACATAGATAGGGTAATAGATGATTTTCTTTTACTGTTCTTTTTAATTGGAAATGACTTCTTACCACGTGTCTATTGCTTCGATATTAAGTAGGGTACTGTGGAATTGTTAATCGATACCTTTAAATCATTCCTAGAACAATGTGATGAATACGTGACTCAAGATGGATGGATAAATTGGAAATCAATGTCATTATTAGTTTAAGTGCTGTCTAAATTTGAAATCAAGGCCATTGAAAAAAGAGTCGAAGAATTGAAAAAATAAATCAAGGATACTGATAATCCAGAATACTAAGATTATAAAATTCAATGGGAAAGTGAATTGAAGATCCTCGATGCCTTAAACATCCAATTTTCTAATAATAACTCAGTTGTGGCTAGGAAATTGTTTTATGAAAGCAAATGCTAAATCGATATAGACACTGAAGAAGGTAAGAAAGAATTAGATAAGATAATTCTAAAATATTTGGAAGGATTTTAATTTGTTTTGAGTTATTATTATCATGGAGTGCCTTCTTGGGAATGGTATTATAGCTATTATTATTCACCAATGTGTTTCGATTTATGTGTATATTTGAGTAAGAATTAAATAGAAAAAATGTAATTATTACCTTATTATTATATTTAGATAATTTGGATAAAGCAAACCTTATGATCCATTTCAGTAATTGCTCCTTATCTTACCTCCTCACAATGCTAATTTACTGCCTGCTCCTTTTAGAGGACTTTATGATTTGGAATCCCCATTAAGGAAACCATTTGATTATTACCCTGATGAATACGAGATAGATCCATTTGGAGCAATATGGGAACATCAATTTATATGCAAGGTTCCATTTATGAATTCTGATTTGTTGATTTCAGAATATAAGAAAATAGATCAAAGTCAATTGAATGAATTAGAGAGAGAAAGAAGCAAATTTGGTCATGCATATCTGTTTGTCCAAACTAAAATCAAAGGAGATTCCATTTAATCTAAATTACCAAAAATATTTAAGAACAAAAAGTATAGAACAGAATAAATTTAATTAAATGGAAATATACATTAGGATGCTTAAGAAGTCTTATCAAGAATTAAAAATTAAAAGGTTAAACAGAATGAATTACCTATTCTACCTTCTTTACATGTTCTAAAGATTAATAAAACATGGTTATAAAATAAAAAAGATAAACACAAAAATCAAAGAGTATTAAAGGTTGAGTTGGCTTCAAAGAATTTAGATTTCTTAGATAAGATTGAAAGTGCCAGTGATCAAACTTAAACATTCGATTGTTATTGCGGATATCCATAAAATTATTATGGAGAAGTGGCTTTGGTAGTTAGTAAGAAATCATTTTTGTTCCTTAAAAACTATTAGCTTAAAAATATGCAAATACTGTCTGAATTCAGAGATGACATTTTAGATGAAGTCAAAAATGACATTTATGATCATTTGAAATATACAATGTAAACTAGATTAGAGAATTAGGGGATATTTTTAGAGTCAATTAATGCCATTGCAGTTGTTTATTTTTATAAGGAGATCATAAGAAATCCAGATAGAACATTAGGTTATAATATGTTGAACGTTAGAGAGGAAGTGATGCCATTAGAATGGATTTCAGATCAGAAGATTGTTGAATTGGTGGATTACAGATTAGAGAATCAAATTGATTTAATAAATTAAAAAGTCATTGTAGTTAATAATGATAAGAATTAAATCTGTGGGTCGATTGGCTGTGTTGAAAAGAAGATTAATTAAGATTAGTATATCGTCAAGATTCTTAGATAACCAATTTTACAAACAGACAATAATAAAATCAAAGTGTAAAAGTTTTTCGATATTGGATTTGTGTCTGAAAAATTAAATATACCTCCAGAAATAATTCATTATATTTTAGGATGCATTAAAATCTTCATTGGGGATAAGAAAAAGTAAACTGACATTATAGTTTAATAAATTGATATTGGTTTTAATGCAGTACACAAAGGTAAAAACTAATTAGTACCTGAATTACTGAGAATAAATGAAGCTCAATTTGATTCAGAAGGATATGAAAAATTCAAACAGTTCGAAAAAGCTTAGCTTTCCGAAACCTTAGTAACAGATTTGGAAGAGTATGCTAAAAGGTTGCCAGAATTGATTAAGTTTCTAAAATCTGTTGTATGGTTATTTGATATATATTTAAGGGTAAAGAGAAGTTAAGGTCTCTACAGTAGATTAAAATTACAGACATTTTCAAAGATGATGTTCAAGCCGGTATTAATACTATTTTGAAGCATTACACTTGGCTTCTTATGCTCCCAACTTCACAATATACTTTATGTAATGTTGCGTCATCAACATATTCGAGTCAAACCATTAAAGCTTTAGAGGAATCAAAGTAGTCCTAAAAGGTTCAGAGGACTTTGTTTACTCATAAATTTTGGTTATTAAATCAAGAAAAGTTTTATGTTCCCCCACTGATGACTGAACATCCCAAAATCCATAAATTAGGGGATAGAGTAGTAGCATTAAATGTAAAATCTTAGTTAATAAATAGAATAATTATACAAATTTCGGTGCTTATGGAGTTGTAGTTGGCGTAATAGATAATGGAGAAATAATGATTGAAGTTCTATGGGATAAACCTCGTTTTGGATAAACAGATTTAGGAGGAAGATGCTCTCCTTTGAGAGGATCATTGGTTCGCTTTTTAGATATTTTTAACATTACACAATAATGGCAAGAATAATTAAACACATATAGTGGAGGTGCCAAAGGTCATTAAGTTGAGAGTTGGACTTATAAGTAAAAAGTATTTGTACCTTCTCATGAAAAACCTGATTATAAAAAAAAGAAATAACATCAACCAAAATAAGGGTAGACCTAATGAATAAATACAAAATTAAAGAAATATTCTATTATTTTCTAGTTTCAATGGTTCATTCAATAAAGACCATAAACAATTATTAAATTAAAATATTATATATTGATAAAAATAAAATATTTCTTTTATAAATTATGAAAATGAAGTGATTGATAATAAATTCTTATGCAACAAACTTATATAAATTTTCATGCTTATTAGGTGAGGGTTTGTAGTTCAACTACTTTATTGGCTTCAGACTATCCTTTCTATAGTAATTTCTAGGTTTTGTTCTCTTATTGATTCAGATACTTAATTATCAATATTGAGCATAAGCTTTACACTCCAATTCCACAAAGTTGTCCAAATGATGGGATTTATACTTTATATTAATATACATTTTATACATCCGAAAAGAAACTTAAAGAATATGTAGAAGGGAAAACACCAACCCAATTATGCTAAAATGATAGTTGCAGTCTCAATTGCAAATGTCCTTATCATTATTGGAAGGCCCACTATCAGGAGAACTCCTACAATCGCAAAAAATATCCACTCCATCAAACCTGGTTATAAAAGACTATTGATTATTTCAATCGTAATACCCTTCAATTGGGAAGAATAACGGAACGAAAATCACCGTCATCAATCCTATAACATGAGTGATTGTAAAAAGATTTTCACTATCCACTTTCTTAAAGCAATCTGCTGAGTAGCATAAGAACAATCCTCCTACAATAGAATATATTATTCCATTAAGTTATAAGGCCTCTGGATTAGAAGCCAATTTTTAAAGGGTCTCTGTAGAGAATGCAGCCCCAATAAATATGCCACAAAGAGGTAAGAGAAGTTCTTTTCTTAATTCCTATTTATATCTAAGGTTTTCGTAAACGTAATTCAAAGGCCACACACTTACAAAGAAGAATACGGAGACAAATCTATCATTCTATTTCAAAGAACAGATCAAAAGTACTAAAGCAATGATTAAAGAGAGTGCTTAAAATATTTTGAATTATTCTTACATGCATGTTTCACTTTCCAATTTAAACCATTTTCTTATATGTATGGAAGAATGTTGCTTTGACTAATCATTTTAAAATTTGCACAAAACATGAGCAATACAGAAATAAATATTAGCTCTAAGTTTGGTAATGTACTTAAAATAAATTAAAAATACAAGCTACCTAAAATGTTTATCTCTCATTGTCAATATGAATGTAAGAACAGCTGATACTATAATTACATATAAACAGCCTGCTATTTTGTAATATTTATATTCAAAGTTTTCAATAGCATCAAAAATTAGCAATAAAACTCTTGAAGATTAACTAGACTCTGTGTTTTCATTTTCATTGTTGAGTTAGTTTAACTTTTAAGTTAACTCCTGATTATCCATAATTTAGGAAATTAAAAATTTTAATTTATTTATGAAATAGCATAAGCCTTAATAAAGGAGAATTCATTATATAAATGATTTCGTAATTCTATTGAAAATTATTGATTAAATACGATCAGACTATTAATAATATTATAAAAACTTAATAATAATTTAAATTGATTATCAATATTTTCTAGGTCTTCTTTTTGTAGTCTTTCTCCTTGACTTTTTTGGCTATTATGCCTCTTCCTCGGGTTCTTCAACTACCTCTTCCTATAACTTAGTTTCAGCTCGTTCCTCTACCTCCTCAAAGATACCCAATTCATCAAACAACTTAAACATACTTTGTGAGTCTCCTAATTCAAAATCTAACAATTCATCAATCAGTTCCAATTCTTATTTGTACTTATTCTCCTTGCCAACACTCTACCTTTTGTCTTACTCACTATCTGATAGATCACTATCCTGAATTTAGAGATTCATCTCACTTGAATTCACATATTAATTAAATTTATTTATATGTTGAGGACATATTTCAAAACATAGGATCTCTTTTTCTATTTTCTTACTTAACCTTTTCTAGGATTTTCGTTTAATTACTTTCATTTGATAAATCTATCTCAAAGTCCGACTACTCTCACCAAAAATCTATTCTGGTTTAACTACAAGTTAATATGCATAAAATAGTTTTAGAAGTATAGCTTTGATAATCTGATAATCTTTTTCAACGCTCAATTGTTACAGCTTTTTCTCTATTCTACTTAAGAAATCATCAAATCTGTTCAGCAAAGCCTTTAAAATTAGTTTAATCTCTTGCTTTGATAAGTATTATAAGTGTATTATTTAATATAAAATAAATTGAGCTTGATTAAAGTATGTTCTGCTATCAATCTTATTCAAAAAATATGATTCATCCAAATATAACAAAAAGTCACTAAACTTTTGAGCACATACATCATAGTAAATTGAATGACATAACACTTAATTATTAGAAATTGTATAATTCTTTAACAAATTGTCCAAACCTGTAAAATAGGGTTTAAGTGAAGCGTAATTCTGTATCATCAGTTTAATTCCCTTTGGAAATTGTAATAACATATGTTCAGGTCTAACTTCAATACACTTTTTCAAGATAGGTTCAGCGATGTCAGCATCATTCATTAATGCTACTATCAAATAATCTCCAAATTAAAGGGCAATAGAGAGTTAATTATCAAATAGCAATTCTATCAATTTTAAAACTAAGACCCTTATGTTTTTGTTTGGATGTAAAATATGCTACTAGAATACTACGTTAAATATGTCCTTAATCATAAATGCCAGCTAGCTTTTATCGACTATTTGACTAAATTATTATTTCTGTGCTTAGCTATTTGCCTCTAAAATTGATTCATAAAAAATTTAATAGATTGCAATTATGATAGGTTCTTAAAATGTATTTTCTTTTAAGTTTTCTTTCAAAAATTCACTGCTTTCAAACATTAATTAAGGCAGTTTCTCCCACATCTTAGATAAGGTGAAAATAATCTCCTCCTAAGCAGCCTTTTCTTTAGAAAATTCAAGCAAACTATTGTATAAGGTCTACATTGACTCTAAGAAGGATTCTATATCTTTAGTAGTTTTCGTGATAAAATATTCAAAATATTCAAATATTTAACAAAATCCAATTAAACCAAATTAAAAGCTTACAGGATTCTCTTCAGCTTTTACTAAAATTAATTTCATTACTATTTCAAATTTTGAATAAATATTCTCATATTTTTTTGTATACCTCAAATCCAATAACGTTGAAAGAGTAAAAATTGTTTTAACAAAAGGTGTTTTCGGATGAATTTTATATATTATCTTTTCTATAAAAATAATTAAGTAATCAAGTTAATTAGTTAACTTCTTAGTTAACTAAAAAGGAATTTTATCATAATTTCTTCTACCAGTAGAATTGAGATCTTCAAGACAAAAGACTAAAATCTTAAACAATCCATTTAGAATATTGACAAAAGGAGTATCGAGAAATTCTTCCTATTTATTCAAAAAATAGGATGTAATTTGCATTATATTATCAATTTATTTAATGAAGGTTTATTATTAAGCCTAGTTCTTTTAATTAATTATGATTTATATCAGTTTTAACACGTTTTCTATTTGGTTAATTTATTACTTAGTTTCCTTAACATCAATACAACTATTCGAAAGTTGAATTAGTCTCAATATAAAAGAATGCAAAATGCCCTATTTATCAATGATCTTATTGTTGTCAGACAATTTATCAATTAAACTTTATATACGATCGTAGTCTATTTTATAATTATTAGTCTCAATAGTTAATTCTAACAATTTATCTGCAATTTCCTAATCTCTATTTTTTGCATCTGTGGCTAAAAGTAAGAGAATCAACTAGGCTGATATTTCTCCAATTTCTCCTTTTTCTTCCAATCTTTTGGAGACTTCTTCGAAAAATCTGATTTGATCATTTGATTACAATTCCTTAAATAAGTCAATAAATTCTAAACAATATTTTATAGTCTTGTTCCTAACAAATATTTCAATGTCTTGCATTCTATTAATAATAATATCTAGGCATGTTATTTTACATTCCTTCCATAACTTCAACAATGTTTGCACTATCATGGCTCTAATTTGCTTAGATATGTCCTGTGCCCTCAATTTTATCCTTTCGATTATATTCTAAGTATTAAATAAACTGAATTCTAGTATTTAAAATAACAATTACAATAATTTTTTGGAATTTGCATTTTAACTACTTTAAGGCAATAATTTTCAAATTAATGAAGCACCTTTGCTCTAACCTAAATAGAATTGTCTTCAAAAAAAGCTAATAAGATCAATTCAATATTTTAATATGTTTAAAATAACTACTAGAATAATAGACTCATATATGAGAAGTACCATAAATACATGTGTATATCTGATAATCTGCTATAATCAATGCACATTTATTCGAGAGACTATGCAATTTCATCTAATTTTTAAATGCTAATGGATTTTGATTTTTTATTTTATTTCCCACTATTTACACTTTGAGTGATAAGATAATTTTCATAGTAGAGTTTCATCCAATTGCACTTTGTTTTGCATGCATGACCATATGTGATAGTTGGCAAATACACTTAATCTTCATAATTATTGCTTAATTGTAATTGGGTACAAAAACATCCTTTGCAGCACTCTATTAACTTTTCCTTCTTTTCAGTTTCAATTTCAATTAGTTGATACATTTCTTAATCCTTATATTAACACAAATAGCAATCTCCGTCAGGTAATTGTTTGATATCGTAAAAATTGAAATAAAAATTAATCATATATAATCTATCTGCATTATATAAGTTTATTACTAATTCTAATAATTTTAACTTCTATTGGGACATCAGTTTTTTCTCATATTATAAATAACTAATAGTATTGGCTATTTCATTTACTAATAATGTAATCAATTAAGTAGCACAAAATATGGAATCTATTTTCTCTGGAAGTTGAGTACTAAATTAAATTAGAAACTCTCCAACAGCTGAAGCCTACGATTAGGCAACGTAATTCCTTAATAAATCCCTAAAAAAATGTCTATAAGCAGCCAAAATTAAATTGTATGTTTATTATGCTTGCTCCAATGATGGAGAGAATACTGAAACTATTTTAGTAATTAAATTCAAAAGTGGATGCATATCATCAATCTTCTGATAAGATTTCTTTGGCTTCGCTAATTTTAATGTCGTTGTTATATGTTTTAAGATTAATTCCAAATTGAAATTTGTATTTTTCAAAATAAACACTATTATTTCGATCATATCACTTACATGATACTCTTTCATGATATATTCAATTAATTTTGGAACAGTCTCTTCAGCCCAATCTTCATTAAATTAATATTCTTTAGAAATTTCATCCATTACAAATGATAATATTTCTGGATTATTGATATGACTAATGAAACATTATAAAGCATTATTGAATATTTGATGGGAGCTATCTAATTTATATAGTTTCATATAAGTTAGTAAGAAATCTTCATCATTTGTTAATTCTTGAAACTAATTTTTTTGTAATTTGAATTTCATTTTGGATAAAACAAGAGGAAATTTTTCTTTAAAATACTGCTATGCTTCAGAACTATACTCGATGTTTTCTTTGGGGTATTTTACTCCTTCATCCCCTTTTATTTTTGAACAAAGAAAATTGATATGCTTATCAATATTTTACATAAATGTTTGTATTATTAAATTTAAGTATTTATAAATAGGAATTACAATCTCATAAACTTACCAGAAAATCAAACCATTCATACTAAAGGGAATTCTTAAAAGAATAAAAAACAAAACTACCATTACATATTTGTAGAACTTTAAAAAAATATACTTTAATTTCATACTCTAATTAGCATAATTATAATTTGAATCATTAACAATTATTTGAGTCACAAATCTGACAATAGGATTCCAAATTATTAGCTAGCGGTGTTCCAATCCAAAAAAAGAAACATTTTTTGCATTTCTCAAATTTAACTGAGTTATGATATCTTTAAACAATGAATTTAATTTAATTTAAGAAGTATAATTCAAGAATACCTCTATTTAATATATTTCTCAATATATTGCTTTTTATTCTTTCATTGCAACTAATACAATTCAAATAGTATTATCCTTAGATTATTTATTATTAGAGTTACTCTCTTAAACAGTCCTTATGATAACTGTGTTTACAAAACAATTTATAATTATCATAATCTATATATGTAAAACATATTTTGCATTTAATTATATCCTAAACTGATTATCTTATTTGTATTCTATATGAATTACTATTACTAACATTTTGATTGATATATCTTGAAGACACATTTGGTAGTTTATAAGAATTTAATGAGCAGTTCTCACTGTTATGCAGTCTAAAGTTCTCCTTTTTCTTTTATTTCTTAAAGTTAATAGGTTTTAATAATTCCAGTAATTTATTTTGTGAATTCTATACCTGTTAATACTCCTTTAATTGTTTTTGAGGATTTTAGATTATTAATTCATTTATTGAATAAACATTTGATGCTTTATCTTTTTATTTGATTGATGATTCTTTTGCTTAAATCTTGTATTCTAAAGATTATATTATTGGTGCTGATTTCTTCAAACTTGGTTTCATATTGATTTTTGGAACATTCTAAGGTAAAGTCTTCTATTTTTAATAGCATTCATCAAAAAGTAGATCGATTAGGGTCATCCTATCCCTTGAACTATTTGGAAGTTATTTTGCCATATTTATTGATCTATACAAAATATATTATTATATTTTTCTTATTATTTAAAACAAAATAGAAACTATATTGTTAATTTTGAATTAACATAATGTAGGTGTAGTTATTTCAATACAATATAGATTAATAACAAAAATATTGTTAAAGACTCTAACTATCGATATTTAAAATACATATGACAAAAATATGTTTCAAAATAAGTTTTATGTTAAGAAATCGTATTAATTTTTAAAGTATGTCTCCAAATAATCTTAGGCTGAATTTTAATGATCACTCTCAACTTTCTACTTTAAGACAAATGCAATAAATTTAGTTGGAATGACTTTATTGCATATACAATTAATCTGTAATTATTTCTTTGAGATTTGTTAAGTAATTAATTCGTATAAGCAATTTTAATGATAATGGTGCAAACAATCTGGTTGGAAGATATTAGTTTAAATCTTTGTCTGACAAATGTAACAAATTATATCAATCTCTAAAAGTGAACACTGACTTTCGCTATTCTTTCTTGAATACTGACCAGCTACTTCTTGTTCCTCTAAGGGCTCTATAATCATCTATTAATTTATTTGTATTTGATTATTTTGTAAATTAGTTTATTATTATTCTTATATATGTTTATTTATTCTATTTTACATCCTATTTCTATTAATTTATCTATATTTTTAGTGAAGCAACTTGTTTTTAGATATTTAGTATCCCTCAATACATTTTTAAGAAGAATATCTTTTTAAATCGGTTAACTTTTATTCTTGATTTCTTTTGGGAGACAAATCACGATGGATATTTTTTTTTTAAATCTTAGGTTTTGCCTATTTTTTTAAAAAAGCATTTCTAATTTATTCATCGAAATGTTTCATAGGTTAATTACTGCTATTATCGTCATCAATTGAAATAGAAGGCTCAATAACTATCTATTTCTATATATCTTTGGGTGTATTATTTTCAAGGTCTTACTTATTTTGGATATCTATCTTTACATCTTCATGCGTTTAAGGTTATTCAGTATTTTAATTCGACACTTCTTTTGATTTATTCCGCGATTCAAAGCATCCCATGATTGGGAAAGATTTTATTTAAATTAATTACTCAATAAATATTCTGTTTTTGTTATAAAGTAATATCTTGAATATCTAGAATATGTAAATTATAAAACTATTAAATATAATTTATTATCTCATAAATATTTAGCTAGATCAGAGAATACTAATAATTAATGAAATAATTAATTATGAAAACACAAATTAAAGTAATTTCTTAATTATTTATTTTTGCTTTTATTATACTCATCTAATTTTAGCTCTTAAGGCTTCTATTTCAGCACACATAAGAACTATTAATGATTACAAATCTTATATTTATCTTTTTAACATTCTATCATCAAATGGTTTAGCATTTCTAAGTTTCTCCAATTCTTTTAACAATTCCTGAATTTGTCTTTCATAATCAGCAATAATGTCTGAAGCATTCACTTATTACTATTTAATATTATTATTAGCATTGCTCATTTAAGATTACAATAATTATTAAGCTTTAAGCCTATCCTACGCCAATTAATTCTATGCTTCCAGATCTTTGAGTTGTCTTTCTAATTGCTTAATCCTATTTTCAGCATCTCGAAGTTTATTGAGTGTATCTTATAAATTATCTTCTGTTTCTCTTAATTATTTTTACAGACTATAAATTAAATCTTACATCTAATCAACCTTTTTTTAATCAACTCCTTATGGTGCTGCTTAAACTGCTTGTTTAGCATTTTGTGCATCAGCTAATTATTTTTTTAATTTTTCAATCTCCTCCAAAGCCTTCTAAAGGTCAAGTTCAGCCTTCTTTGCTTTTTTTTCGTTTGCTTCTGCTGAAGTTCTCAAATCATCATTGGCTCTTAATTAATTATTGTATTTAGTATTTAATTCATCAATTTCCTATTGCTATAATTAAATTTTATTATTCAAACTTTAAATAATTTACTGCAATCTTATGATTTCTGTTTTTTGAATCAAAATTTATTTTAGAGCTTTTTCAGTGGGGGTTTCCGATTCCAATTCAGCTAATCTATCTTCGAGTAATTTAACCTTATTTCTTTCATCTTCTAATTCTTATTATGTTTAACTTAGTTCTATCTAGAGTTATTGGTAGTCAAGCTATTTTTTTGTTAATAAGTCTTTCAATCTTTCAACTTCCTCAGCCAATCTGGTTGCTTTAAGAACCATATCTCTATTGCTAAGTTCGAATTGTTTGTATTCTTGTAAAGCTAAATCCAATCGTTGTGCCTTGTTTTTCCATTCCTCTACTTCATTTCCTTATTGAAAAACGATAACATTCAATCTTTCGATTTCTGCTATCAAAATATCATTTCTATGATTTGCATCTCTGAGCAACGCTTCTGCTTGTGTAAATTAATTCATTCTGTTCTCCATTTGATTTATTTATGTTTTATAACTTGATATCACTTATTTGTATTAGTTAATCTCGTCCTGTTAGTCTTTAATATTAATGATAACATTACGTTTAATAATTTAGTTTTAATCATCTATTTGGGCTTAAAGATCAATCCATTTTTCATTGTCAAAAGTTTCCATTTAATTGAAATAATAAATTTTATTTAATATTTATTGTAAAATTTTTACATAATCATGGTCTTCTTTAATAATTTAAATGTGTTTATTGGATGTACATAGGTTGTTGCTATTATGGATATTAAAGCGGTTAACTTTGATAAACTTACTTTGATTAATTGCCAATATGTTTTGATTGTGAAGATTACTATTGTTATGGTTGCTACTGCTACTATTGATGTTATTATATGTAAGGAGTCTACTATTGTTAATGACTTGGGTATTATTTAATGGTTGGGTTTCCTTTTATAGGTACGTTCTGCATAACAGTTTAAACCTGAGGTTTTGTATTTTGTTATTTACTTAATAATTACTAGATCGTTTTTGGATCCAATTAGGGTTAAGATTTCACGTCCTTTGGTTATTAAAATTATTTGGAAGCACTATTAAGCTATTTTTAAAGATGTTCATTTTTTTATCTTTCTTAGTTTAATTCTTAAGTCAGCTATTCTAATTTTTTATCCTTAACTTCCAAAGCTTCTTTGAGTTTTTTTATTTAATTTTCATATTCTTTAATTTAGTGATTATCCTTATTAGATGTATTGTTGTTATTTTTCGAAAGTTCTTCTTTTGATTTGATAATCTGCCTTTCATATGCCATTCTATTTAATTCCATTGTCAATAAGAGCATCTTAGGGTCTTCTGGAATTTGTTCTGGTTATTCCATTATAATAATAATTTATTTATTGTAATAAATGATCACGTTAAAAATGATTTATTATTCATAAACATTTTCAATTGAGCTATTGAATCCACATTCTAATTTAATTTGGTATTTAGACAAACAACTAATAATATCTAGGGGATGAAAGCTTAGATATTTATATCAAAATTGAGGTTTAATAGAATTTGGACATTAATATATAATTTAAACTTTAATATTTGTTCATAATTGAATTTTGGACAAAGAGCTTCAAAATATGAATAGAAATTTATAATTATTTAATCCACTCTAAAGTTGCATTTAAATTTGAACCTATGATGAAATTACTATTATTTAGAGTTTTCACTTTAATTTGTCGTTTTCAACGATTTAATTATAGTATGTTTTTTAATATCGGACAGGTAGTAAATATCTATTAAACCATTTTGTTTGGATCATTAAATTTGAATATTATAATGGATCTTCCTATTTGTTATTTTAATGAAGTTTAAATTAAAGAATTGGGAGTAGAAACCTAGAAAATCAAAGTTAGTTTAGATTTGGTAATAAATATTTCATCTTTTAAAGAATTTCAGTTATTTTATCTAGATAACAATACTTAAGTTATTTAAGTGTGATAAGGGATCATTTGTTTGATTTAGGAAGAGAATTTGCTATGAAAAGATTTGCTAATTTGGATTCTAAAATGAAATTTATTGTTTAAACATTGATTGATTTTCGAATAAAAAAACTGGAAATTTTTGCATAATAGATTTTGTAGAATGCTTTAGACTATATGAGGAGAACAATGAGAAAGGATCATTGAGGAATAAGTGTAATTTACGAGTTTGTAAGAAAAAGATTTGAATATATTTAAGTAAATATTGAGTTTCTATTTTTTTAAAATATATTTTATACAACAACACATTTATCTATCATAACATTTAATCTATTAAATATTCCACAAATATCTTTGCATTAGGAGTCGAAGCGCGTTGTGCTATTGAATTTACAAGGTCATTTCTCTCCTAATGCAATAGACTACTGATTTTTTTTTATTTTTCACATAATATTTCATAAGACTCATTAGAATGGTGGTTTTGTTTGTTTGTTTCTTTATTTTATTCAGTTATATTATTTTGTTAATCAAGTACTTCCCACCTATATCTTAAATATTTATAATATCGGTTCTTAACCATAGCCAAAGTTTTGCCAGGGAAATGCTTATGAATTTTTTGGAATTTTGGCCCAATACTTTGAACCAATTCTAAAATTAATCTATCCTCTTCTGGTGTGAATTTTTATCCTGGCTTCCTATTGCTAAGACCTTCAGTAATTCTTCTATTATAATTTTATGATTGAATACTCATATTTTTTTGGTTATTTCTTTTTTCCAGATAAGGTTCTATCTTGTTCCTCTTAATCTTCTTAATCGCCCCCATTCTCCTGTTCTTAATCTAATTCTTTGTCTATTTCTTATTCTTGACTAGACATAAAAATTAAATAAATTTGTTTATTATTCAAACGCAATTATTTATTAGAAACTAATATTATTGAACATGTTCTCAAACCTACTCCCTAATTTTCTGTTCAATTAAGAGAGTTATTAAATAATTTAATTTGACATTTATTTTAAATAAAAATCATTTGTTTCCTAATACTTTAACCATTAATTCTCCTAATCTCTAAAATTCTGTTCGGCTTATCTTACTGTCATTGTTTGTATCCAAATAAGATAACATGTAATCAATTTCCTTTTTCGTTGGTTACTAGTGTATTTTAGAATACAAACCTGGGAATTCATTTCCATAGCCAAATTATACAACAATGTATTTAATTCATCTTTTTCAATAAATCCTGAATGATTTTTGTCATAGCGATCAAAAACACGGTTTGAGAATTCAGATAGTTATAAACTGTTCATACTAAATTTGTATATTTTTTTTATTAAATACACTTAATATAATATAAGTTTAAAATTTAGTGATTCTCATATTTTAAATGTCTAAATCTTAGTGTCAAATCTCATATGCATTTCTTATATAAATGTCTTGCTGATTTTGACATTGAGGGAAGCATCAAGCAACTCATCCCAATCCACCTCCAACTCATTATCATCAATTCGATAATTCTATTGGCTAAGAATGCAGATAATTCCAGTCATATCTTCACTCATCAAAATCTCTTAATGATAAAGGAGAAAACCAATGATCAATTGATAGATGTATGTCCAACCATACCTGAAGATACAATCGAACAATTTCACTTGTTTCTGGATTGGGATCATCATTCCAAATAATGAAAACAACCACGAGGCACAAAACATGTCCACTTTCACACCGTTGATACAGAAATGTTAGTATAGGTCTGGCATCTTGGTTAGGATGAGATAATCAATCAATTAGATATGTTTCGATAAACCAGGAGACCTACTATTATATTAACTTACATAGGCGAATAAAGATCATTCATTTATAGTTGATCCATGAGTTTTCTGAGTAGTTCAAAAGCCACATAATTGTCAGAATGATAAATCAGTCCAGCGGCAACAAAGTTCATTCCTTACATGTAACCAACAATTTTGTTGTATTTAGAATATGCACTCAAAACCTATTGTAAATCTGATAGTTTTTAAGGGTAATTCTTAAGTGGATGAGTTCTTTCAACATCAAGATTTATTTGTTTGATGATCTTTGGTTCACATTTACTTTCCAATAGATTAGAGTATTTAGACTTTAATTTTTCAGTGTCGTAATTTCCTAACCACTCCTTAGCCTTGATACAAGTATTATTTTAATAAGGCAAGCATTTACAAGGATCAACTTCCCGAGTGAATAGTCTCATTATTTTATTTATCACACTTTCCTCTTTCTCTTTTGGTCTAATATCATCATATGTTAATGTACTAAATCCTTAAACTGAACACACAGTTTAATTACTTCCACATCTTTATGGAACCTTGATTATTTATATCTGCTAAATGAACTCAAGTTAATTACCTTAGGTTATTTTGGATAATGAATTGTCTTGGAATCTCTATTTACCCCTGTCACATTAATATTTCTAGTTTGTTGGGTATGCTTTGGATTCTCGATAGTCGGTTCGAATTTCTTTTCCAATTATCCATGGGAGGACCTACCTTAAAATTGCTCGGACATTCGTTAAAATATTAATTAATTATAATATAATGCATTCAAGTCGATCAGCTCCCTCATGTAACTTATGATTTAATCTAGTAATGACTATTGAATAAATGTACAGTGTTGTGAGAGGCGAAACAGGGGCTTGGGGTATTGAAGGATACGAAGTCCCCAAGAAGTATTGCGACCCTCTAAAGCAAGTCTAAGAAAGAGAGTTCTTTGCAGGCAAATTAAAGAAACCTCCCACAATTACAAAAAGAGGACATTTTTTAGATGACATTGCCAAACCATTTAGAAATCGTAAGGTCCCTGTGCAATATAATGTTGAATACAAGTGGGTAAACGAGAAAGATAAGGAAAGAAAAAGGTAAATGCATCATCATTCCATTTATTTAGATCGAAAAGTGAATTACTCAAGAGAAATACATTCATAGATGATATATTCCTCCAGAATACTAAACAAAACTACCCTAAACCTGGGCCAGGAAAGTATGATGAGAATAGATCCATTGAGAATCAAGCTAAAAAATGGAATGGCAAAGCTAAAATTCAATATGGAGACAAACCAGACTTCGTTTAAGACTATTAACACTTAGGAGCTGTCTTACCAGCAGGTCCAGGCAGCTATAATCCACACGTATTCCTTCATTTTAATAATAAAGCCTATCCTACCCAAATTAAAACACAATAATACAAATCCAAAGGTTATGATTGCTAAACATAAAGATTTTGATAAGTTTAAGCTAGAAATGATTAAAAATTATCCTAAACCAGATTGTACTAAATATAAGCCATATCCTGTTGATTATAATACATTCGGTAGATCTTTAGAATTGCTCTATGATAAAAAAAAAATAGAGCCAGCCAAAATTAAATATTGGGTACCATAAAATCATTAGTCTAGGGTAATCCTTCTAAACCAGTGACAAGAAATAAGTCAGAGGCAAAGATTCCTCCCTAATATAACTTAATTGCTTATTGGCCTGGAAAAGATGATGGAAGTGCTAAGAATAAAGAGCAGAAAAAATTTAATTGGATGAATAAAGTCACAAAAGGAATTTAATCATCAATATATTATTGATAGAAAAATATAATAGTCATTATTTATAAATAATTTTTATCGAATTAAGCAAACCTATTATGTCCTTGTATTAGTGTTATTATTTTATCTCAAAAGTCTTACAATTCCGATTGGTGCTTAAGAAAATGATGTGTTTAAAAAATTATATAATAGACATAATTTTTCTTTCTGATAGATTAGGATTTTATTACCTTTCCAGAAGAACTATAAGGATTAATATATAAATGAAATGAGGATGATAACAACTTATTGGTTAAAGTATAGAAGAGAGTATAAAAATAATAAAAATCTTATATTTCTAATTAAAAATGTGAACGAAAGATTATTGAGATTTTGAGAAGTTATATATATGAATTGGGAAGTACTTTTGATATTCTCAGATTGATTTATGGAAAAAAATCCATTCTAGTGTTGGAGGATTTTTTATATTAAAAATGAGACCTTAAAATTAAGAAGAGAAGCATGAAACCTATCATGGTTGTTTGATAAATAGGAAATACAAAGATTTGGAATGAAAAACAATATTCATTTTTCGATAATCGCTTGAAAATTTAATATTTACTTTTTAGTTTGACAGGAGAATTATGAAGAAGATAGATGGAATAAAATGTTGTTTCATTTCATCAGAAGTGATTAAGAGTGTGTTGATTAAAATTTGAATGAGCATTAAAATAATAGTTATGGTTTATTAGTGATTTGGGGATGGTTGGCAATTGGAAATCTAAAGTAAATTCTTTATTTAATGGTTTTGTTAAGAATATAAAGTATTTTATTAAAGATTTTTAAAAAATTTAAAATAATATGTAAATTTTTGTTAAGACCCTCACGGGCAAGACCATCACACTCGATGTCGAGCCATCTGATACTATCGATGCTGTTAAGGCAAAGATCTAAGACAAAGAAGGAATCCCTCCCGATTAATAAAGATTGATTTTTGCTGGAAAGCAATTGGAGGATGGAAGAACTCTTTCCGATTATAACATCTAAAAGGAATCAACTCTCCATTTAGTATTGAGACTCAGAGGAGGTGGTATGGAGCCAACCATTGCTGCTATTGCCAAAAAGTATAACGTTGAAAAAAAAATATGCAGAGTTTGCTATGCCAGGTATTGAATTGATTGATTATTGTTAGATTACCACCAAAAGCCCATAATTGCAGAAAGAGAAAGTGTGGACATTCAAACTAATTAAGAATCAAGAAGAAGCCCAAGGATTGATATAAATATGAATAGTACAATAATAAATAAATATGTTTTATCATTCGAATTCATTTATTTAATTAGTTATGAATCCTCCATAATAAACTAATCCCGAATACTTCCCCCCTCCAACCTATTACTGCAACAAGAGTGGACATTAGTTGACTTGGAAATCAAGTAGTGGTCACCCATGTGCAGAATGTAAGAATAAAAATTGCAGATCTCGCTATTGGTGCTAGTAATGCTCAGAAGCATTCTGTTTGCAATGCATGCCTCCCCCCTTGTTTGGGATTATGTGTGGAGCAGGACATCCGTAAACTCTTAATTACTATTATAAAGGATGAAATTGAGCATTGTACCTCATCACGTTTGCGATTACTGTAGTGAGACAATATAAAATCAAGCACATAGATGCTAAATATGTGACTTCGACGTATGTCCGAATTGTCTACTGCAAAAAGAGGATTGATTTTGTATTAAATAGTGCAAATATTTACTTATAAAAGTCTCAATTAAGTGTCTTTATGATAATTAATATTCATAATTGGTTTGATCGAGAGATAACGTGCATTAAGGCTCAATAAAAGTTTTATATAATAATATATGAATAAGTTATATATTGAATCGATAAAGGTGTCGGCAGAATTGATCCCTATTGACATTTATTTTCTCCTGAAGATCGGTGAACATTGTCAGTTTTCAAACATTCTAAGTGTAAACACGTCAATCGACATTTATATTCTAGTTGTAATAGCAATCTCAAACATGCAACATGTGCATTCAGTATTAAGCCAGGGAGAAGTAGCCCATTTCGATTGAATGTTGGGCATATGACTAGCATTTAGTACCTAAGGCATTCTTCGGCAAAGAAACATTGACGAATACTACACGCAAGATCACATTGGATGGAATGGAGATTTAAATTCGGCAATCTCAATAGGAAAGGAGCAGAACCCCAGAGATCGCTATGAAAAGAGATGCCTCGCCCTTCGGTAGGAGAGATTTAACTCCGAAAAGAGAGAAAAAATGATCTATACTCATCTTTTCAGGTGGGGTTGTAGAAGTTATTTCAATATCTTTTTTAATGTAAATATCAAATCGACAAAATTTGTGTTTTCTTCAATGTCTGTGTATCGAGATGAAAGCATTTTGAAAGGACTTCTGCGGGGTAAAACTATAGAGTAAGGGGCAGAGTTACACTTATTCATATTGGTTGAATAGAATGTGAGGAAGATCATTCAAGTGAATATTAATATGATGGTTAGGAAGCAATTAAATATCAAAGACACTTCAGAAAGAAGTAACTCAATTCCTAGGATATTGAATTGGCTATCAAGGATCAAAATTTGCTGAAGGTACTGTGACCCTAATCATTTTAGTCTGAGATCTATGGGTTTTAATATATGGATAGTATTAATTTATCCAAAAGAATGGACGAGTATGTGCTCAACGATCAAGTATAGAATCTCAATATTCAAGAGCTTGGATCTAAGAGATCTAATTTCGCATTAGATGAGGACAGTTAAAATCCCTCTCGGATTTCCCTCTCTTTCCATATTCAATGTAATGAAAGAATATTAGATGATCAATTCCCAGGAGACACAATCCATAAGTAAATTCCCTCTCAATTTATTTAAGTGCAATACAAGGACATCATGTAAACAGAGTCATTCTAGAATGTGGAGAGCAAAAAGACTTTCAATATAATAAAGGACAATGTGATGAGTATCTTGACAGTTCATTAATAATCCATCGTGAAAAATTTTAAGGATTTATTTGAAAAAGAAGTAATAAGTCTGAAATTCAATTTTTCTCAAGAGTTTGTTTAATGTAATTCGATGTTCTATGGCTTCTAGTGCTCTCTGATTTGGAAAGCTACAAGGACGTGGCTCAGATAGTTCCATTTATTGTTCAATATTTATATAGTTAGTAGGATTAGGTTTAGCTGTTTTATTACAAGCATAGATGTGTGATAATTGAATGTTTGAATAGATTGATAATCAACAATTAGATAAATCTGGAATTTTAGGTATCTCCTCTACAAATTATAAACAATAGTTGCATCAAATCCTGAAAATCTTAGTTAAATTTTTAACTGCTAAAATCATAGAAATCAACATCAAATCATAGATAGAACTTCAAATAAAGACAGCCAGATGTTTGAATTATTTGCTTGATAAATTTAATTTGAAATATTAAGCATTAAGGCAGAATATTGATAGAGTGATTCTGGAAAAGTTCGAAAGAGTCAAAAGCAAAATTGAATAGAAATGCTCTCACAAATCACTATTAAAGGCGTATTCGATAGTTCAATACTTTATTGAGCAAAATGTGAGTGTTCAACATCTGAAATTCATTGAACAAATGAGTGAATTGATAAGAAAGATGGAGCAAGGAAGAAAATCGATCACAGAATTGAATCCCGATTTTGACCACATTGCTGGACTAATATGTTTATCCTTAGGAGTATTTATTCATTTGAAATGATAGACTATTTTGATCAAAATAATTAATGGATTGGAATATCTGTAGCCCAATTATGAAAATCAATTTTATCATATTATCAATAATACAAGATAGTTGATGTAAGAAATGGGATTATATGAAATGCTTATAATGCAATATATGAAACGCTTATAATGCAATAGTATGTTTTAGGAGCATATGATTTTATGATTATTATATACCTTAATTTTATTTGAACACCAGTATTTAATAATTTAAATTAAATTCAATGTCAAGGAGATACGACTAAAAGACTAATACCTTCACTCCAGATGGCAGATTAAAATAGGTGGAATATGCCATTGAGGCAATTAATTAAACGGGATCCGCACTTGGAGTCTTAACTAACGATGGCATGATTTTAGCTACTGAAAAATAAGAAGTATCTCATTTACTAGAACATTCAAAACATTCTGAAAAAATCTATCCAATTGATCGACACATATTTTCAGTTGTCTCAGGTCACACTGCTGATGCAAATATTTTAATTAATTATGCCAGAGAAGCTGCTGCCAATCATAGGTATATTATTAATCAAATCATAGATATTAGTTTTAAGATAACATTGGTTTAGAATAATTGATCATAAACATATGTGATTATAAGCAGAATAAAACCTAAGTGGGAGGACAAAGACCATTTGGAACAGCATTCTTATTCGCAGGCTATGATAAGGAAAATGGTTTTCAATTATTCAGTACTGATCCATCAGGTAATTATGCAGGTTGGAAAGCAACAGCTATAGGAAAAAATAACTTAGCAGCCAATAGCTACTTAAAATAGGATTACAAAGATAATTTAACCTTAGAATAAGTAAGATCATCTTAGAATTTATTAGGGATTGGATATTGCTATTAAAGCACTCGTGAAAACTATGGATACATCATCTCCTCAGCCTTCTAAAATTGAGATTGTCGTTATCAGCAAACTAGGAAAAGAAGTTAAGAGTAAAACCTATAATGAAAAAGAGGTTTTGAGTTTGCTTTAAAAAAATGGTTTTAGTAATGAATAAATGCAACAGGAATGATATATCCTTCAAAAAGGAAACATTAATTTGTTCATTAAATATTTATTATATTTTCATTATTTCAAATTTGCTACTAATTTGTGAACATTTTCATTCCAATTCATCTTTGTACCTGTTATTGGTAGAGGTCTTCTCATAGCTTTAAAGAAAAAGTCAGGCATAGAATTATATAAATTATCCATTCCTGCTAATTGCTTGTTTTCTAATTTAGCGATTGTGTGAACAATCTATTTAGCACTTTCACTAGCTGTTGACAAGTCTACATTGATTCCTTCTGAAAAGGCATTTACATTTTTTAATTGCACATTACCATCTTCATAATAGTGTGCTTACACTTTCAAATCACCTTTCAATTATGTTTTTGTTAATTCCCAAGTTGAGATCCAACTTCCGCAGCTAAAATATAATGGATTAATTTTACAAAAAGTTTGGCAAATTGATTGTTTTTGCAGTAATTCCTATGTAGAATGTGTAATCGGAAGCATCACCTTGATACATAACTAATTAAATGCATTTTAAGTGTACCATAAGCTCCACAAACCTTCTCATTAAATTGTTAACTCAAGTAGAGATTTAATTGCTATTCAAGTGCATCTCTCAGTACGTTTAGTTCTGGATCTGATGGTAATTCCACTTAAGATCTGGATATTATTTCTAATTTTTCATGATCCACTTAAATTGTCTCATTGTTTTTCTAATCTACATAAAAGTCTTCCTAAGAATTCAGTACACTCGTAAGGATCTAAGTGATAAATATAGACTATTACTTGAGTGTTTTAGCCTTTAATCAAAGCCAAATGCTCCTCGTTATGATCCCTCAATGCTTATAGCATAATAGCATGCTATGGATTAATATTCCCAATGATTTTGCACAAATCCTTAATCACTAAATTAGCTTATCCGAAAGGAGTATTTTTGACAATGTACTTCACCACTTTCTCGTGTTAGTCATGTTCTGTGACTTCTCCCTCCCCTTAATTCATTATATATCTTTTATAAATTAATATATAATCATCTTAATAACATCATAAAAATATTCATTCTGTAAATGAGGTTGTTGTGTTGTATCTGTGTAGGTGTTCAATTCCTTCGAACATTCTACTAAGAGAAACACATTTACTATTAGAGATCAATGCTAACTGACTACTATAGAAATAACCAATCATCGCTTTATCTCTCACACGCAATTAATAAAAAGTTAATATTAATATTTAATATTTAATAATTATTATCTTCTTAATTAGTAAGTGCTAAATATGATGTCACCTCTTCTGCTTTTGCTTGAGTTTTGAATACCAAGATGGCCCTTCTTACTCTTTTTATTTTTATTGATTATTTTGAGCAACATCTAAAAATAAATCCAATTTCTTACTCTTTTTCTACATAGCACTTTAAGGATCAATATATGTTTTTGTATTTAATGCTTCCGACATCTCGTTTATGGCACTCCTCAAATTTTGTCTCATATCATTTTAACTACCAGTGGCAATCCCTATTAAAATATTCTAAATATTCTGCAAATTCTATCTTTTAATCCTCAATCTTTATAGATCTTCCTCTGCCCTCATGAATCTCTATTCAATTTATAAATTACTATTACATTAGCAATATCATCATTTTCAGCCTTTAAAATCTAATAATCCTAATCATATTTTTTTAGCAATGACTTATATTTTAAGATCTCTCGGTCTCTCTCTTCAATATGGGCAACTAAATAGGAATGACTAATCATTATATATAAACTATTTACGGTTGATGTGTTTTATCAAGTACATCTCTCTACAATTTGGTCTCCTCTTATAATTTCTCAATTTCTTATTGCTTCTCTCTTAATTTTATTTGTAACTCTTCTGATTCTCTTTACTTTGCTTGCAGTCTTTAAGCCAAATTTAAAGCCTGTTGAATTCTCCTTTTAGAAGAAGTAGGCACAGTGCCCATAAATCCCAATAATGGATTCATAGCATCATATTCATTACCTGCTGATTTCATAATAGCATCATCAATTTCTCTTTCAATTCCTTCATAATTTTTGAGTTGTTCTTTTGCAACTTGTAATTGAGCATTTATGCCGCTCATCTGTTCCTTTGCCTCTACTTAACATTTATAATACTCTGCCTTTAAAACATTTATTTTTTCCCTTAGCATCTCATTCTCATATTTCATAGCCTTGAGATTGGCCAAAGTATCCTCATAGATATTCTAAACTCTATCCAACTCCTCCACCTTTAACCTCAATTGAATTCTCTATTCAGATAAATCTCCATCTATTTTTCTTTATAAATTTCTATAATCAATTAATAAATGATCATATAATATTGACTTTTCCTTCACTTACCCTTCTAGATTATCTTTTCTAAGTTAAATTTCTTCCTTTGCATCCTTCAAGAATTTTATCTAAGTTTCATAAATATCAACTAAATTCTATTTGGCAATTTCCAATTCATGATGATGCTTTTCTTTAAGATCTGCAATTTCCGAGTAAATTCTTTTTTCATAAGCCTGAGTCTAATCAGTTTTAGAATTGAGCAATTAGAATAGATATTCTTAGGCTTAGTTTTTTGCTTCCAAATATTCCTTCTCTGTTCTATCCAATTTGTCCTCCAATCTCTTAACCTTCTCCAATAGCTATATGTTCTCCTTAGTTAAATACTCCTTGTCTTATTATAAAAGATCTCCCTTTCTCTTGGCATCATCCTATGCCTTATATTGATCTCTTGCCTTATCCCCTGCTTGATTATTTTGATAGAAACCAGCCTTTTCTTCCAATAAAAACTTCTCTTATTCCAATCTCTTATAATCCCTGCTCAACTCATCAAATCTCGCACCCTTCTCTCTTAAAAGGGCTAACTCTTCTTAAGACTTAATTAGTTCTAACTCCAAAGCTTTCCTAGCATTATCATAGTTTAATTTGTGTCTTCTGATATCCTCTTCTCTATCTACCATCATCTTTTATCCATGTTCCAAATCATTCAATAAGAATTAGTGTTTCTCTGTAATCTATCTAAGTTCTTCTCTCAAAGCCAATATCTCCTTTTTCTAAAATTCCCCTTCCTTTTTAAATGGATACACAATCTCCCAAACCTAAACCAGCACCCAATCTTAGATGGGCATCTCCTTCTCATTCATATCTCTCAATCTCAAATAAACAACCTCTGGAACTAACCCAGCTAACATGTCTCTGACTTATGCCAAAGCCTCCCTTATTCCTGGCAATTGAGATTCTTAATATATCATCTTAGACTTAAGTTGTTTGATTTCACTTAAAAGCTTATCAGTTTCAATTCTATGATTAGCAAAAATCCTTTGTCTATCAGCATCGTTAGCTGCTTGAATCCGCTTTATTTCTGCATTTAGAAATGCTATTTATTTCTCTTGCATGCCCACTACAGAAGAATAATTCTATTATTGAATCAATTATAATACATTTTTCATATTGACTGTGTCGTGAGTATCCCCTCCTCTATTATGTCTCTTCTATTAAAAATTCTCAATATCAGCTATGGATACAGAATCTCTCATGCTATCTGATTCACTGTCGCTCATAATCACTTAGCCTTGTTCGAATTGCCTAATATCTTCCTCAGAAAATGTAGTTGGGTCAATATTCATTGATTTCATCAGTTTTATGAAATCTCTCCTCTTCAAGCTCATTTATCAGTTAATTATTTCAAATTTCGTTTTCTAGTTATAATATTCATAGATTAATTATGTCAATCCCAACAACACTCTCCATTGATATGGTTCTAATGACAATATCGTTCAATAGTTATTTAATTAAATTCATAACCTTCCAAATATCCAAAAAATAATATAGATTTCTAAATAAAGACCAATTAAATTATTTATTATAATATTATAAATTTGTTTTTGTAATTGCAAGTTGCCCATATATTTCATAGTTGAATTTTATTTTCCAAATATCAATCTATTAAAACTGATGCAAGCACCTGTAAACCATAGCCAAAACTTAATTATGATTGTAAAGTGTAATTATTATAAGTAATATGAAAAATTCAAATATTAACAATATAATTAAAAATAATGTCTTAAACAAGAACAAGTTCCAAACACAAAAGAAAAAGTGAAACTCGTTTTCAATAACAAATTAATAGTCTCTTAAAAAATGTAAGTCATCCACCTTCCCCGCTCTCTAAACAGTGGATTAAGGATCGAGAGGGAGAATAAAAAAGTTTGTTTGAGGAAGCCAAATAATGCGAATTTAATCATAAAAACCAAACACTAACATAGTTAACAGATATTGGAAAGAAATTATCCAGAATGAAAAAGAAGTTTAGAACTTTCATTACTGATGATAATCGAAAAACACCAGTTTCAGAGAATAAAAGCAGAAAATCCACGAAGTCAAAGAAAAGTTAAAGTAAAAAGGGGAAGAGTTCACGTAGTCAATCAAAAACCTAATTAAAAAGTCTAGAACAAAGCAGAAGCAAATCATCAAAAAAATTGAAAAAGTCTTTAAAGTCATCAAACCTTTAAAACACTCCAAAACTTATTCAGAAAACCTTTGAGACTAAACTTGGAAGTTTCTCTAAGGAAATACAACAATAAAGAGATAGTTCAAGACGTAATGTGAGAATCTAAGACTCAAGAAATTCAAAGAATACTGTTGGTAGAACTTCAAGGTAATTTTTGTAATTTATTAAAGTTCTTCTCGTAAAGTTGGTTCTTCAAAAAAAAAAATAAAAAATCAACGAATTGAGTCTCCTTATGAAGAATCAAGTTCTTTTACAGATTCTAGCGATACAAAAGAAATTATGAAATTAAAAATGAATCCTTCTACTGCATAATCTAGATATGAGGTATTTATGGACAATGACAAAAACATAAAAGAATTTGAAACAGGATAATTTAATAAAGAAGAGAATCACTTATTAACAGCTAAACTGGAATCTGTCACAAAAGAAAAACTATTAAAAGAATATAGGATTTTGTACTACAGAAGTAAGGAAGTGAAAAATTTACTTACGGAGTATTATGAACAAAATTTACGTTTGACTTAAGAAATCAATGAATTACAATAAATCATTTAAGATAAACAACTTGAAAATAAATAAGCCAGAAAAGAAGTAAAATCTCTAACAAAAGAAATGAAAATTATGCAATCAGAATACAGCACTAAATTAGATCAATTGGGAAAATCTTACTAATAGTAAGAAATGAATAGTGTCCCATTAAACAATTTTGAAAGATTATAATAAGAAAATGAAAAAGTTCTAATTGAAAATGAAATGTTAAGGAAAGATTATAAAGCTATTTGTCTTAAAATTCAGCAATTAGAAAATGGAGTCTATTTAAAGAGATAGTATGAAATACCAGAGTAAGAGATTTCCTAAAGATTTCAAAGGGAATTAGAGTCAGTCAAAGATTAAACAGATAGGATAAAAGAAGAAAATATGAAATTGAAATTTCAATTAGATAGAGAATAGATTTCTAATAGAGAACTATCATAGTAAATCTAATAAAAGAAAAATGAGCTTGATGGAAATACGGAACAAAAGTAATATGAAATATAATCGTTGAAATCTCATTTATAAACGGCTAATACAAAAATTTAGAAACTAGAATTACAATTAACTTAAATGAAGTACCAATTGAATTCAGAATAGGAATAATCATTTTAAATTCGTGAAAAAATCCTTCGATAAGAAGAGGAGTTAAGAATATCTAACCTGAAAATAGAAAACAGAGAAAAAGAAATAAATGAATAAAGATCAAAAGAATTGATTTTAAAGAAAAAGATATTAGATTTAGAATCTAAAATTTAAAATCAAACACAATTGCCTTAATAAAATTTCGAACCGATCATTACATTCAATAAACCAAAAAATTCTGAATCAAGTATATTAAATTGTGATTAAATTAGTTATTAATAAGGAATTATAAGTTGAGCGGTAGATATTAGCAAAAACATAGGAGTAATTATTAAGTATTTAAGGAGAAAATGATCAATTAAAACGAAATCTTAAATAAATTGAGTTCGAATTATAATTTGAAAGGCAATAGAATGAATAAATCAAATTAAAATTCTCTTAATTGTAATAGGAAAAGGAATTTACATTTAAAAGAGCCTAAAAACAATTTGAAGAAACTGAAAGCAATCGTTTTAAGGAATTCTAATTTACTGAATAACAATATAAAAATCAAGAAAACTAATTATTATCTGCATAATAAAGAATAAGTGAATTGGAAAATGAACTTAGAACATATCATAATAAGGAGTAAGAATATAAAGATTTGATAAATGATCAATAGATTTAAATCGAAAAATAATAATTAAAATTAGAGTAAAATTCAACAAATTTAAGTGAACTTTCAAATTAGCTTAAAACAGTTGAAAATGCAAATAAAATATTGGATGAAAATAATAGACAATTAAAAATACAAACATAATAATTAATAAAAGATTTAGAACAAACTGATAAGTAAAAGGATAATTACAAAAATAAATACCTTAATAATGTGTACGAAAACAAAAAAATATTGGATTAATATCATGAAGTAATTGTAATCTAATATTTAGAAAGAAAATAATCTGAAACAGACATATACAAATGAGTTGGAAAAAGTGAAATGTTAAAAGGAGTAATTAGAAAAAGTGAAGAATCAAGAGGAATCTTAGCGATAATAAAAAGATAAAAAGCTAAAAGTTATAAGTGAACTATAGCAAATGATAAAAGGACATAAAATGGCTTTTGACAAATGAAAATTAAATTCACTATTAAATTAAGCATTAAAATCTTAATAAATTTATAATGTTTCAAGGTTTATGCAAGCCTTTTTTACAACCAGGATTGCAATCTCTACATTAATTACAGCAGGTAAAGTATTCATCCCCTCCGCATGTTCTACAGGAAAAATATTTGAGTTTGCCTGGATGAAATACGCATGTCTCAAATAAAATTTTTAATTACTTCCTCATTAAATCCTTCTTTTAAAGTTACGTTGCAACGAACACAATTCCAAAAAGCACCTGATTGTCTAAGAAGTTTAGATGTTTCTTCAATTTCTTATAATAGTCCTTAGAGCTGAATTATTGACGTTTCATCGTTCTGAATGGTTTTTACTAGGTCTTCACCCTATTGTTTTTTATGAATGGGGAAAGTCTGGATTTCTTTATAGGCAGGATTGGTGGAAATATCTATTTCAAAGGATTGATCTTTGCCACTAATTAAATCAATTAATAATGTTAGTTATTTAAGAAGAGAAGTTTTTTCTTTCTAATAGAATTCCCATTCATCATTTTCCCTTCTCAATAGCCGTTCTTCCCTTTCGAAAGTTTAAATTTTTAAATTAACTTGATGCATTTTATCAGAAACTATAGAAAACATTTTCTTTAATTCTTGTTATTCAAACTAAGTGATCTCTTTGATTATTATAATAAATACCTAATGTCTATTCACATTTTTAGATTATCTTATTTACAGGTAGTATTTCTTCTCTCTGATCCTTTGGCTTGCTTTTACTTTTTTCCTACTTCATTTAATTTTTGTTTATGAAAAATGATGAATAATTTATCAATTAATTTATATAAAAAATACACAAATTGAATGAAATCCTCGGATCACTAACAATAAAATTCAGTTGGTTGGCTTTTAAATTTGGTTGGAAAATTTTCTCCAAAAGATTTGGAAAAATCAAATCTAAAGGAAATTGGAGAAGAATATATGAAAAAGATCTTACTCTATCCTCAACTGTAATCAGGGAATGTTTTTAGTTACAACTAATAAAAATAAGAATTCTCCGAAAAACTATTTCATATATACCCTAATATTCTAATATGTCAACATGACAAAATTCATACTCATTTAATATTGAGTAATTGCAGTATTTAAAAAGAGTTAATCTAATACAAAGAAGCAAAAACCTATGGATTAATTATATCTAATAATTTAGGGAACACATATCTATTCTTTTCTTAATTCATTCAGTATCGAAACTGGTATAAATTGATGAAACAATATTGTAAATTGAATGACTTTTTTGGGAAGTACAAATTAACAGATAGAATGCTGCCTGGAATATATCAATGCTATAAGAAATCCGTAATAATTGATTATCAATTTAGAATAATGCCTAATTCACAGTTCAAATATACAAGATGGAAGACTTTGAATAATGGCCTGAGATAGAGGAGGTGGTTCATAATGAAATACAAATGCTACGTTCGATTAAGCATTCAAATTTGTTGCAACTAAGAAGAGTGTACGAAGATGACTCATATTTATTCATCCTCTATGAGCATTTCAAAGGAGAGTCCCTCTATAATTTAATATTAACAAATCCGTTACACGAAGTTCAAATAGCTTCAGTAATTAGCTTATCTATTAAATTAGATCGTTTATCAAATCTTGCAACTGCTTAAATTTTTGGATAAACATCAATTTTATCATGGAAATCTCAATCCTCTAAACATAATTATTAACTCCAATAATTAACTCCTTTAGATCTTTTTGATAAACTTATCTTTCAAAGTATTGATTGTTTTGGTATCAATAGCAATACAGAATAAATGATAAATTAGACTGGATTTTGAATAGATAGATTGAAGGATTTATAGCACCTGAGTTTTATAATGGAGTACCCCCAAACATTACTTCTGATTTGTATAGTTTAGGAGTCCTGCTTTATTTCATGACATTTCCAACACAGTTGCCAAGTGAGAAACATTTTGATAAATATGAAATCGATACAACTAAAATTTAGAGATTATTGTAAAAGAAATTGTCTTAAATCCCTAATGATGCAACCTCCCCACTTGATAAATCAATAGAGAAGAACATCAGTTTAAGCGAATTAGATTTATTATCCAAATTGCTAGAAACCATTCCTAGTATTTATTTCTTAAATGATAGAGCAAAGAATCACAATATCTGACGGTATGAAACATCATTGGTTTGTGAATATTAAGAGCAAGATTAAATAGCTGAATGTTGTGAAAAAGAAAAAGGTAGAATTGCCTTCATTAAGAACAATTATAGAATTAAGATCCTAAAGTGAACTGGACCTTAAGGTTTAATCTTAACTATCCAATAACAGAAGACAGTCAAGATTAGCTCCAATCTAGGTTGATGATTTTGATGTAGGTAATCTAGGAATGTATTAAAGTTAGTACCTGATGAAGGGCATCCTTTAGAGTAGGTTGCTGATCTAGATTTTTGTTAATTGCTAAGAAGCAGTACTTAATTAAGAAAAATGTAAACCTTAAGCAACAAATCCATTGGTTGATTTAATTCGAATGTATGATTTATAAAAATATATATATAAGATCTCAAATTATCAGCTTTTTCAAAATATGATTTTCTTATCATACATACATATTAATAAGGATGAGTTCATCATCTTTGCTGTCACATAACACACAAATAAAGCCTTATTTGGAACTAAAGAACTTCCAGATTATGGTCTAAAGAGTTTAAACTTATATTTACTTTTAGAAAAAAAAGTTATTTATTCTTAAATAATCCAGAATTATCCTAAACGGTATTAAAATCTTCAAATCATTCAATAAATTTGAGAAGATAATACCCATTGGTTTATTTTCTAAGAGACCAGCAAATAGATAATAAGGAATTGGAGCTAGAGGACTAATAACCTTGTATATAATATGTAGTACTAATTTAAATTTGGGGGAGTATTGTCTCTGTCCTAAAAATTGATTTAATTTCACATGCAATAAAGAATTGAAATTAGTTGACATAAATCCATAAGTAAAATTTCTAAAATAATTGATTTTGAATGGATCAGATATCTTATTATGTAATTTTTTACATCGTATTCATCTTATATTTATTAAAATTGCTCTGAATACTTGCTTCTGTATGAATTATCAATGAATGATGTAATGTAATCCATTGAAATGAATCCTAATCCTACCAAAGAAAATGATGCGATTCTCCCGGACAATGTGGGTTTTATTTTATACATAAATAAATTAAATATAATAATAAGAATTGTATATTATTAGTAAAATTCATATAAATTAATTAATAAGTATCATTCATTTACGAATTTTTCTTCATCATCATAATCTAACTCAAGACAATGTAATTATTTAGAAGAGAAATGAGAAGTTTCTTTGTTCTCAATTAACTATATGCTACTAATAATTTCCTCTAAATTCTTTAAAGTGATTGGCTTAATATATACTTCCTTCATTCCTGCACTCAATAAATTAATTAAATCATCTTCTCCAGAGAATCCTGTCAATCCGAAAATAGGTATCTAGAATTTCGGCTACTCTCTAAATAAAAATTAAAGTTATTTTGTTGCTTCTTACCCATTCATAATAGGCATTTAGTAATCCATAATTATGGCCTTATATCCTTAACATTTATGATCTTCAAATTATGAAATGCTTTTCTCAATTAGATCTACACATTACTGACCATTATCTGCCTTTATAGATTGAAACCCCAATTATTTCAATAACGATTCCAAGACCAGTAGATTGTAGGGCTCATCATCTACTATGACAATTTTTTAATCGCAGTTACATGGTGCCGACTAGAATAATATCCTACTCCCACCGCTATTTCTATGAATACTTGAAGTACCCCCAGAATATAACTGGTTACTTCCCTTTTTAACATTATTACTTATGCTACTATTCTAAAAATTGAGATTTAATTAAGGTGATCTCTTAACCTTATGAAAGATATTTGTACGACTACTAATTTCTGGATCAGTCCAAGCATTATATTTATGACTAAAAGTATCGAATTCGGCCACCTCTCCTTCCACTTATATTTAAGAGCCTTCTTTATTATATAAATCACTAGCCATAAATTCTGTCAATTGTGCAATTCTACACTTTAAATGTATACAAACTGTGGTTCCTTAATTAACGATTGAATCTATTGTAATGTAGTTTTCTTCCTCCTTTCCTCCTAAAAATTTAATTAAAGTATTTGATGCTCTTAGACCAAGCATAATCCCTGAAGCTGCATCAGAATTCTATTCTTCGAAAAATTCTTCTTCATTTTTCAATAGATTTTGTATTGCTTCTAATTTTTATTAATTGATTCCAATTCCATTATCTTTAATTTCTAAAAGATAATAATCATAATTATTTGTATTCGTTTATTGGTTGTTGTTTGAAAACTAGCTGCTTGGATTTATGTATTATCTAAAATTAGTATTCTTTCTTAATGGAAAATGGAAGGAACTTTCATTTATATCCAAAGAGCTTTTAAAAAGTTGAGATGGATTGGAAGGTTAAATGAGTTTTTTTTCATATTCTTTTGAATTTTATAAATGCTTATCTTAACTATCTTTACTGAGAGTGATAAATATTTAACCATTTGATCGATTAAATTTCAAACTGTTGGATATGATATGTATCAAAATACTTTAAAATTTTTCATAATCAAGCATCTCATATTAAGTTTAGTTTATTAATTTAAAGAAAATGATTTTCACATCTTTTAAGTCAGCTTCTTCCTAAAATAAATCTATCGTTTCTTAAACGACTTAAATTAATTTACATTTTTATATTTTAGTAACTAACTTCTATTCTCGAATCAAGTTGTAGTCTATTATGGAATTTATTATTAGGTTCTGTATTCTACAGTTATTAAAGGCTGCTCTTATTAATTTATTTGTTTCCTTATCAAATAGTTAACTTTTGTATTAGATTACTTCAAGAAAGCCTTATATAACATTCAATCTGGTCCTAAGTTCATGAGAAATTGATCTAATTACCTAACTTTTAAACCTATTCAGATTTTTGTAGTAGGAAGATTTGAAATTAGGGGAAATATCATAGAAGTTTAATAAAATTGCATTCTTATTCATTCCATATTGCAACCTTGTTTTAATTCTGACTTCAATCATGACAGGATATTCTGATGTTTAATTGTTTTCATATTGGCATTGCAATTGATAAATGTTTCCATTTGATAAACAATCAACATTGTTGATTATGTCTAGAGCCTAATTTAAATTTATTTAATTTAAATAATTTATTTCTTTTAACTCCTCAAATTTCTGCTGGCTTTCAACATTGAATTGCTCTTGTAATTGGGTTTAATTCAAATAAAGTCCTTAAAAAAACTAAATAATCTCATTTAATGAAAAAGTGATAAAGGATTCCTAAGAAGGCAGGTTCTAGTTTTAAAATACATTGAGTGATTTAGTTCCAGTCAAGCCTCCATTATTTAATTAATGTATCATCTTTTTTGTGAAGCTATTTGTAAAAAGGACGTCTTTGCTGTATGAATCAAGGACACAAACTGCACTTGGTATGCTTCTCAATGTTTAATCAGCAAATTGAGAGACTTTACTCAGACTAATTAATTGTTAATCCCAGAAATACAATATCATTATTATGAATATTATAATGTTTAAGGAATGTAATGATTTGAAATGAAAGGTGATATTTCTGATTGCAAAATATATGTAAAATTTCAGTAATAAAACAATTCTTAATTTTATCGTTCTTACTATTCCTAGAATCAATAACAAATTTATAAACATTTAACATATCGTCAGAATCTTACCATCAGATTCATTGGATAGGAAGATTTCTGTCAAAAATAATTAGAATGATGTCTCAATCAGTATGAAAGTCAAATTGATCAGGGTTAATCGATGCTATTCCTTTAAATGTGCAATAATATTTCTGACCACATACACTAATAATAGCACCCCAACAAAACAAATGTAAAAATAATAGGTAGTTAGTTATCTGTTGAAACTTTAAAAGTACAAAGAGTTGTAAATTATTATATATACCAGTCCAATTATCGCATAAATTTTGACTAAAGTAATAAACGCAGGCCATATTTTCTCCAGAATCATTTAATTGTGTTGAGCTATGTATCTCTGATTGGTATAATCATCAATTATAATCAGAATGTGCTCTTTTAATTTTTTTATTAACATATAAAAATTATTCATAAGACCTCATTTGACAAATATCTAGACGAATTAATTTTTCAAATCATCTCATTTGAAGAAGGATAAATTCAAAAAGATTTCCTATCAAAAAATAATAAAATTAATATGCACTTTATCCAGAAATTAAGATTTCTTAAAGAAACATGCAATTTATTTACAATATATATTTAATTAAAAAATTAAGTAATTAGCAAAATCGATATAAAATTAGCGCTTCATTTTTTTAAATAATTAATAGTACTTAATTGATTTTCTAAAGATATATTTATAAATTAATTAATTAATACTTTTAATAGCTTTAATATATTAGTACGATTATTTATTACAAAATAATACATAAAAAATATTCAAACCTTTTATTTCTAGTTTATTAATTAAATATTACATTTTCTCTGTCGGTATCAAACTCTTAATTGTTTGCTTACTTTCTCCTTCTTCTTGACATTTTAGTTTATTTAGTTTTATGATCAGAATTACTTGCCTCATATCCTTCTTCATCACCCTCTTCGTTCTATACATCCTTATCTTTCTTGCTTTTTTAATACTAAAATTGGTTTTATTCTACATACCTTGTTCTTATTTTATTCATCTTCTTCGCTTTATTGTGGAGTTCTCTCTTCATCACCATCATAATTGAAAATACTAAAAAATATAAATATTCAAACCTTTTCCTCTCTTTTGTTTAATACCCACTTTAAAATTACTCCTTCAATATTTATGTTTGGTTGATCTAATTGGATTACTTATAAATTAAAATACTTCTTGAATGGTGGATATCTCAATGAACTCTTAAATCTAATCCAACCATTGATCTTGAGTTAAATTCTTAATATATGGATTATCTTTCAAATCACTCAAAAAGTTTAAATATTAGTAGTCAAGTATTTGTTCTTAAAAGTAAGTTTTGAAGGAATCTTGAGTTTAAGAGATTAATTTCTTGTCATCGTGTTACTCATTTAAACATAATAAAGTTTCGTAATTCTTTCTGAGGACTGTGACATATTGCTAAGATAACTTAGTGGAGCAGATTTATTCGGCATTAAGTAAGGCTATTGGTCCATAAACGATTATGTTTGCAAAATATGATATTAGATTGCTTATGATTAATAGAAGATTACTTAATTGTTTACTGTTTTTGGATTAAGTATGCATCAATTATTTAATTGGACAGGGAATTGTCCTTCAATAATTACAAATATTAATCTTAAATCATTTTAATATAATTAATAATAAATAAATAATCATAAATCGATAAATATCTTCATTCACTGCTTGAAGATAGATTGATTTAAATTAACAATTTAGTCTTCCACAATTGTAAGCATTCTTTAAGTGGAATTTATTGTTTCCAACCATTGGTGATTGATTGAAGGGATTTCAATCTCAATGAAAACGAACTAGGTTAATAGAATACAGTTTATGATTTGCAATCTTTCTTGATTTGCTCAACACTCCTGCTTTCATGGATAAACTAACATCTGGCTCCATAAAAGCATACCTAATATATATTAATAGATTAACATATTCTTGATGGAAAGATCTACATAGTTTCGACTTATATTTCATATTAGATTACCGAGTTATCTTCTCGTTCTCACCATGAGCAAATTAGCATTTATTACTATAATTGCATCTGCCAAGAAGACTCCAATTCTTACACATTTCTGTTTTGAATTTGGTGTGGCTCTAAGATTCATCACTAGAGGAGGTCATTTCTTCGATGGGATCGTCATCTTGAACATAGAAGTCAGTGCTCATCGTTGTTAAGGTAGCTACGGTGCTCATGGATCCTCTTTTATCTGAATCCGACTGATCGTTGAATGAAATTCTCTTGGCATTTTTTAAACACTTCTGTGTCCATGTTGGTTAACTGGGAACATAACTATTCAAATCAGCGTTCAGTGATCGTCTACTATTATTCATATTTCAGAACCTTTCTGAATTTAATTTCTAACTTTTTGTTTGAACAGAGGTTCTTTATTTATAAGTTCTTAGCTTATTTACATCTGACATGAACAAGATGAGTTTATTTAGTAAACAGAAAGGAAAATGTTTATATAAATAATATATAGATTTTATATTAAAATTTATATCAATGATTGTCAGAATGCATTTCAATGCAATCAAGATGGCTTATGCCATTTCAAATAAATTGGCTGCAAATAAGATCAACAAACTCTCTTCAAGGATTAAATAAAAATAATCTGTGGAAGATGTTCATAATCTATAAGATTTCTTAACCACTCAAATCTAAGAAAGTATCTCTACCATTTATTTACCTTAGACAAGCTCTATAACACTATTCACAGGACATCCAAATATGATGATGGATTCGACGAATTTTTAACTGAATACAAAAAGAAGCATAAAGACATTTTAGATCTCACTCATTATGCAGCATCTCCTCTGAATAAAACCAATCAATTGAGAGAAGAGGAATTTAGATAATTACAATCATTTCTTGATAAAAGAAAGAGATAATTAAAAAAGGAAATTATTATCGATTAAAGTTAATTGGAGTCTGATCCTGCTAATGATAAATTTGTAGAAAAAAAACTAGGGTTCCAATACCCAAAAAATGTTAATCGTTCAGGATTCAAAATCAAAGATCAATTTTTTTGTATCCTTATTGATAGAGACACTAACACTTAAGTAACTACCTTATAAAGAATCAATTCTTTCAGACAACTGATTTTCATTGGAAATGGCAATGGTGTTATAGGATATGGGTATCATATTAAATTTTGAAAATAGGAAAGGAAAGGGTAAAGATTTTGAAACTGCATTAAGAAGAGCTAAAGTAGATGCTTAAAGAAATCTAGTACCAATCAGTCTTGACTTATGGCATACATGTCCAATCCCACTCACAGGAAGATTCAATGATGCAGAAATTGAAATTAATCCAAGACCATTAGGATTTAACGCCTATGGTAATCCTCAAATTGCATCTATGTTAATGCTAACTGGAATACATCATTGCAGCTTCAAGGTCAGATCAAGGAATTAGCTTCCCTATTCTTTACTTTATGCATTCATGCAAGCTGTGACAAAGTAATAGCAATCTTATTCTTTTAGTAATGCTACAGCTGAAGAAGTCAGTGAAGCTAGCGGTATGAAAATATATAGATAGAATTGGGGAAAAAAAATTGGAAGAACAGCTCCATTAACATTCGACGGAATCTGAGTTGCTTGTTTTTACAATATTCAATATGTAAATTCATGTATTTTTAATTCAAAAAATTATTAAATCATCTTTTCCCTATTTCTTATATAGTCTTGAATTGAGTAATAGTATTAAGTTGAAATATCAGAATGTTGATACTCTTTTTAGATTTTGATTTAATGTTGGTAATTAATTTATTCTCATATTAAAAAAAAATACTTCCCTAGAACTAAAATTATTTTGTTAACTTTTAAGTTCTAATCTATCAAAAAAAATTCAAGTTTTCATTATTTTTCACTTTCCCTTTAAATCATTCCTAAAGTCTTAATTTTTAGAATATTTTTGTTATTTTTAGTAATTAAGGTAACAACAATCATTTTTTTGGAATACAATTAAGTTACTTTTTCTATTTTTTTATTTATTTCACTTTGCTATTATAGATTTTCAATTATTAATAGATTTCTTGGATGCTAATTTGTTTAAACTCTTGGTTCTATAGACGTCTAATATTTTACATTCAAATTTGATATTATGTAATCTTTAATCCATTATTATTAATTGTGATGAACGAATAATTCAATTAGGCTCATTATGATATAAAACAACAGATTACACATTATGAGCATGACTTGGATCATTTTTGGACAACTCTAACAGGGTAACAAATACAACATTAAATTAAGGGCTGTTGTTCTGATTATGCAGTTGGGGTTTGCATTTCTAGAGGGTGGGTGTGTACGATATCGGAACATTCAAAGTATCATTATCAAAGTTTATGCTAACACTGCAATTAGCATTATTATGATGTGGATAGTATGAATAAGTTAAAATTTAGGTTGGTTATGGATTGATGATGGGTAAAACTAACGACTCATAATTTAATGGGATAAGTGGCTTTTCAGGTTTCAGATTTAAAGATCATCCTGAATCTTATGCCGATTTTGTATTTAATACTGCATTAGCAGCTGCAGCAAACAGTATTGTATCTGGAGGAGCAGCAGAAAGAATGTCAATACCTGGTTATATAGCTTTGAGTGTATTATTTTCTGGTTTTATTTATCCTATTTGTATCCATTGGGCATACAAAGGATGGTTATATGATTTGGGTTATCATGATTTTGCTGGAAGTGGAGCAATCCATTTAACAGCTGGAATTGGAGCTCTTGTTGTCACTTTTATGCTTAGGCCAAGAACTAATAGATTTAATCCATAGTTTGAATCGTAATTTAAACCTTCAAATACTACTTTTATTTGTTTATCCTGTTTGACATTATACATGGCTTGGATGTGCTTCAATTCAGGATCTACTTTAGCATTGTCTGACGGTTCAGTCTTCACTGTTGGAAATTCAATTGCTAACACAATGGTAGGTGGTGCGAGTGGAGGATTATTTGTTTTCTTTTATCATTATTTTACTAACAGAAACACTGATAGTCGTTTTAGTTTAGTGATGGTTTGTAATGGCAATTTGGCAGGCCTAGTAGCAGTAACAGGGTAAAAGTTAATTATAGTATTTTTAAGATCCAATGATGAAATAGAATAATGGGCAGCCTTTGTGATAGGGATTATTGGAGGAATCATTTATGTCTTGGTGGCTAAAATATTACATAAATTGCAAATAGATGATCCTGTTGATGCCATTCCTATTCATGCTGGATGTGGTTTAGCAGGAGCCATGTGTCCAGGGTGGTTTGATAGAAGAAGAGGAATCTATTATGAATGGGGAGCATATCAATGGGGAGTTTAAGTGCTTGGTTGTGTATGTTTTGTTGCATGGTAATTCTTTTATAGTAATTGATAGGTCTGTAGCTTGGCATTACGTGGCTTGCAAAATATTGGAAAGACTCAATTTGCTTAGAGTCCATAATCGCATAGAAATGGAAGGGTTAGATCCAACGATCTGTGGAGGACATGCATTCTTTTATGAACCCGTAAGAGAATAAGAAATGAAAGAACCCTATTCATTTTAAAGAGATATTCAATAATTAGAATAAGTAAAATTAAGCGAAATGGAAATAGATGAGAGAAATCTATCTCTTTTTAAATAAGCTGATAAATGAAAAATATTTTGGTGAATTAATATTCATAAATCTATTTTTATTTTTCTTTCTCTTGCATTAACAACATAGGTACTATTTTAAATAAATGTGTAATCTGGTTAAAATGCATTAAAATCTATTGTTTGATTTTTACCATATGATTTTAGTACCCAAAAATGATCACTATTATTTGTGATTACTGTTTCAAAGATATCATCAAATGGTCTTCCTGGTAAATAAGTTTTAGATTCCTCTTCACAATTGACAGTTCTTATTCCCATAGCACCGTCTCCGAAGTACACAGTTCCTTTATCTGACTTTTTATTAGCCTTTAGAGGGTAAGTTCTCTTATATTAATGAACGTGATTTTCAAAAGCCCCCACAAACTCATAGGTATCAAATAGAGGCACCCAAACAGCTCTAGCCTATAATAAATTATCCCAAGAGTTCATAAACGAATTATTATTATAACAAGTAGGGTAAATAGGAACATGATAATGAGCAAATTTATTAAGTTAGGCGTAAGCTTCATTTTATAGAATTGAGATCATCCAATTTGATTGTGTTCCATTATGAGGATATAAATAGCCAGAGTCTAATCCAAAGAGCAGGAGATTTTGCATCTTTTAAATATTGAAAGTCACTCTATGTTTAATTGGTAGAACAGTATTGTTAGCAGACTTTCTCTAGGGAAAGTAGGTGAAATATAGAGGTCCCCTCTCATCAGACACTGTAATATTGTATTTAGCATAATCATTGAATCCCACATCATGATTACCAACTGAGAAAATGAATGGAATCAATCTTCCAACCTTTGTAAACTGAGTTTCAAAGACTGATAATAGTAAATCAAATGAGTAATAGCAATGTACGTTGCCATTATCATAAGCAATGTCCCCTCCAATCAAAATAGCATCGGGATTGACTTTGGTAATCTAATCCACAATCATCAATCCTTTTTTTTAATAACCCCAATCTCCTCCGAACAAAATCACAACATCATCATCTGAATACTATTCTGCTATTGTTCGATACTTTGTAGAATTCAAGACTTTCTCCTTGTAGATTAGATCCACATCATAAAGAGTATATGATTTTAGACCTGTTAATAAACAGGTGAATACATTTCTCTACCCTCTTTCCTCAACAGATGATGGAAAGGGTATTTTGTCACACTTAGTATTTATTTTCGAATCTTAAAACTTGAATTATGCATTCAATTCCTCAATGTCAGTTCCAGAATGCACATTGATAAAAACTTCCGATGATGTCTCTTCAGGTAAAGTTGCATATATATGACATAAGGTTCCTTTTGGGCATACTTCATCTGGCAACCAATTTGATCTAGTCCATTTTGATGAAAATTGTAAATCCAAAAATGTATCTACTCCATAAGCTTTATTATAAACACAGAGGCATCCTTTTTGAAAGGCTAATGGAAGGAAGATGGAGAAAAATACAACAGTGGTCACTTCGAATGCCAAAAGATACTTAAAATATTAGGCTGCATTAGTGCATCTCTTTTTAAAAGATTTACCTAAAAATATATTATTATATTATTTACTTTTCCAAAAATTTGAATGTCTCCATATTTATACTAAAATTCCAAACATTCCAAGCAGAAATATTAACAGTCCACATACCCAAGAAGGGATCAAATTAAAAACTGCGTAACTAACCAAAGCCAAAGCCAAAGGGCCTATAATAAACCAAAATAGAACTATATTGATTGATTCCACTATAATTGCCGACAATGGTTTTTCTTAAAATCAATAAGATAAATTTTCTTACATTCTTTTTTTACCTCAAAAAATGAATCAGTAATATTAATCTGCCCCACTTATTTCTACTTCTTAGGCTTTAGTAAATAGTACACTATAACACTTAATATCACATTAACTACGAAAATCCCCATTGAAACAAGCACAACTACCTAAACTTATATGTTTTAACTACCTTAGCAACTTCCATTGCAAATGAGTGATCATATGTCATACCCTTACCATCCCAAAGCAAATCAAAGAACGTCATATTTTGTGATTAAATATGTAATATTATATATATATTTTTAAGACTTTAATTAATATGCGTATGTAATTAATGCAATTTATTCGATTTGAATCGTTACTTCAATTAACTATTCTTAAGGAAGTGAAAATTTAGATATTTATTATTGTCTTACAATCGTTCATTTTTAGGGTTACTTTTTCTGAAAAATGCAATTTACACATAAAATTACTCATTTCCATAATAATGTCTTCTGCATCCTTAAAGTCTATATATTGGCTAATATTTAATCTGTAAACACAATATTAGGAAAATATAGAATTTAATACTTTCAGAATAATTTTATAATTAATAAATACAATTTACAATAATGAGCGATAATTATTTTTCTATTGAAGAGCAGGTTCGTATTTTGAACTTATATACGCAAAGTTAGAAACTTTTGGCCTTTCAGGTTCAATAACTATCAGATTAAATCTAAATGCATAAAGAATAAATTAACAAATATTCCTAATTGGTTGGGGACTTTCTGCAATAATTATAAAACATAATGCCTCTTAACAATGAAAAGTTAAAAAAGAAATCAATTAAACATTAATGGATTAAATTATATATTAACAAATTTAAAATGCAATGTTGGATTCATGAAGATTATTGCACATACTTAACTTATAATAAAATTTCTATTACAAATTCAAATATAAATAAGCTAATTTTAGAGGATGAGTGTAGCAATTTTGAAGAAAAGACTACAGATTACATTATTTTAATAAATGAGTTATTTGCAAAAAAAATGTTAGATGACCATCAAAATATTCAATAAAAAATACAAATGGATATAGATAATCTTCAACTCTTTGAAATAATAGAGAGAATAAGTGATTCAAAAGAAATTTTAACATAGGAAGAGATCGAATAAATTTATCTTAATTTTAATAAATACAAGTTAGATATAATAGAAAAATAGTATTAAAATGTCTAAGCTTTTATTTAAACACACTACACAGATTTTTTACAGCAATCTGTAATACAGTAGCCCTAATACCCTTAAGAATTAAGGTATGAAAACTATGGTAATAATTTGGAAATATTAAAATCTATTGAAAAGTACATCAAAATACAAGAAACAGATGAAACTAAACTGCATAATCTTCAAAGAGGACTCTACCATTTGCGCTTAAAAAAGGGGAAGAAGATGTTTATCATTCTCGAAATTACATCAAAGAAAAAATAAAATGCATATATTATTAACTACTTCCAACATTATAAAGAGGCATCTCAAATCATTCATAAACTTCAAAATAATTTTAATTGTTACTATATAAGAACAATAAAATTGCAAAAGGCTTAAGAGGCTTATTTAATTTGTAAACACCTAAAATTGAAAAATGAATTTTAGTAAAAATAGAATTAAATCATAGAAATATATCGAGCAGAGAGTTTCTAATAAATTAATCTTGAAATAGAGAATATAATGAAATTTATTTTCTAAACTTAGCAAATGATCAGAAATTTTATGTCAAAAATAATTAACAATTCAAAAGATGTAAACTAAATATATACATTAAATTTTGTAAAGAGTTTGAGGGAGAAAAAAGCGCTTGAGATTACACTCATAGAAAGAATTTAATTTAATTAAAACATTAAGTCCATATAGTATTAACCATCAATGCTAGGGGCCATTTTGGAAGACTAAAATAAAATTACATAAGGAGTAGTACTTTACTTCAATCGAAGAATAATATTGTTCTTTCTCAACAACTTATAATATAATTATCAATAAGAGTTAGAGAAGGAACCTAATAAATTTGTAAAGATAATAAATACTAAGGTCAAAAATATTGAAGCAGAAGCTGCTTAATTTTATATTACATTATTACTCAAAAATTAAACAAAGAATGTGGCAAGGGATATAAAGAGTTTTTTAGAATAAAAAACAACAGCTTGGGTTAGCATTTTGAAGTTTTTAGAAGAAAAAAAATGATTTTATTTTTTATCGTTAAATAATGCATAACAACAATTCTTTTTTCTAGAATGACATAAGTTAACAGTAAATTGATTAAGCACTCTTAAGATTGAATGCATTACTCAAGGATGAACCTCCAAAATAAGAAAAATAAAAGTTTAAAAAACCTCTACTTATTAATTAAGAAGATGCTTCAAGTATAGTTTCATCATAACCTAACTATACATATTAAACTAAAATGACATCTGAATAAATCAATCATTTTGTTGATAGAATGAATGATAAATTTAAACAGTAAATAGTATTTTAAAGTCATTCATAGAACTTAGAATAAAATAATTGAGCTGAGAAAAGATAAGATATATTCTCCAATTAAAGTGAATGAAAAGAGTTAATCAATTCTCAAATAAAAAATACAAAATGGTGAATATTAATCATTATATGAAAGAGCTAAAATCAGGTAAATTGAAAAATAAGAGAAAATCAAAGAAAATCAAAGATTAAAACTGTTAGATGAAATGATGAGTATGAAAACTAAATGCAGTGAATCGAAATCAGTGGATAATTTCTTACAAAAAATGGATTATTGGTAAGAAAAGAAGACTCAATACATCTAAAATTAGTAATAAGAAAAAATAGAAAAAGAGTTAGAAGGAGTTACATTTAAACCTAACCTTAATCCATTATCCACTAAGATAGCCAAACAATAAAATAAAGATAGTGACTTATTAGAACGCTTTTAGAAATCCAATCAAAATAAATAATTGAATGAATAAAGATTATTAAAGGATGAACTAAAAAAAACACCATTTACGCCTAAGTTAAATAAAAACTCAATTCTAATTAACAACAAAGTGTAAAAATAATAGCAATTCAAAAATCACAATTATTTTTTAAACTAATAAGCATTGAACTAATCAAAAGACTCAAGTTTAATTAATTTTAATAGCACCGTTCAAAAATAACAATTATCAAATGATGCATTTCATTCAAAATAATCTAAATCATTGACTCCTGATAATGTTCGTTCTAGATATTCCACTGAAAAAATCAAAGATGATAACTCAATTAAAAAGAGATCGACCACTCCATTAAAACAAAATAAAATAATCCCAAATGTTTAAGAGGTCAAATATAATCCCAATCTGAAGTTTTTGATGACATTGGCCTAAAAAGATTTGAATTATTCATCCTTATTTTGATTTTATAGATTGACCATCTCCAATTTATAACAATTCAATAGATATTATATCTTTAATTATTCAATTTTGATTTTATAAGAATTCAATTCTTAATTAAACTTATTTCTTATACTATATATATATATATAATTATTTTGATTGTTTTTATATAGAAAGAAACATTAATAGTAAAATAAAACAAAATGCCACAAAAGTTAAAATACTAATTAAATATACATCATTTTATAATAATATAACAAAATCCATCTGGGTTGATGAATGTTGACACTAATAATCTGACTGGGAAATCCAAATTTACCTATAAACCTAAGACATTGACATTTAATTCATTATAATTCAAACTCTAAAATAATATGTAATAATATACATCTTCAAAAATTGGTTATAAAACATTTTACAGAGTTTCTTTCGCGTCCTTTAAGACATGGGATCTTTAAATCATATTTCCATCAATAAATATCCTAATTGGAATACTGAGTTATTATTCCTTCTTTAACATGGTTAAATCCCAGATTTTGTCAAAGAATTCATAAAATTGAGGTCTATAATTATGGTCAGAATAGTTTTGGAACATTTTATACTATTATTCTATAGTAATTGTCTAGAAGATTTATCGTTCCCATTTATGACCATACCTAATCATGCATGCCTATTTTAGATTCCAAAAGTATCTATTTTTGATATCAACTTAAATGTTCTCAGAAATAGGTAATACATTTTCTGGTCTTTTTTTAAAATGAACAACCATTTCTACCTCCTCATTAATTCTATCTATTTGTACAAAGAAAGGAATATGCCACTAAATGGGTTAATCATTAAATGATAACCACAGGGAGGATCTCGCTTTATTTGAGTATCTTATAAAATGATTGTAGATTGATTCAAAATAGAATCCAGGATACTTATTGTTGTAAACTATGCAAACAAAGGGGATGATATCCTCAACATCTTAAATGATAAATTTTCCAAGAAAAGATTATTCATTAATTTATTTGCGAATATCTTCTAAACTCATTTCTTCTAAGGGTTAATTATCCATACTATTTTAATAATATATTATTTATATAAATATTTTAATATAACTTATTTTATTGATCATTTATTTATATGTAATAAAATGTCCTATTTGATTGTTGTTTAAGTGAACTAAAAACAAGAGAGTTATAATAAAAAATAGATAATTTTTTACAATAGGAAGTTAAATAATAACTCAATAAGAGTAGATCGTGAGCAGAGGATTTACAATTATAAAAGAGGCTTATATTTTAATATGAATAATAATTTAGAAATTTGTGAGCTATAAAATAAATATTTTAATGATGTTAGAGTGTGAGGGATAATGAATTTGAAGAGCATTTGAATAGATTTCGTATAATATAAGTTTGTATTCTATTGTTTATCTAAATTGGGTGAGAAATTAAATCTTTTTTTAAAATATAAAAAAATGGTTAAAAACTCAGCACAAGACCCTTAAGATAATTCACTCTAAATGAAAGTAATTGATAAAAGTGCTATTGGCTTAGACTAGATAATATTTGGTTTCCGGAAGAAGACTTCCATCTAAGGAAGACCCAAATCCCAAAGTGATTAGTATGAGAATCTTTGCAAGAAACACAGTCGCTGCTAAAAGCAGATTCTGGTATAGCATGAGTTAATGGTTAGGTGGAATTTAAGAAGACTCAATAAACTCAGACCTTCACATGGATAGATCTTAGCAGTATAAGAATTATTTGAAAGAAGAGACACAAATGTCAAAACATACGGAATCGTTCTTAAATATTAATCCAGAACAACCATTCATAATATGTACAAGGAATTCAGAGACACAACTTTAAATGGAGCAGTCTCTTAATTATGTAATAACATTTGCTGAAGAATATTTTAGATCAAGAAATGGCTGGAAATCACAGAGCTCAACCATAAACAATTCATATTCTCAGAACATCAGTTTTAACAAAGAGTGCTGATATCAAGAGAGGAAAGACTAATTAATACAGAGTACAATTCAAATATAGTTTTAGGGTGACTCAATCAAATTCCCAATTGTCAAAACAGTCCCAAGAGCTAGTCACAAAAAGTTCAGAACAGTGTTCAAAGCCAAAAGACCCAACCTCTACAGATCATGAACATGTTATTTTAGTACAATAATCATCATATAATAATATTTAATATTAATTAATCATTCCCATTAAGCCACTATTCAAACATCATTTGAAATTGGTTCATAAAATATAAATTTTAATATAATATATATTATCATTATTTATTAATCAATTTTTTAAAATTAGGCAATTTTTAAACAGGTTCTTGATTATGATGTATCTAAATGGATAAAGATCCAGTAAAAGTCTGAATTTTCATCAAATTAAGATAATTTAAAGCTTCGCTTGCGCTTATCCTATTTTATGGATTTTCTTCTAACATTTAAGCTATAAGATTTTAGTAGTCATTTGATTTTATTTTTTAAAGTATCTAAGTAGTAACGGTGAAATTTTTGTTGTTTTCCATAATTTCCTTTTAATTGCTTCCTATAATTAATTTTAGGCCAGTCAACCTAAATTGTTTTATTATTCTTACATTTGGTATAAAATGGCACCACATGCAAAGATATCCACTTTTTCTGATACTTTTTAAGAATTATCAAATAATTCTGGTGCCATATATCCAGGAGTTCCAAATTTCATGTCTTTATCTTTATCCAACTCCTATAACTTTCCCGCACTTGCAAAATCAATTATGTATAATTAGGAAAATTAACCCAAATCATAAAATAAAATGTTTTCTGGTTTTATATCTCTGTGTACAAATCCATTTTTATGAATATGATTAATCCCCTCCAAAATTTACTATTGAGCTTAACATTATATACTGTACATGTAATATGATTATAACTTCTTGACTATTTAGTTTGCAATATTTGAGACATTGACTGAGAGAGCCACCTCTTAGGTATTATAGCACGATCTAATATGTGGAATCTGATTCGAAGATTTGGATTAGCTTGACTATATTTTTGTGTTTTAGTTATCTCAAGCTTTCAACTTCGTTTTGAAATAACTACATAAAAAAGACATGGTACTTATTAACTATTTTTTTTCAGTTTTTTCATCTCTTTTAAAGCAAATATTTATTCATGATCAATTCTTTTGATCAATTAGATCTTCTTTATAAATAGATTTAAATACAGAACTTTATTATTTGGATTCAGGTTTTTTTATTGCTTCAAAAAAGAGATCCATATTATAATAAATCACTTTTCCATCCATGTATTCTTTAACTCGGAGCAACACATTCTCATCAGCATAAAAATATCTCTCTTATCCGTTCCAAAATATCGCAAAGGCTACTAATTTCTGATTTTCCTCATTTACTTTCCAATCAATCATGGTTTGCGAATTCATTGGAATTACATACTTGATTTTTTAAGTAGACTTAACTATAAACTAAAATATTACTTCCCCAATATCAATACTGTCCTGTTTAAGATAGATAATATAGCTTCTATCGAACAATAAGTGCTCTCTTATGCAATACATCAATTTGAATATTAATGAATTAAGATTAAAAGATTCTATCCGCTCTTAAATCCCTGCTTCTAATTTCATTAACCAACTAGTAGAGCATATTATAGAAAATGAAAAACTAATCATACAACTACCTGAAATATTGTAATACATTTATTTATAAGATGTATCCAAATTTTAACAATCAATTGATAAGATTGCAGGAAGAATACCAAGTCATTCCGATTCCTTTTTGTCTGTAATCAAGAAAATGCAAGCGAATATGGCAGAAACTATTTAAATTACATAAGAAAAAGTTTAAATTTTAACTTTCAAATGAGCTCATTTTATGTTATTTATTTAGAATCTAATAGAAATACACATACGATCGACGAAGATTTTTGATATTCGAGTAGCAAGTGCGAACTATTTCATAAATCTTACTATTGTGTTATTATCATATAATTAATTATAAATAATATAAATCCTCGGAAATTGATTAAAATTTTATAAACTCAAGGGAAGTATTCGTCTTTTATAAACTTCACCATAAAGATTTCTGACTCAAGTCTTTTGTCCAATGGCACCATATGTCCAGCATTCCTTATTGTTAATAATGTGAGACCATCCATATCCATAACATAACCAGCATTTTAGTCAGGGTCAACATCTCTCATTGGTGGAACAAACCAAGGTCTCCAGGGTTTCAAAGTAGCCAATTCTTGATATAGTAATTTAATAATACATAATTCTTTCTACAATTTATCAACCCAAAACATTGTTCCTGTCAAGGGGACAACTGCATCAACATCACCGCTGAATTTCAGAATTCTAATTTAATTTTTAAGAATTTTCGGATATAAATAGTAAGATCCTAAAGGATTTACATTATATTAGCCCAAGGTTCTTGAACAAACAGCCCATTTGGCAGATTCTGTTCTGATTTTAAGGAGCTAAAGATATATTTCAATATTACAGCTCTGACTTCAGCAGATCTTAAATGATGGTATAATCCTTGAACATCAGCACAAGGAGGAATATCAGAATCTTCCTTTAGTGATCTCATTCCGCCAAATTTCTAGCTCATAGTACTACCTTCAGGAGTATAGGTGAAGCAATAGCCGTAGATATTATAAGGATTGAATTTAATATTGTCTTCCTTTGTTCCACTAACTTCAACTTCAACTCTATCAGCTAATTCCTTGCATATTCCATCTTAACTTCCATAACATTCATTTTAGACAGCCAATATTTTTTCGTATAATTCTTGACTAATAAAATTATGACGACCATAAAATTTATAAACATGAATTTAGAATGGATCGGCTTCATCTGTGCATTCAGTAGGATCAGTACAGCCATTTCCTATAGCCAAACCTTATAAATTAATTCTACTATCTGCTGCCTTTCCAGCGTTGTAATCTATAATTTCATTTGCTAAAGTTGGAATGTAGATTCCAGCATATGATTCACCTGATATAAAGAATGGCAATTTTTTAAATTCTGTAAATCTGTTAAAAAAGTCAACCAAAGCATTGATGTTATACTTTGCCGTAGATTCGTCTGATTATTCACCTTGTGGTCCATATGAAAATCCTACTGTGATTGGAGATTCAATATAGAGCATATTGGCCTTAGATATAGATATTGATTTATTACAAAATTTGTCCAAGAATACTTGTTCATTTCAAATTCAGAGGTTCCAGCTTTAAATACGAATGGACCATTCTCATTAAATGCACCTTACAATGATGAACATCCTGGACCACCATTCAACCAAAGAATTACAGGCTTCTTTAATGGGTCTTCTGGTGCTGGATAAAACATATAATGAAACTATGCTGTTCCTTCAGTATTTGCTTTAAGATAACCTGAATAGCTAAATATATTCTTGTGGAATCTTACACTAATCCATTGTAATTTATGTTGAACAATCTATTTAGCTCTTTCTGATCGACTTTATCTGCATCATCAGCTAAAACTTAAAGAGCAAAAGATGTGGAAAGCAAAGCCAAGAATAAAACAAAATTGTTCATTCTTTATTTTTAATATTTTGTTCTAAATGATGATTTAATTGCATATGTAATAATAATTATTAATATATTATTAATGGGAAATGGTACGATTATTTTATATTTAATAAGATGCTTTGAGCTCTTGTACAAAAAAACAAAAATCCTCCTTAGTTTAAAGAGAATCAAATATTACAATAAGTAGATAGTTCAACTCAACAATGTGTTCGATATTGCAGGGAGATATATATTGTTAGTGGATTGAATATAGGTATTACATTTGTCTATTATAGTAAATTTGTTCATATGAACCTGCAGATTCTTTAATCGTTAAAACAGTATTTATTTAAATTGATAGTTTAGAGATCAGTATATTAATAATAGATAGAGTGATGAGATCAGAGCAAGTATATTCTATGTTCGATTTAGTGCATGTTGGAGATGTTATTTTAACAGAGAGATAGAATCTATTCCTACTTCATGCTAAATTACCGATGTATTCCGAAATTAAAGATTTATAAAAAGTATATTCAACATATGAAAAATGGTATCTAAATCTAAGATTTTAAGTTTGGAGATTGCTGATGAAAACATTTTGTCTGAAATCACTTTTACAGAATAAAATGCTTTAAATTTTGCTATTCCAAAATAGTATAACGCAGAATGTTTAATTAGATGTATCATAAATTATATTAGTTTGAATCCTTAAACTAATTTAAAATAAATAAATTTCCTTAGCAATGATTACACAACAGTAAATTCAATCATTATTTTAGATTAACATATTTAAACTTGAATTAGATAATATTTTAGAAGAAATGAAAGTCCCAAATTTGGCAGAGAAAAATAGGAAAATCTTTTTTGAATTTTTAAACTCAACTAATTGTGAAGAAGCTCCATATTTTCTAAGTACAGGCTTGACAACAAGTTTTGCCCATCTAACTGAGAAAAGTGCTGAGTGATTTGAATTTATTTATACTCTTATATATTGAAATTTAATAGAAAGTTATTTAATTTAGTACTAATATTCATTATCAACAGTTTTTCATTTTATTTTTTCCATAAAATTGATAAAATGATCATAAGTAAACTATTTTTAAATTAAAAATTATAAATACCCTCCATTTCAAACAATGTTTTTCGAATTCTTTATTTAATGATTGCTAATCAGTTTACATAAGCCTCACTAAACTTTTTTTGCTTATATACTAACTCTTATTTGATAATATCTAGAATCCTTTCCTAAGATTCTCTATAGTGAGAACTCTACTTAAAGTGCTGTTCATTATTAAAAAATCTTGAAATGATACTTAATCATTAGATTCTATCAATTGCTAATAATCAGTTCCCACATTTTAATCTTAAAATAAGTCTTGCAGTAATTTGCAGAGGCTTACAAGATTCAAATTGTTTTCTTCATTTTTATCTAAACTATCATAAAGTTTCTTCATTATTAAAAATTAATGAGGAACAAAAGATTAGATCAAATAAAAAGTAAAGCACTTTTATAAATAATTAATTTTTTTATGAAGATTTTATGGTATTAATTTTAGTTGATGCAATTTTAAAAATTCCTAATTTCCAGATTACACAAACTTGTTCTCTTTTATCTAATCAATTTTAATTCTCTATTAAGGTGCCAATTAAAGCATTGCCAATATTAATGATCTTAAATTGATTCCAATTATATTTTATGGGAGCCTTAAATTGGCTTTTATTGACTCTAACCATATTTCATTATCTTAATCCTTATAATTGCTAATTTTTGTAGCATTTAACTTTGCAATCATAGTGTAGATTATCAAGCCTATCTACCATATATCCAATTCTGATGATTTATTCCTATCAATTATATCAAAATTTGTGCTGCTGAACTCACCTTTCTTTAGATGAAATATTCCATTTATATTAGTTAATTTAAGGTAATGATATTTTGAATTTACAAAAAAATGAAATGATTGCATGTCCAAGTTGTTATGATATAGCTGTTTAGAATGTAGATGACTCACAATAGAAATAATCTATGAAACAATTATTGAAATTTGTTCCAAATTTATATCTTCATGTTTATCTAAATAATCTTATAAGCTTTCCTAAGAACAATACTCGAAGTAAAACTTGTCTTTTTGCTATGATTCCTCATTTTCTACTTCTAAAATTTCAATTATGTGTGGGTGAGACTAGACTTAACAAATAATTTACAAGTGCACTTTTATTCAATCTAATATTACTATATTGAATTGTTTCTTCACCTTAAGAAGAGGAACTTGTATAATAAATTCTTCCAGTAAATTTATTTGCAAAGTATTTATAAATACATTTATCTGCTTTATTCAATTCTTCGGAAGGAATGAAATCACTTTCCTGCAATTTATTCATATCAGCATTTCTCTTACTTATAAGAAGAGTTTAATGTGATCTTATGCTTCTGGGTGAGGAGATAAGTTTTTCTTTTTGCATTTGATAACTTTCTAAAATCACTGTCAGCTAATGTTAAGCACTATTAGGCTAGGACAAATTTCCAAATCTATTATTTCTTTGAAAATGAGAACCAGGAGGTGATTGTTACTTTGAACTTACATTTTAAATTTTCTAGAATAATTGTTTTTTGTTTACATCGCTCTCACTTTATGATTTATTATTTTTTGAGGAGTTTGTCTTACCACTGCATAATCCCATTTGTTAAATACTAAATTATAAAATGATTAAAATAGGATTTAAAACATAAAAATAAATTATGCTCACTTCTTGGATTATTATTAAATACAATAAAATAATTAATATCTAATCAATATACAATAAAAATTAATACTGGAAGTAACAAAAGAATATCTTAGATTCCTGATTATCTTCTTTTATGTATATAATTCTTAATTAAATCATAAAAAAATCATTTATATACCTATTTTTAAATTTTTAAATTTTTAAATTCACTAGACATCAATTACAACAATTATTTTGATTTTTAGAGTCCATTTAAGAAAATAGCCCTTGTTATAAATGAATAATTAATTATACTAATTAATTAATCGACACAATTTATTTTAATTAAATAAATAATTAATAATATGTGTTAATTTATCATTAAGAGATATTAATGTTTTTTATATGAATTAAATTACAAATATTTTTAAATCAAATCAAATCAATTCTTACCACTTAAGGAAGAGATTATTTTTTATGATTAAATTGAAATTTCAGAATTATATCGATATACATATTTATTTCATCAGATCTTTTTTAAACAATATAATTAAAGATTATTGTCTAAGTATTCTTAAAATAATGTATATGTATTCTTAAAATAGATTACGAACAAGAATCTGAAAAAGTATAAAACATATATTTAGTAAATGAACCTTGCATTTGAGTGATAATTAGAATATTTACTAAAATATTAAATAGATACTAGTACCTTAGATGCCTAAATTTATCTTCGTTCCTCATATAGTCATTTTATAAGGAGAATTAAAGCAATTAATTATGTTTGAAAATTATGCGAAAACTGAATTGCTAATAAGATAGATGAATTACTACCTTGATTTTATATTGAAAATTCACATTTTAAAGTATGCAAGTACTTTTTAGAGAGGCTTTTCAAATTTTCCAAAAAATGAAGGCTCAATGTTGAATTTAATTAATTATTCACATTATTAATTTGAACTGAAAAATTGAATTAAAATTGCTTCAAAGAACAAAAAAATCCTAATAATTAATAATATAAATACTCTAATATTGAAGATGCATTGATTCTTATTATAAATTATTATTTATAAAATATAATAATAAATATTCATAAATTCTAATTCAATTATGCATTAGATTAAAATTTAAATCAAATAACAGAAAACTTTACAATTTTCAAATGCTAAATTTTGTAACACAAATTCATAGATCGATATTGAGGTTTTCTTTTGTAAGGGGGCACTTTAAAGTATGGAGCTAAAGAATCATGCGAGATTTAATCATAATCTATTTAATGAGTTTCACTAAATTCTTCAAACTCATTTTCATTTGCATTAACTAAAGCTTCGTATTCTGCCTTGCATTTTTTATAAAACCTTCTGTACTGTCTCCAGCAATACTGAATCAAGGTTTCATCAATATTTTGGTCTAAAGGTTCAACTTCATAGAGCATTTTATTTATTAAATTTGGTGCTAAGTATCGATGTTATTTCGTTTAATGTATTACGAAACTATTTGTATCATTACTAGTGAAAAATTCAATATTTAAATTCTTTTTGCATTTTTCCTCAAGCTTCATTGTCTTTTTGAGTTATTTCATTCCACTCAAAATTTGTTAAATATTTTTGAAATCTGTGTTTTTATCGTGGATGATATTGCATTAGTATATGTTGTATTTCTATTAAGGAGGCTTAAGGTTATTCTCTAGAATTCATATTTTTAAGAATACTTTTAAGTGCTTCTTCCTCAAGGAGAAGTCCATTTTTATTACAATACTTTAGATAGTCATATATGTCTGTGAACCCTAGTGACTCAAGATGCTTGATGAAGAGGAATTCGTTTTAAACACAGCTTTAATATATTGGATCTTAGATTAATTGTTCATATAGAGTTTATTGCAAAGGGGCATTTTTTCGTTTTCTCAAGATTCTTTCAGTAAGTCCATCAAGCGGTTTATTCTACAATGAATCCTCTTCATGTTCTTACTGGGAATCGGTCAAATCTATAATATTACCGGGAAAATTAAAATCTGTCTTAAAAACTTGTTCCATTTATTTGAGTATTAAAAAATAATTAATTCTATATATATATTTATATGTGTTTAAAATTATACTTCACTTCTAGTTAGGTATTTATTAATTGATGTGAACAGGTTTAATTGTAACAGAATTATTATTGTTATTGTTATTATTATTATTGTTATTATTATTTGTATTATTATTATTATTGTTATTATTGTTGTTATTATTAGATTATTATAATCTTTCAGATGTCATCTCGTTTCCAGCATTCTTCAAATTTTCTGCTATGTCTTCTAAATTAGGTAATGGCTTCAAATCCTATGTTATTAGGTTTGTTATTTTAAGTTCTTTTAACATAAATTTGGAGATGACCCTCACTGATTTCCATGCGTAATCTTTCATATTCTTACATCTTTCGTTGTCAGCTATTTTACGATTTTGATCTAATTAATAAAACACTTCATTTAAATAATAATTTAATCCAGGTTCAATAGGATTAGTTTCAATTTTATAAGGTCTTCCTTGATCTTGGAGAATGTATTGAAATGCATCAGTCTATTTATATTTGAGATCGTCGTAAATTCTTTTCTGAATTTCTTATCTTTTTTTTTTGGCTTTCTCAGATGCTTTAATGCTAAGTTTTTCATAGCCATCATCAAAACATTGTTTTTCTGTCACCCAAAGTCGCTGAGATATAACAATAGAATACCCAAGTTCGTTCTGTATCAATTAAATGTTAAACTTTTTCTCCTAATTTATCTCCTAATTCATCTAATTATTTTTGAACTTCAATTTTCAAATTTTATATGAATTATTTCTAAAATATTAACAGGATTTCAATACTTCTTGATTTTCAAGTTCTGCTACAAAAATAAACAATAAAACTTAATTTAAGAATAACTTTCTAAAGTAAGGATCATTAAGTTAATTTTTGAATAAAGAGTATTTTGTTAGGAACTTAGGAAACCTTTTCACAGTTATAATCTCAGGTTCGATAGGATTCTCTTTGAAATATTGCAATGCTCTCATTATTACTTTTATGACAGCTTATAGATTCTTTGTCCTTTAGGGTTCAGACACATTCTAAGACACTTAACCAGCTTCTTCTCCAATATCATCGAATTCTACTTTGTTTCTAAAAATTAATTCAGAGTTATTAAGGTATTTTTGTAAAGTCCAAAAATTTTTATAGAAAGAATATGGCAATGAAGCATTGACTTTTACTGCTTCCTCGTCAAAGCCTCTATCCCTTATATTGATTGGCTTCTTCCTCAAGGATGGATGTATTGTTGAGAATATTTGGGTCAAGAATATTTAAACTTATCCTCTTAAAAATGTGTCATGTGTTGTTGATAGTCTTTTGAGCATGGAATTACAAATTCTCAGCAAAACATATTTGTTTTCGTCTTAGAATTTTGATATTGTGGCTATCTAACTATATAAATTATTAAAGTAATCCTGAAGTTCTGAAAGAGACAAGCATTCATAAATATCTTCACTAAAAGCTTAAATTAGTAATGGAATTTACTAAGTGGGTATGATTTGAGATCTGGCACATCTTTGCAAATTGTATAAGATAATTCAGCCAAAAAAATATTTACTTTAAGAAGTTCTAAGAGATCCTCATCTAGAACTTTTTTAGTAGTCAATTTCTATCGATTAACATATTATCTTACTAATTTTTGATGTAAATAGTCTCTACAGTTTTTTAGGAAAGCTTAGTAAAATGGCTACAATTAATCTGCGGATTCTTCCTCATGGAGCTTTTGCAATTTCTATTTTAATATTTCTGTGTGTCTCACTTTGAAATTTAAAATGTACGACTATGAAATATTCAAACAATACTTCAATTTCCATTAGTTTAAATTCACTCATGTTAAAATGTTTATTTAAATAAAAATAATTTTTATATTCTAATATAAATCACCTACGACCGTAATGGCCATCTCCAGCATATCCAAATTCATCTTGTTAGGCTAAGATTTTCTAATTCTTTGGATTTGGATTATCGACACTTTATTACCTCTTATTCCATTCAGCTAAAGCCTTATGCTTAGTAATCGGATTTTCTCTATCATAATCAGTATCAAAGTTTGCACTTCCTTCAGCGTATGGTTTTATCTAGATAAGTAAATTTATGTACTTCCTCATTGTTTTCTACTGGAAAAAGATATTCAGATATATCTTCCATAGGTAATTGTTAATATAAAACTGCTAAAATAATAAGTAGAATATCTATTTTGCTAACTTCTTTGAAAAAAGTGTATGTCATGATCATTTCTCCAAAAGCGCACCATGCAATAATATATTCTAACATTTCAATCATTTCTAAAATCAATCAAAATGCATACCTGTAGAGAGCTATATGCTTATAGATTCCTTAACTGTCCTTCTTCTAAGGATGTTATAATAATCTACAAAATAATAGATCAGAATTCCGAATGCACTAAATAAGGTGCCTAATGGTATTGCAGTACCGTACATAAATGTAAACCACATAGTTTTCATAACATCCGAATATCGTTTAGCAGAAAGATAGTCTGGTTCTTCCATTAATTTGTTGGCTTCTTATTAAGTTAAAAGTGCTTTATCACCTTTTGACATGATATACTTTCTCCATATGTTCTTACATAGGCTCCATGGATCAACGCACCAAATAAATGGAGGAAATATTGCATTAAGTACAAAGATTTAGCTTTCATTTTAGATGAACCCTCCTGCTCCTTTGACATTCTTTAATATAACGATATCCACTAAAAAACTAATAATGGCTGCATTCAAAAACAACGCTAATGCATACTTATAAACGAAAGATATTTAGAATTTCGTTTTGTTTGATATTTTTTCATCATCAACAATATAATGAACAATTTTAGCCACTCCAAATTTATTGAACAATACGATAGTCATTGAAATACTAAATGACATTATATTTATTTTTCTTTTAGTATCTTCATCCAATTTTCCTTTCAATTCTTCTTCATGAGCTTCATCGCCCAGTAAAGCTAATCGATGAGATATTAAATATATAATAAAAAAGGCGGCACTTTCAAATAAAATGTAATATACCCATGCTCTCAGCCTTTTAAATATCTTCTCACTAGTAGTAATATGAATGAATTCCCAATCGACATCATTTGGTTCAGGTGCTTGTTCTAAAAATAGTTTCTATCCCTTCCACTATAAATCATTGTTTGTGAGACTCTTTAATTGGCCTCTATTTATGTGAGATTTCATTCTTTCCCATTAGGTATGAGGATTATCCTACAAAACTACTTGTTTCATAGATTCATCATCAAAAGATATGAAGGCTATTCCTGCAAAGTTTGTGTTATGAGTTTCATACTCCTCTTCGATTTTATGGATTTGATGTTCTAAGTGTTCAATTTCTTCATCTATCTTTTTAACGCTTTCATGATGAAAGTCAAAATTAGACTTTTTTATGGCATCCTTCTTTGATTACAATAACTAATCCAGTTTCTTTTCGAGTTCAATTATTTCTTCTATATCATAAACTAAAACTACTTTTCTAACTATAATTTATTTAGTTGAATCCAAAACCGAGTAATTTTCAAATATATTTTTTAGTTCGTATTTATAATCCACATTCAGTCCTGTGGGAATATTCTTAACACATATGGTGTAATCTGCAGGAGTCAACTGCTCTTCATCAATAGTAGTATCGATTTATCTTTGGCTTTTTCTGAAATATATTAGAACAAACATAATTATGAAAATGCTTATGAAATTTAGGAGTTACATCATTTCAAGGGCTTCTCGGTTACTACTTTAAGTGTTATTAATTACTCTAATTTGTTTGCCAAAGATAATTGTAGAAAAATGCTGTCTGGACAATATGGTTCCTCTATAAAATGTCCTTCCATCTTTTCTCTTTTTATGTGACTACAATATGAACCATTATAGTTAGTGTATAAATTGTGCAATTACTTAATCAAAAGCTAGATGAAGAGGATTATTATGCAATATTTCAAGTAATTATAAAATAACGTAAAACCTGATCCTAAGAAAGATAAAGACATCGGATCCGAACAATATGGAATATCCTCCCTATCTACTTCGAATCCGCAACATGGACATGTATCAACTAATTATTAATAACCCAATTCTACTTTATAATGTTTTCAGAGGATCCTTCTTTTTTTCTTATGCCGTTCGTCTTGATAATGCATGTTTTTTTGCTATTTCCCAATTACAAGGCATTTACAAAGGGTTATAATGACCCTCATGGTGATCAACGCCTGAATGATGAATGTCATGATCTCCATCCATATGACCATGATTCGAATATTGGTGATGAGACTAATCATTGTGAAGATATTAATGTTGAGAAGGCTTTATATTGAATTAAATAGACTTACCTATGATTGTTTTTGCATTTCAGGTTGTGATTGCTATTGTTACTATTTTGGTATTAAAAACTATTACTTTAGATTAATTTCTTTAACCATGTGTTTCTTAGTCGTTGCAATCATCCTAATCATTTGCATGAGGCTAATGCTAATTTTAAGATGATTATTTCATTCAATTATGATTAATTTTAATGATGGATATATACTCATATATAAAAGTCTTTCAAAATCAATATGCTAAAGTACCCAATTACATTCAGGCAAGTTCGATAACTTGCTTAGAAAAGTATTTGAACAATCAAATTCATTTCTTCATTGGGAAAATGAGTAATTAATATTCGTATTTAGAAATCCCAATTAAATATGCTTATAATTATTGTGTTTTAAATATTATTTTGAATTTTATAATTTCTAGGCAAACTTAATATCAAATTACATCAACAAGTTATATGATTTTTCTTTTGGTAAGAAATAATGTTACTGATAATTGTTATTTTTGTGATTATTATAATAAGCAGGAAGATGTTCCTAGATGTTCAATTTTCATTTGTTGAAATAAAATCAAATATATCAAAATTTTGTTAACTACATAAATAAAATTGAAATCAAATTGACATTAATATTCAGATTTTCAGATATTAATTTTAGAGTGAAAAATGAAATTTCAAAAGAATTTTTTGAGTACCAACTTTTTAAATACTGCATCTTAACTTATTTAATATGCAGAATCCAAGTTTGATTGGCAAGAAAGTTTTGGACGATATAATAACTAGTATTAAATTATTAAATAAATAATTATATTAATATTTTATATTTATGTAATAAGAGTTCAAATTGCCATAAAAGATTATTTAACTTTATGCAAAATATTAGAATAAATCATAGAAAGTGAAAAAATTCCAGCTTCAAGAACATACTTTTATGTTAGAAGACAATTATTCACCAGTTGAAATCAGTAATAATTAATTTATTGTTCAAAGTCGGAAGTGGTGCATATGGATGTGTTATTTAAGCTGATGATAAAAATGCAAAGGTCGAGAAGGATAGATAAGTAGCTATTAAGAAAATCGAAAGAGCATTCGAACATAGATTGTATGCAAAAAGAACTCTAAGAGAATTAAAGATTCTCAGGTTGATGAAACACGAGAATGTATTATCATGAAAGTGATATAGATCGTGGAATTAAAAACTTTGCTTCTTCCAAAATCTAGAGAAGAATTTGAAGATGTTTATATGGTTACTGAATTATTGGAAACAGACTTGGCCCAAGTGATAAAAAGCGATTAGGTATTGACAGATGAACATATCCAATTATTCTTATATTAAATCCTAAGAGGGCTCAAATATTTACATACTGCAGGAATATTGCATAGAGATTTAGTAATTATATGTGAAATCAATTTAGAAACCTAGAAATTTATTGTTAAACAGGAATTGCGATTTAAAGATCTGCGATTTTGGATTGGGTAGAGCAATGGCTGATCCATCCTCATCAAACAATGCAAACATTATGACTTATTATGTTGAGACTAGATGGTATAGAGCACCAGAATTGTTGGTGAGTTTCAAGAATTATACTCCTGCAGTTGATATATGGTCAGTCGGATGCATCTTGGCAGAATTGCTATTGAGAAAACCCTTTTTAAGGGGAGATTCCAGTATTGTTATTTTAAATAAATAAAGCTAAAAGATAAGTCAAGTTAATATTTGAATTGTTGGGAACACCGAATGAGGCTTACATATAATCATTCTAAGACGAAAAAGTTTAAAATAATTTGAGAAAAGTCATTAAAGAAACAGGACCCAAATAAGGTATTCCATTGGAATAATTATTCAAAAATGCTTCTAAAAATGGTATAATGTACAATCATTTCTGAAGCTTTGGATTTATTAAGGAAGCTGTTGACATTTGATTACAGATAAAGAATCACAGTTCAGCAAGCCTTAGAACATCCATATTTAGCTCAATTGCACTTTGAAGCCGATGAGCCAAGTGCTTAACTTGTTAATTAATTAGAATTCGAATTTGAAAAGTATGAAATGACAAGGGAATAGATTAAAGGTGCATTTATAGATTTAAAATAGATCTTCTTTATGAGGAAATATTATTATATCATTTTCCTGAATTCTAAACATCTTATGAAGCTAAAAAGAAATCTGGATAGAGTTTGATATCACATGTAGTAAATAATGAGAACGCTAAAATTGTAAATAACTTATTTAATTAAAGTTTGATCCCACAGCTGATGATGATTTAGATAGGGATTGAATATAATATTATGATAAATTCAATAGTATCTTATTATTATATCTTGAAAAATATTCTATTAACAATTAAGTCTTTGATAATAAATCAATGTATGAAATCTATTTACATTTTACATATCAGTTTCATTAGTAGCAATATCTTGATTATTTATTATTATTAAGTAACTCTTATTTCTTATTTGATATCACATCAACTTTTGAGTCTTATTGAAACTATAAGTTAATATTTTATTATCAAACTTAAAAAGATGTAGAAGTAAAATCTAAATCTTTAAATTAGACACCTCTTCCCAAAAGGAATTCATATTGTTTAAATAGTCATTAAGCAGATAAGTTTAAGCTCATATCATTCTGGTTTACATTGGATTTAAATGGATCCATATTTCGATTAGTTAATTCGACTTACTTAAATAAGATAAAATGAAAATTTACTCATGATTAGTTCGTTATCATCTATTTTTAATGATAAATCAAATAAGACAATATTTAGGATCAACTATAAAAATGAGATCATCATTTTTAATATATCACTTCTATTTACTGTCTAATTGTCCATCTAATATATTAGCAATGAATAAGGATATTCCATTCCATACGTTGAATTATAATTCTTCTTATATTCTTTTTAATCTATCTTGTATTCCAGTTATTTTTTTCAAATAATATTAATTATTCATTAATTATTTTTATGGAAGACTTTGTACCCTCATTAAATAGCTTAGTCAAATATTCAACACCTGTTTTAGTATCTGTAGCTGGAAAAAACACTGGTAAAATGTAATAATAACAAATAGGCGAAAAAAAAGATGCCTAAGCTAAGCAATAAGTCAGAGTCAATAGTCCTGGAAGAGTACAAATTTATAACAAATTATGACAGCAAGAGAAGATGATAACCTAAGAGATTTTATAATAAAATCTACCACCTAAAGAATACAGATTGAAGAATGGACAATTATGGGTGCAAACTGTTTTATCTACTCCTGCAACCAGAATTGAAGTGGTCTAATTATAACAAGAGTTAGACAAAAGGTTAGTATAGAGAGGAGCCAGAGAAACAGGAATTTGCCCAATAAGAGAAGAGTTATACGAATAATGCTTTGATGAATTGATTCGATAGATCACAATTGATTGCAGTTAAAGAGGATTATTATTGGTGAAGTATGAATTTAACATTTAACCCTATTTGAGTTCGAAACGAATTCCGAAGTTAATTAAATTCCTACAAAACATTATATGAAAGTTCCATAGCATATGGTATGAGAAAGATGATTGATGCTGAATAGAAAAGAACAGATAAATCTAATAAAATCATGTTTATGGACAGAGAATGTTAAGAATTGTAGAAAGCTGTGGAGGATTTGGAATAAAAAATCCAATATACAAAAAAAGTTGAAACTGAGAAATTATAAAAAGTAACTATTTTAAATGTTCTAACTAATAGGAATCTGAAAACCATAAAAATGAGATAGAAAAAATTAGAGCCTATAATAACTCCCTTAAAGATGAGTTAGGTAGATTGCTAGAAGGTAGAAGATGACTAAGATATAATATATATAATAAACCGATATATATATATTATATATCACAATGCAATATATAATTAACCAAATAATGATTACATCAATTATTTAATTATCCTAAATAATATATCACACGATTCTAAGTTATAGTTTTAAGAGTTATTTTTAGAAAAGTAAATAATTTTCTTTTGAATACAGATGGATAATTTCTAGTACAGTATTCTATGGAATTATGACTTGATTTAAATGAATTTTGTTTTGAACAATGAGGAATAATGGAAATATCTTAGTAATAATTAGAATTAAAATATTTACTTTATTAGGAACAGCTGTTATTTAAATTGTGATTAGGGTATTTTGAAATTATAGATAATATATATATCATCAAAGGAACTAAGGGCAAGGGATCTCCTAACATTTAGGACCAGCGATGAAATTACTCATTGCATAGGTCTCTTGGTCACTGAATTTTCGTGATTTCTTTCTGCTTTTAGTCTAAGAAATCACTTATATCAGGTCACCATTTAGGACTACCTACAACTCACCACATGGTTCTTTTCCTTTTGGGCAGTAATATACAGGACTTAGATTTTCTAATCGTTGACTGCTATCAGTCGAACAGTTAGAATCAATATTTAATTCCTCAATATTAGTAAGTGGGTTCTAAAACGATTAAAAATAGAAATACCTTATATTTCGAAGGTGGAGTGATATAGTATTATGGACGTTCCTTATTTTTTGGAACAAAGAGACACTTAGAGCTATTGTAAGTCTAAGACTTTTTTAAAACTCGGATTTTGTTACTGCTCACTAGATTATTTTAGGTGTTTACTTACTTTTTCGATTCTGGGGAAGTCTTTTGTTTTTAAAAAGCTGGTAAGGCCTTTTTTTAAAATTTTTATTTAATTAATATTATAATATGGCCAACTGGTCTAATAAATATTCACTCGTCCTCCCCCTATCTGGGCTAAGTGTCCATTCCATTCAGACGATCTTTGTACACCTCAAGCAAAAATTTGTAATCAATGCGACCGTTTTTCTTAGACCAGGAGATAAGTTGTGGCCACTGTTCATCTCTGACGACAATCCCTTAGGATCTCAACATTTTATCCATCTCTTATTTGATGCGCTATTTAAATTACTAACATAACTTACATCCTCAGTTAATGGAATTTACCCATTTGATGTCAAATGTTTAAAGATTTCCAAAAGGTACTTTCTATTTTTGCCAATTGCATTTATAGTTTTATCAAAGTCTTTTGAACTCTCCCAGATACCATTTTCTACATTGTTAAGATACAAAACGTTACCAACATATTAAAGAGCACTTTATTTAGCAGGAGGCTTTCTGAGAAATGTTTTGAATTTATTGGCAGCATTAATCAATCCATCATCCGTCAACCCTTCAAATTATTATTGAGAAGGTGATCTTTATTTGTTTAACCAATTCTTATCAGTTTAGGCCATTAATGACTTCTAAGAGTTTTTCTTAACTCTTATATTAGCACTCAGGGGTCTAAAAATAAGATAAAATTCTAACCTTTTCTTTTCGTTAGGATTGGAGAACTTTGAAAAAGCATCCATCCATTCAGTCAAATCAAGATGTCCATCCCTTCTCTTATCTATAAATTCAAATAGGTCTTTGATTATTGCAAAAGGTGGAATGTCTTCGGTAGCTAATCTATATAACATTTCAATCATGTCCTTAAATTTATCAAAGGTAAGAAACCCTGTGTGTTGAGCATCTATTTATCTGAATGCATCCTTAGGGGACAATAAATAATGATAAATGTGATCGTTGACTTTTTGTAAATGAATACCAGCTCTCTCAAGAATCTTATTATCAGCTTATCTAAAATCTAATTTCTTAGAAAACTCCTTCCAGTTGACCATGCTATTTCTATCAGTATCAAGCATAGCAGATAATATATCGACATCCTAAAAGGTCAACCCCATATTCAAACTTCGAATGACTTATCTGAATTCCAAATTAGTGATGAATCCAGTGTTATCTGAATCGTACTATTTGAATAATTCATTAATGTTTTTATTTGAATTTCTCAAGAATCTTCGAATTTTATCTAGTAAGCTGATATTAACTTAATTTCTTTCATCCAAAGGTAATTCAGATAGTCCACTAACATAATACACAATAATACCCTTATGTTGCTGGACGAATGGCCAATTGTTGTGATTGTCCTTCAGGTTGCTCATAGATTTTACCACCTTTCCCGAATATAAGTGCAAATGCTTGATTACTTAATGAACCATTCTTTTAGATTCTATTCCATAGAATTTCGATATCTCCATCTACAAATCTCTTTGGGAATAATGCTTACAAGGCCTTATAAAAGCTCTCTTTAGTAATGATGTGGCTGTGTTCCATTTAAAAATAGTGGATTGCATTTTAAATGCTAGAGAAGTAAGTTGATAGTGCATCTTGGATCTCCTTAATCATCTAGTCTTACCAATTGTATTGAGCAAATGCATTCAACCAATCTGATTCTACCAAGTATCCTTTTTTATGAGAATCAAGATCTGAAAAAATCTCATAAACTAACTTTTCTGTCAAATCAAATCCTGCCAATACATTTTTTTCATCTAGCCACTTTTTAAATTTCTAGAATACCAATTTCTTACGATATCCTGATACAATATCAAAGGATTCCTTCACGTTTGGATAATGTCTGCTAATTATTAAGCCTATCTGTTATCTTGCATTCATCTTCCAATCAAAAGATGATCTAGATTCTTGTTATTATTTTGCAGCTAAAGTAGCATTTTATCCAAAGATTTATTTGTTTTTCCCATAAAAGAATCCTTCCTCTACAAATCTTCTAAAATCCATCAATGTTATTTTCCCTCTCTTATATTAATCCATTAATTTGAACAATCTATTAATTTTGGCTTCAGTAATCTCTTTCTCTTCTATTTTCAATATGTCTTTCAAGAATGTCCTTAAATCGGTTTTGTTAATCTAACCATCAAAATCTTTATCAAAAGTTCTGAATGCATCCTCTATAGTAATATTCTCTCTTTGACACCAATTTCTGATCTTAAATAGGATTTCCAACTCCCAATCCCAATCATCTTCTGATAATTAGGGCATCTGCTATATTATTGATTTGCCCATAAACTTTGCAAAGGTATTTAAATCAATCAAACCGATTCTCTACTTATCCATAAAGGCAAAGAATCCATCCTTAGCAGGTTGACTCAAAGTGGTTATTTTGTCAATATTATAAAATTCACTTATTGATAGGAATCCATTATGATCAGTGTCTAGAAATGTGAATAGTTCTTCATAAGACATTCCCTTCCTAGCTAATTTTATTCGTAAGTCCTTTAGAATTTGATCAAATTTGGCTTCTGGCAATTCTTCAATGGGGAAAAGACTTTTTTATTAATTCATTCCATCTACTAAAGACTAAAACATTTTCTTTTGCCCCATGGTAACCAAGTCAATAGATTTGGATTAAACACAAGTTTTCTCAATGGCCGATAGGGTATCACCAAATTAAGGTTTGATTTTCATACTTTCAGCAATTTAATCGATTTGAGATAGATCTTTTCTAATGTTGAAATACGAATATCGTTTAATGAAAATATTCATATCTTCATCACTTACAACTCCATTTGCATCAACATCCATTTCTCTACAATATTCTAAGCATTCCTCATGTGGCAATTGTGTGAAGATATTTTTTTCAAGATATTAAGCAGTAGATTCAACATTACATGACCCATATCCTGACTTCACTTATTATAAAAATTGTATGACACTAAACTTTTTTTGAGCCAGATACTTGCTTATTTTCTAAGCAAAATCAATGAGGTCTTTGGCAGTATCTTTTTAATCCATTTGTTTATTGACATCCATTATCATCTAAATGAAATCATAGTAATTTATCAGAGACTCTCTATTCTTTGGAAGGTATCGAACTAATCTATTGATGTCCTGCACATTCAAACCCAGCTAACTCTCCATCAATACAGTTTTAAAGTTGGCTGTATCAAGATTACCTTCTTGATGCTCATCAAAATATTCAAACGATTATCTGAATACTTTCAACTTCTAAGGATTAATTAAATGATCTCTCATCTTATGAAGTGTATCTTTGAACCACGAAAGATCATATAACTTATCCTCTTCCTCTACAGTGTTAAATAGTATTAATATGTCATTCATACTGATGGTTTCTCTTCCATCCAAAATTTCCTTGGCCACTTTTAGAGCTTTATGTTAATTTAATGATTCATCTAAATGCATTAATGCTAGTTTCAACTACTGAAGGTTAATTGGTGGATGATCTCTATTTAAATTCATTCTTTGCAATAAATCATCAGTGTGAATTTAGAATTTAAAGACTACATCCTTGATATAATTCACATGAGATTCTATTCAATTAAATAAGCATTGTTACATACTTTTATCTACTACTGCTTTGAGCCAATCAAATTTATCAATAAATCCATCATTATTTACATCGAGTGTCTAAAATAATGTAATAATTTGAATTTCATTGAGAGGCAACTAAATCTATTGGACAGCTCTTTTGAAGTCATCAAAATTCATGCGAACCTTCCTTTCACTAGTTTTCCCAAAGGCTTATTGACAGAGATCTAAAAATGACTTAGAATAAACAATTGATGTTTACATCTTCTATATTTAAAGCATGATCTCGAATGTAGTATTTCAATCTTTCAAGAGCATATACTTTATCATTTACAGATCTGGAAAATCCTACTCTTGAGTTTTGCTGTGTAGATGGTCTAACATCAATCTAATGAACAATAAGGCTAAAATTTACAGTTTTACTCATTAAAGGTCCTTTTTTGGATGAATATTAGGAGTGCTTGGCTGTTTTAGGTCTAGTTTCTGGCAATTCAATTCCTAATGAATTAGTGAGATAATTTTTTGCATTGTCATCAATTATAAAATTATTTTCCTCTGGATGGGAACTTTTGCTTAATTATTGCAAGTATTATTGAGTAAGTCTCATGTCTCCCTTTGATTTTCTTTCTGACAAGGGTCGTTTGGTTATTTCCTTTGTTTAAGTGAAATTGGGTTACTTTGCAGCCATCCATCAAAGATTCAAGGAACTGTACAGCTGCAGAATGAGCTTTGACAAAGAAGGTTCCAACACATGGAATCTCTACTTCAACTACATCTCTCTATATTTAATTGATCGCCAAAATACGTTGCGCACAATATCAGATAATGATTTTAACACTCTTTCAACAGCCATCTTAGCAGAGTCCTTATTCTATGAGGCATAGAGTGCAATCTCAGCCCAATTGACAATTGCATGTTAAATTTTTCCAGATGTTTAAACTTTGTAAGGCCTCAATTATCGACCAATGGCTATGCCAGTTTTGAGATTAAAACCATTAACGAATTCCTTGGATTGTAAGTAAGTTTAATTACTTTAGCAACAAGGAATACTGGTTAACGAGGCTACTTATCTCGATCTACTGGATTTGTTACTCCATCCAAAACTACATCTGGAGCACTAAATGAAAAAGTTCCAAATTTATTGACTGCCACTCCTCTGCCCATACGTAATTATCTTGAAATATGAAGACCTTTATAATAATGGGTGAGCAAATACCAAATGCATTCCAAGCAGCCGAAACAGTTTCTTCATCCAAGGCTGCAATCAAGGAGGAATTGCTAATATTCAATTTGAACTACTTACTCAGCTTATCCATTCCGAGTGGCTATCTTGGAAATAATTGATTGTGCATTAATTGTAGCTTTACTCTAATAACTATCAATGCTATTCATTAAATTAATATATTTATTATGAAGGCTTATTTGAGATATGAAGGCATATCAAAGTAATAGTATCCTCAGTCACCTCTCCAAGTGGAACCAAAGCCCTTATTCACCATGATGCCACGTCGTAAAACTGCACAAGTGCCCTTTCGTAGAAGTTTGCATCAAAACAAATCCCCCACGAATTTCGACCGATAATTCGTAGTTGAGGAATTGAAACTCGCCAATGCATCTCTTCAAGAGGTGAACAAGGAATTACAACAATTGAATGAATCTTTACAGGAGTAGGTTCAAAAATTGTAAGAAACTAACAAGGTCTTGCAATTGCAGATCAATTAAATGACCATTCAAATTGATGACTTGAAAATAAACAACCGACACTTGAGATCACAAGATAGCAGTGTGCATTTTCAAACCAAAACATTTGATTAGAGGTTCAAAGTAATTGAGATTTAAGATTACAAGATCAAAATAGCCATATCGGGTATCTGTATCTGCAGTTGCAATTAAAGAAGCTAAATGATTAATTGGAGCAAAAGAGAGTACTAGAAAGCAAACCCATGAAGTTGCAATAGCAAGCCCTCAGGGAATTAGATAGCATTTGCGTAATTTGATCATTATAAAGGATTAGTTGGACATCAAGAGTTTTATCATTTGTAAGTTGTGTCATTAGGAACTCAAGGATCCAGTAACTGTGATTCCTTGTGCTCATTCGTACTGTCGATCATGCAAGAAGGGTTACATGGGAAAATGCTTCATTTGTGGACCTGAAGAACAAATTGAAGCCACCTATGCCAACATGCTGTTGATTCCCATGATAGAGCTATTCAAGAAGAATTGTGAAATAAGGGAATTATTTAAATGATTTTGATATACTTTATATTTAGATATCAATATCTGAGGGCAAGGAAAGCTGCCACTCCTGCCTTAATCCAAATGTCTTCTTCTTGATCTGAAGCAAATTCTAACCACATCACAAAGTTTGTTGAATGTCCTGTAGTCGAGAGGGTACCTGCTCTTGATACTACTTTGTACCTAAAAATGAATAAGAATTAAATATTACAAGGGACAATTATAGATTCCAGTTTTGGGAATGACTCTATTCTTCTTGGGTATCAACTAGACAGCTGGTAAATCACTAAACAATTCTTTGGGAGTAGATTCAGATAGCACATGCTTTATTGAGTCCCATTTACATCCTTCTAAATAGCAACCATAGACATAACATCCATCACTGGGTTTGTCTACTATTTTAGAGATTTCTAAATCGTCTCTGACTTAATATTCAAATGAAACAAGATCAACTGCGATGACATGTTTACGAGCATAATTCTAAGTGATACCTGCTATGAATGCTTGTGGGAAGAAGAATCCTGAGAACCAGAATGTTGCTGGTGTTCCTCCGTCGACCCATTTTTATAGGAAGGCTACTCTGTCATTCAAGTCTTAAGTCCATGAAGCCAATGGTTTCAATGACAGGAATCCCTTTTCTGCCCACATCTTAGGTACTTGGTTATCATAAAGAGAATTAGATAGTTTCTCCAAGTCTTCAGACATCACAACCAATCCCTTCAATGCCTTTTTCACATTAACCAAGGACTCAATCATTACCTCTAATAGCCTGTTGTATCTCAAGACTTCTTAAACCAACACAGTATTCATACTCTCCTGATAATCAGTTGGATATTTGATGAAAATGCCATCATAATCGAAAACTGGAGGTGTCTTTCCTTAGACAAAATTAGCCAGATCCTCAATCTATTCTTCTCTGGTCTTTCCTGCAGATGAACTCGTTCTTGGTTGAACTGAGAGAATGGTTTCAAGAAGCATGATGGTTTGATTTTGGGCATTGGTGATGTCTGCATTCTCATGCAATCCGAAGACTTCTGGAGCAGGATTCAGAGGAAGACTCTCAATATAGTTCATGTAATCAGCCTACAACCCAGAAGGAGGTGAAAAGTAAGTGCCACTTTTGGAGAAGGAGAAGTTATCAAGTAATGCCTCTTTCTTAATGTAGGTTCTCAAAATAGTCTTGATCAATCTAACATCTTTATCATCTGTCACTCTGCCACCATAATTGATTTCACTACCCAAATAGTTTAACACTTTGTAGGGGACTTCTTCGTATTCATCCAATAACATAACCAATTATCTCTTGCACACATTCAAGTCTTCATTAGTAAATTCGTAGGCAATATTCCAACCGATGGGACCAAATTTACGTCTATCCTGAATGATAGCATGGAAGAAGCAGAACCCGAATATCAATTTCTTGAATATTTCAGGTTTCTTGCATCCACTTTACAATTCATTGTCATCTAATCTAGCATAAGATCTCAACAAATTAGATCTCAATCCTGAGGGTGGTTCTAAAGTCATCTTTACACCATTCTATAAAACTGAGATTGGGAAGGAATTAGTTGGCATACTGGTTAACCATAATCTGTAATCCTTGCTTGCACTCTCATCGATATCTTCACAGATACGTTCCAATTCACTCATCCAAGATGCTGCCAAGTGACAATTCTATAATAAAACCCATCCTCCTTTTTGTCTGGCTGCTCTGATCATCTTTTCAGCTTTGGGACCTTAACCTTATCCCAATGAAATCTATTCGTATCTTTTAAGCATCTCCTTCTCTTCTGCAAACTTCAAGAAATCTGCCACAGGATCTGATCCAGCAGACAATACAAAGATCAATGGAGTCTACATTGTGGAATCCTTATAGCATTTGGCTAAATCGAATAGAGGTGGGACAATGAATTGCTTACCAATTTTGTGGGATATGAAATTCTACACACATGGAATTACCTTATCTGGACGGAATGACTTAATGAAGATCAGTTTTTAGAACTCATCCAATTTAGAATTCCACTCTCCTGGTAGATCCATAACATGGGGTTCAGTCGAATCATAATGTGGTTTAAACAATTCAGTGTTGGTTATCCAAAACTCTTCAAATCCCTTAAAGGCTGGCAATTAGGACATTCCATAAACCTGTCTGTACATGTCTGGCCAAGTGTTTTCAGCTATCCATTTAGTTGGATTCTACTTTATTTTGATATCACCCATCGGTCCTGTCAATAGGTATCTCCACTCCTCTTCATTCAGTTACTTATATCCTTAGAGAATCTTTATGGTTAACATCAAAGAGAAGAGTAACTTGTGTTTCTCAAAGAGTGATCTACACACATTCTCATACAAACTGAAAGTGAAATAATCATTCAGATTTGTCAATCTAACTTCGTGTTCTTTGGCTGCTGGAGCATTCTCAACTCCCATTGAGAATAAATTCATAAACCATTGTAATGAGTATTGATACATTGGGTCGATTCCTGACAAATCCACAATGCAAAAGAACAATTATGATGCTCTAAAGGCAACTGGTCTGTAACCCTCTCTTGCTTGATCGATTTACTCCTCAGTAATCTTAGAATCAGCCACTCTCTAATTGATTTCTGCTGCGAATTTCTTACTGTTTTACAATTTATTAATTAGAGTCTCATCCATTAATACTTCATTGATATCGTTGGCACCTTCTGAAAGTGATTTGAGAATGTCATCTTCGATTAATAATAATTGTTTCTTATCCTCAGCATTCTTTCTCACAATTTACACTTTATTAGCTTCCAATTAAGGGTTTTCAAGAGCCACGATCAATGCTAACATCTGATCTTCCAATCCACTTGGAGTAATAGCGAAATTGATAATAGTAACCTTGACAAAGGTCTCAGGAGGATAATGAGGATTCGGTATGGTAGTGGTGAGGAAGAATTTAAATTTGTCATTAAATGATAATGTCTTTTCGCCCAAAGTAATAGTGAGAGATGATCCACTTTTAACAATTTGTTATAAGAGAATGGGATCGAAAGAAGGATCCAAGTCCTTTCCCACATTTTCAATCAACACCTATTTACCAAATTAGACAGCCAATTCAAGAGTTCTCATAAGATTGGGGTCGTTCACCTTCAACACTTCAATACCCTCAGCATGTTCCTTACCCATATTCTTAATGAACTTATTGGCCTAATTTTAAGGATCAATCATCAGAGGATATCTTCTGCTCTTATCAATAATGATACCATTTTCAATGGATGTATCATCCTTAGGTAATCCTGCAATATTCCAAGATTATATTTTAACAGGTACTCCCAAAAATTGAACCATGGAGATATGTTCAGTATGTTTGATGGCCAATTCGATTAGGTTCTTTCTCCACTTATTCTCTAACCCTTGTCTATAACTAGAGACAAATGGTCCTGCATAAGCAAGCATAGCAGCAGACAACAAGGAATTACCAGGAATCAGAGGTTCCTATAATTAGAGTTTATCAACATCGGCTGTCCATCTAGTTTTTTCATCTGATAATCCACTAGTCAATTTTTAGGCTCTGACTAATTTAATTTCACATTCTTAGATCTTTTTTGATAGATCTTCCTTAAGTTTGACTTTTTCATCGAATTCCTCCTACAACCTCTTGATTTTCGCATTGACTGCATCTAATTGCTCCTTTTTCACTCTAAGTAAGGCTTGTTTCTAATCCACAATCTTCTGAGCTTCTGCTAATTTATCTCTCAATGGTTGAGTTTACAAGAAGATCTTATTGTAATCATACATGGCTTGGCACCAACTGTACATATATTTGATGGCTAAACTGCAAATATTAGCTCTTTCTAGTTTGAAATCTGGATCACCAATAATCTTCTGTTCCAGTTTTCTGATGTAGGCTTGATTAATATTGTCTCTCTTGTAATCCAATAATTAATCTAAGAGTTATTTTGTATCATTAAGTAAGTACTTCTTGGCTGTGCTGAAATAATCTTCGACTTTCTTCATACCTGTTTCATCTTTCATCATTTGTATTTCACCACCTTATTCTTTGATGAAATCCTATAACAAAATGACACAACCTCCGAGAGTGATGATAGCAGCTCTGGGAGGATTTGGTAATGACTTGACTTCTACTAAATGTTCTTTTTTCAATTTCTACACTTCAATCAAAGTAGTTTCTAAGATTCTATTGGCCTCAGCCACTGATTCTTCTGCTTCTCTCTTAATTTCATTAGCCTTCTTGGTTTCTATTTGAGCCTCTGCCTCTTCGACTGACACAATCTTTTGAGTTTCATCAGCCTCCTTTTTGTCCACTTCCAATCTGGCCATGACCTTTTCTGTTTCAATAGCAGCTTCTTCCAATTTCGGTTGCATATCCTTAAGTTGAATCTGCATTTCTGAGACTGCCTCATTTGCAGCAATTAGTTTATCCAGACCACTCTTGAGACGGTTGATTTAAAATTTAAGTTCATTCTTCTTCTCATTATTGACTGACTTGAACATTGTGATTAATTCTAAGAAACTTGTTGGAGTGACATAATTATAACGACGCAATTACTATTGATATTGGACTGAAACTTGTTCGACTGACTTATGCATTATCTTACACATTTCAACGATCTTCTCTAACTATTCACTAAAGCCAAACTCAGTTGCATATTCAGTCAGCTATCCTCTTCCTACACCTACCAAGGCTTCTTCAGGCCATTCTGTGAACCAATCTATGGTACAGCAATTGACAAGTGAAGGGAACATACGCAGACGAGTTTGGAATTTATCACTCAATGGAGACATCGCTAATATTAAATGGATGTTGTTCTTCACTCTTGCTAAATATTAAGCAAAAATATTATTGGGAGTTGGCTACAAGTTTCTCTTCAGACACTCTCCTTTACATGATGTAATAATTTCATCCATGTCCTTATCTTAATAGAGATTTGTGACATCTCCTGAATTCAATATGGAATTCATATCCTCTAACATCTATTCATTGATGATTTAAGTATCCACAAAAATAAATGACACTCCTTTGTTCTCAACTCCTGCCATCATCAGTACTTTCTTAACATCTTCTCTCCATGATCTCATGTTGTATGTCTTAATCACCTCAATCTAAAACAGTCTATAATATGAGATGAATGTGGCCATCTTTGCTAGAGATTATCTACCACTACCTCCTACTCCCAATAGCAGTGCGTTTCCTTATGGTTGTCTGAGTACTCTACTTATACGGCATATGTGTTCGCATGCATCCAAGAATAACACCAACTTCATTGACTTTTTACCACCCAATCCTGCAAATGAAGGATCTGCATTGTACTCCTACTAGAACTCATACATCTAATTTGATAGCTTCTTTAAATCATTAACCAAAAAGTAATGTCTGGGTTCCACATCTCTACCTTATTAGAAATCTGCAAAGATTATACGATCCAAACTGAGGATATTCGATTTCTCTTAACCAAAACGAGAAAATAATTCTTCTAAAATCGATATCAAATATTCTCTATCTTCTGTATTGATCAATCTGTCATGGAAAACTCTCATGTTCTCATGGAACCACAATTAGATAATAGATTTTGCATCTGTGCAATATTTCTATGAAGCTGAACAAATTCCTTAAAATACTTTATTAATATCTCTTAAGTTAAAAGTATAATGAGACTTCTTAGGAGTTGGTAAGAGTTCTCTCTTGACTCTTTCATACACTTATAGTACTGTGTCTACCAAATTACCAATTTAATTTCTTATGTCTTCACTGAATCTTCTCAAAAATGAACTCACAAGGGTTCCAAATATCTATTTGATTGTTAATTAACCCAATTCTGTGTATGCAATGATGTTGTAATGTCTCATCAATCTATTTGTAATAGCACTTCTACCACCTCCAGGAGGTCCCATTGCTGACAATAAAATTATGTCTTACAAATTCATAAAGAATAATTCCTTTCTATTATACCAACCTTTGTGATCCATGTATTATCTCAATAGTTCAATTGGGGGTTATGCTCCATATTCCTCTTTCTTAGGCATATTCAGATCATCCACAAAAATAATGCATTTCTTAGGAGGAGGAGGACCATAATACCCTTTTCTTCTCTTTGTCAACTTTGAATCAATTGTGTCTTAAGTCTAATTGGCACTGGTCTATGCTGAGAATGACAAAGACATATATTGATAGTCTTCACCCATCCTTTAGATCAACAAATTCATAGCATTAACGGTTTTTCCAGTTCCTGTGGGACCTGGGAATAGACAGTGATACATGTTGGATAAGAGAGTTTTCATTAGATGCATGTTTCTAGTTGAGTCAGTGGTGGGAATCAGAATTTCAGAGTAAGATAATTTAGGATCAACTTCATAGGATTTGAATTGGTCATCCCAATGTGTCCATTGTTTGGTACGCTCATTGAAGAGATAATCAAAAATAGATCCTTCTTATGGGAAAGTAGCCTTTGATTTACTAAACTACTCTTTAATATAATTGTTGATCTTCTCTCTGCCATCTTAATCTACAGTGCAACACAAACTCCAAGTCAAACAAAAAGCAAATATAGGTTCAATTTGTTATTCTAAATTGTCGATATCTTCTTTAGGTACCTTTTTAATTTCTGTATCCTTATATTGATGTAAATAACAATTAAGTAATCTACATAGTGATTAAGTGAGATTATTATTAAAAGTACCAACTACTTCTTTAAGATTTCTCCTCATATATTCTAAAGTGGGTTCTAAATATTGCTCAAACAACATGCTTAATTGTGTTACTATTTTAGGTCTATCTCTGCAATGTGGGGGTAAGGTATTTAACCAAGATTTAATTAATGGCTGTAAACCCAAAGAGACAGGCTCCATGTAAACCATACCACATCTACTAACAGTGGCAGGGGATGCAACAGCCAAATCCTCAACCTCAAACATCATAGTCATGTAAGGAGTCAAGGTCAAGATCTATCCTGAATTCAAGCATAATTTCTTATTGTCATCCAAGACTGTATTCATAGATTCGATCCAAATAGCATCAACAGGGCCATCGAACATAATCCAGTGTCTTTCAGATGTTTGATCTCTACAAACTTCTCTTACTGTATAGGCTAATATACCATCATTCCATTCTCTTGTTTATTCATTGAATTGACCATACAACTGTCCCATGGTAATGGACTTGGGATTCAAGATGTGAGTGTGCACCTTATAATACAAGGTGGTTTAGAGTGCTGAGAGGGCACGAGCCAATACATTGTAATTACTGGTTTTGCCTCCCCCTGTTGGTCCCACCAACATTAATCCATGTCTAACTTGGATTGTATCGTACAATTAATTGATTTTAACCAAGAAGGATTCTGTACACTGCAAATTCATTGATTTGCAAGCTTCCTATATCTGCACCAACAATTCTCCAATGTCAACTTCTGGTTTTTCAATGCCTGGAAATAGATCTTTAATAATGTTGCTAAAGAGTGGCAGATCATCCTTCAAGAACTTAGGCACATTGACATCCATCAAGGCTCTCAACAATAATCGATCTTCGTCTTAATCGGGGTCAGCTGCCTTCAATAGACCTGCAGCATTAATAACAGATCGCACTGCTCTCATACCATAATCGTAATGATCTTAGGAACTCAACTATTCTGAACTCAATTTAAATGTGTAAACCATCTTCTTAGCCAATTCTCTACCTTTCTTAAATCCGAAAGAATAAAGCATAATTTCTCCAATCAAAGCGTAATCTGGAACCATCATAGCCACTGGTCTGAACAAGGCTTTAAGATTGTCAGGCAATTCAGTTCTACCTGCATAACCAGGATTCATGGTAATAAACACAGAGAAGGTTGGATCTAAACGAATAGAACTGCCTTCAAAGTCTGCAGATGCAGCACCTTCAGCCTTCTTACCAAAGAGAATTAACAATTACTGTGCAATAACTGATAGCACTTCAATGTTGATACGATTGAACTCATCAAAGCAAGCCCATGCTCCTGCACTTGCCAATCCTTTAAAGAACTTTCCTACCATTATGTAATCCATCTAATCTGAACAATTAAACACCACACATTGTTTTGCCAAAGCCTTAGCTAAATCCTTAGTAGATTCAGTTTTACCAGTACCTGCTGGACCAGCTGGTGCACCACCTAAATTCAATTTCAATGCTCCCATCAATGTCATATAACATTTATCTGTCAATGGAGTAATGACCAATCTCAAAGTGTTTCCTAAATACTCATAACCATAAGGGAAGTTAGTTTAAATACATTTCACAAAACAATTATCCTATTCCCAATAATATCTCAATTATGATATCCATTCGAATGCTGAGACATCTTCAACGTTTTCTTTTTGCAACAACTCCACAACATCCTTAGCATGCACATCAATAACAATCAATGCATTTATAGTAACCATTTGCATCTTGGTTAATTTAGTTCTCACCAAATCGACTAAGTTATTCAATTACCCTTATAATAATTCCAAATAAGTCTTAACATTCTAACCCTTGATGGCAGTTTCAACTTCCTTTGTCCAATGAACCTAGGATCCATTCAATACACATTGTCCTGGATGCATAGTGACCCATTTGATTCTTGGAACTTCCACATACTAATGGACAGAATTAAGTAAAGCAGCCCTAACACTCTATTTCATCTAGTCTTCAACATCATTCATCCAGTCTTCTACATTCTTATGATTTGGATCAATGACTTTAACAAAATTGATCTTTTCTCCTTCTGCTGAGAACATCGCATGAATCTTCTTGCTGCCATCGAATTCAATTTGATTAACATTCTCAAACACCTTTCTTAAATGTGGTTGCACTGCAGTTGGTTCTTTGGTCTATGACAATATTTCCAACAAGTCATCATTGGATAAGAAATAAAACCTAGCGAATCTTTCTCTTTTTCTCTCCAAATAATTGTTCAATTCCTTTTGAATTTATTCCAAACTATTATACCCCTCTGTCAACTTCTCTAACAATCCTTCAGCAGAACAAACCTTCAAGACATTCAAAGTATTCTTTGAATTAATCATAATCAACTTCCAATTTTGATCAACAGCCTTGAATCTCTTTGATTCCAAGGGCAATTACTTTATGATGTCTTGACTGTCAAAAATGGGTTGCAAATACATCCAATTCACCTACACCTTAGCCCAAACTTCAAGAATATCACTGACCTTCTTCAAAGTGCTGTTCCAATCATTCAGAAGTCCTTCAAAAGGCTTTTTAAAAGGCGAGAAAAGCATAGCCTAAGTATTGACAATATGTTCATCCAGGGTATTGCCTATATCATCGAATCCTCTAATGATAAAGGAGATGTTCTTATATCCGACTACATCGAAATTGATCTATTCCCATTAAGCCATCATAGAGTTGAGCATTGTTTCAATCTAGAATTCCTTATAAGCTCTTTCTCCTATCTCCATACAATCCTCAACTATCTTCATCAAACCCATGTCGATGGCCTTAGTGAATGTAAATCCAGGAGCAGGCTTGACTTCCTACCCCAACTTCTAGGATACCTACTCCCAATGTCTTTCCTTCATCCCCTGCTTCCTCAAAGCAACCATCAATGGAACCTTTGGTCTAAACTCCTCCAAGTAAGATCGGATGTTCTAACCAATTTTCAAAACTGGCTGAATATCCTTATCATTAAAATGCTTATTCACTAATGCAGTCGTCTTGTAGGCTTCCTCCATGAATTTTTCACAGTAATCTGCATCCAACTTTTCAAAATCGTCATTCCTCCAATGCTCAATATTCTTAAACCATTGATTGGTAGTCAACCACAAATCTGAATATGGTCTGAACTCCTTAACCATTTGCTATATTACACTGTAATCAGTTTATTCCATTTCAAACAACAGTTCTCTTGAATTGAATTGCCTTGCATTCTCTTAAAACTTTTGTAACTAATCATTGATTCCTCTAACTCTCTAAGCAACACTCTCGTGATCATCCATATTTTAATATGAATAGAATGTTGAGATGGTTATCTACAATGATTTCACTTATTCTAAAAAGAAATCCTACTCCTATTTCATTTTGTCTTAGAATATGCTCTTCTCCTTTTCTAATGCCTACGATCTCACATCCACTAATTCCAGGATTTCTTTAGGCCCACCATAGACCTACCATCTTCTTTGAATGTCCTCAGGCTAGAATCTCACTTTGAATGGCTCTAACAAATCATATAATTCACAAGACTTATCAATATCTTCCTTCATCTTTTCCAATTCTTGAGGCAGATTAGCCATATATTGTTTTATTTCTGTGAGCTTTTCAATGTCAACTGGAGGTTCATTCAATCGCAATTTCACCTTCTAAACTTCATCATACAAAGCCAATGTTGATTATTTCGCTCTTTTCACTATCACTTCTATAAGCAATTTGTACAACTATTAATATTTTCCTGTCAATAATTAACTGATCTCTTTGCAATTCACCTTGAAACAGCCAACTTAAATAGAGTCAGGTATTTGTAATTTCAACTTCTCTTCCTTCTTTTACAATTCCAATACTTCATCTCTGATCAACTCTGTCTCCTTTGGTTTTTCCTCATTATCAACTGTCTTAATGTATTCTTCTGGTCTTATCATTAGGATCTCTTTGTAAACTTAGAAGCACTTCAAATACTCATCCAATGCCACAAAGGATTTATCCAAGTGTTCACTGAGTGCATCAAACAATTTATTCACCCAAATGTTTTCATCGAAGAAATAGGGATCTTAATTACCAAATGGATCATTTGTGATCTGAGACTTCTGAGGAACCTTATAATACATTTCTGATCTTGTTCCTTTGAATATCTCCTTCATTAATTTGGGCTCTAAATCAGGAATCTTGGCTAAATCCTCCAAAGCCTTATTAAAGATAATCAAAATTGTAGTTGCATAATTTCTGATCATTGTAGAGTAACAGAAGTTATCCTCATTGATTGCCTTGAGCAATTCAATTGTAAATAAGGGTTTCACAGCTCTTGGATCATAGAAGCTGTCTGGATTTTTCTGACTTAAAACCAACCCATCTGCAAACTCATTTATTACATCATCAGGTCCATTGATAATAACATTATTAGGTATGTAACTTCTAATATACTTGTCATAATTGTTGAATGACTTTTGTGATAAATTTAAGATAGCATCTTGAATCATCAATCTAACACAAGCAAAAAATTTCTTGAGTCTTCCTTTCTCATAATTATTTCTATCTGTTTCTTTTAAATTGAACCATTTATATTGGGTGTACCAAGATTTGTATTTATCTTTCTCAACCTCTTTCTCTTTTTCCTTGTCCTTGGGTTTTTCTTTGTCTTCCTTTTCTTTATTATCTTTTTCTTTTTCTTTCTCCTTTTCCTTCTCTTTCTCCTTTTCTTTCTCTTTCTCCTTTTCTTTCTCCTTATCCTTATCTTTCTCTTTATCTTTTTCTTTCTGTTGTTATTCCTTGTCTCCAAATTACTTAATGATGATCTTCTCAACATCTTCCATAAAATCCTTCCTCAATTTGCTCATAGATGTAACCAATTATGAATCATTATTTTATTTGAATTCCTCCAACTTATAAGGAGATTGACTTTATCCATTGATGTAAAAGAACTCCAATTCCTGTAATTGATTGCACTTTTCAGTGATCAATTGTAAACATTTCACTGATTCAGGACTAGCCATGATACTGTTCAACAAGAACTCTTTGAATATCTCTGTGAAGCTCTTAGGCTCATTAAAGAACACTTCATGAGGTGTCCACATGTAAATTTCCTTCGCCCCTTTTTTTGCTTCCAATGCTAACATTCCATAGTAATTTGGGTCCTTTTTGGGGGGAACTTCAGGGAGCACCAATCCATGAGGCACAAGATCTGTTGGATTGGCTGTCAAATGATAATCGAACAGAATTCTATTCATTAACAGTTAATAATCAATGGCAGCATCCATCATTAAGGCACTTATTTCACTGAACTCAAGTTTCTTGTTCTTCCTTATTAAGTCTTCGATTTTCTTTTTCTATTCATTGGGCATATCTGGCAAATGATCTCTGGGCATACATTGGATGAAGGCACTCTTCTTGAGAAGGGAATGAGCAACTATTCTGTGGTACCAGGCGTAGGCAAATCGATCAGCCCACTTGTTATGATTCTCGTGATCGAAACACAAATAGACTCTTGGTATCAGGCGTTTCCCCAAAGAGGGCATTACACATTTGAATTTCCTCTTTGCTTCATCGTATCCAATCACCTACCCTCTTTCAAATGTCACATCGTTTCCATTACAAATGACAATTTTAGCTGTTACTTCGTAAGGCTACTCATCAAATAAAACATTCTCAAACTCTATTCGGTCATCCACAAACACCTGCTCCAATCCGACATCATCATGTATTTGTAACGGAAGCTATCTTAAGTGTTAAGTCGGGTCATTAAAATCAACTCCCTAATCTAATTTTGTATACTTACTTTGCTTAATAGCAGTTGCTGCAAATCAATTGAGTTATTCTCATCTCTTTTCTGAATGAAATATTCTTCCTTACTCAGAGCCACTTTTTGATTAGCATTTGGATCATAATCTTCCTCTATCGGCATCTCTTGTTTATAGAGGCTTCTATATTGGAATCGCTCCTTGCTAAATTTAAATTAAGCCTTCTTTGAAGGAGAGGCTATTAGATTTGACATATTAAATAATAAATTAATAAATAATCATTTCCCTATTGTCTTTATTCGCTTATTAATTGTCTTCTCACACATTTTATGAGATTTTGAAGATCTTAAAATCTCTAATAACTCTAAAAGTTCCCATTAGAGGCTGATTTAACCTTCATTTTTAAGCTAGTGTAATACCAATTTGAAAATGTTTCGAGAAATTAGTATAAATGTAAATTAATTGTTATTCACAGAATTTATGAAGAAATTTAAATTCTAATTAAGGACTTTGATTAATATGACCTATTAAATTGTTAATGAGAAATATAAATGATCCATAGAATAAAGAACCTCCTCATTATAACTTGTAAATTTAAAAATAAATTAATATTTAATTTAGGGATTCCTCTTCACAATAAGAGAGGAGCTTATCAATTTTGCTTTATTTTCATCCTCCTCTTGATTATATCATTTTTAGTATTTTTTGGGTTAAGAATTCCTTTGGAGAGATATGAGCTGGCATATCAGCGATCATATCCATATAATGTATCATAACAATTTATGTGATTATGACCATCAGAGACTCAGAGAACTTCCCAAAGGCAGATTAAGCGAGAAAGTAAATGGATTTAAGGAAGTTAAAAGCAAATTAGCATTAAGTAATACCATACGCAATAACATAAATGAATAAGATAGCGAAAAGAAGTAAACTTAATCAAGTTAGGATAAATTGAAATAAACTTGAAATATCGTAAAATATATATATAATATTTTTCAATTATTCTTTTTAAATTCAACTTTCATCAATTTTCCCATATCAATTATTTACTCTTAAACAAAAACAATCTATATATATAAAAACAAAATGGTTACTTTCTCTTCTATTTTTTAAATAAGTTCCTTCTCTCGAATTCCTTTATTGCCGTCTAAATCTACCAATTCTCTAGCTTAATTAAATGGAACCCAACAAAGGTCTTCCTCTTTCAATTTCTAATCAACATAACTCTCGATTCCTGAATATTCTGTCTTCTCTTTCCATTTCAAATAAGCGAAGAAGTAAACATAATTCCACATGTAATGATTTATTTTTATGTGTTCTCTAAATCCCCCATTGCTTTTTGATTGTAATCGATCAAAATCAGCTCTAATAATACATACAATATTTATACTTTAGATTTCCACATATGAAGCAATTGTCAACCATATCTTTCAATTTATTCTCTTCCTCCTCTCTCAAACTTCCGAATGTGTCAATAATAATACCAGCCACAATATTAAGCATTATAACACCCAAAGTAATATTGCTAACTTCATCAAAGAAGAATCTGTCAACGCCTAATTCTCTGGCAACATTGTTCTTTCCAAGTTCTTATTAGACATAATCTCCTATTGAACCTCTAAAGGTCCATTCAACGTTCATCATAAAACAGTATAGTAGAGTATCGCAATATCCTGCAAAATCATTTGATAATCTCCAATAAGCAAAAATAGTAAACACATAAACCAACAAAAACAGTAAGAAGAATGTTAAAATTAATTAAGTTCTGGGACGATAAACTGATAAGATGATATTTTTCAGTGTTGGATATCTAAATAGAATTTCAGTTAAATGAAATATGAAAAACAAGGGATGATAAAAAGTTCCTAAAATTGCAAATAAACCGTATGCTATGTAATACATCACCTCTACTTCTTATAAAAAGCTTAAAATGGTTTGAATAAATTTGTAAAACATGTCTATTAAAATAAACAGAGGATTTGGATCTTGATCATCGAATAACCCTTTTTATAACCAAGCTCTCTTCAGAATTAAAGGCGCATTCTTCAGTAAGTAAAATGATACAACAAATAAGGATAAGCAAGTCATAACAATACCAATAATATAAATAATAGTCTTCGTAATCATGGGATTAAAGCTTTCATATTAACTAAAAAAGATGTAATCTTGAACTCTGTCACCTACTGTTCCATCAAAGCTGAAAAGTATAAATAAGTTTAAAAATAAAGTCAGGAAAAATGCCAGTTCTCTCCACAGTTTAACATAATCAGTCAACAAAGCTAAGTATTTTTATCTATCAAATAGTCTCTTCAAATATTCTTCATGTTTGCAAACTTCAATCAAAGTAGGTGCTACGTTCATTAACCCTTAAACCTTTGATTAGGTAGTACTTCTATCCACCTGATCATGAAATAGGATTTTCTATTCTTTAGGTAGATATTTGGTAGATGGTAATTTAATAAAATAAACTACTTCTAGATTCTCATCATGCATAACATCGATATGGGCACTATTCTCTTGATAAAAGTTGATGGCCATTTGCAAATCTTGTCTATATTGCTCTTCTTTGATTCTTTATTTCTCCTCCTCTGACATATCTGGTTAAACTTAATTATTTTTAAATTAATCAGTAGCCAAATTCTTCATTGAATTCAAAGTTCCAAATAAATTGCTGATTAAGGCAATTGTAAATTAAATTAACATATAAATAAACGAATCTTTGAATATTTGCCAAACTTCATTGCTAGTTTATGTCTTTAATATTTTCTTTTTGTACGTCCTTGTAATTTTAATTATTGGACTTACAATGTAGGGATCGCATTCCATATAATAACTCATTAAGAAGAATAGAAGAAATCCATTTTGTAAGATGGTTTCAAAGTAAGGCTACTATTAAGAGATTTGTTTTATTCTATCAAATTTGCTTTCTTTCATTTTCCTAAGTTTATATGGATCAACTGAAAGATGCTCTAGAGATTCGATTTCGTATTTATCTCCGTATATTTTGACATATTTATTATATTCGTTGACACAATGCTTTTCTAATAAATTTATTGGTAGATTTCTCATGATTCTTTTTAAGATAGGATTATTTTGGCTTATTTCGCTTCCTTCCAATAAACTCATGATCAAATTCAAGATTTTGTTCATTAATCTACAAATCTACCATCTTTATAATGGTTAATCCAAAAGAGATTTTCGTTTACCAATTTATTCAATCTCCGCTGGAGGTGATAGTATATACTATTGAGAAAACAAATCAGCAGCTATATCCAAAAATTTCGATTCGGAAATTGCTTTTTAATTGTCTGAACAAGGCCCTTAAACCAGTTCATTTAAAGTATCTAAACATTTCAACATATTGTCATAGTTTTTTTAAATACGACCATCATAATAATAAGTCTTAAATAGATCAGTTATTGCATTAGTTAAATCATAATTATTTTTGGAGTTAGTCTGTTCTCTAAAGTAATTTTATAGTTTTCTATAATGTCCTTCAACAGCATTTTGCAAGAATGTTAAGACTTCCAAAACTAAACTTAAATCTTCTTCAAATTCGTGATAATCTATCTAAAGTAATCCTGCAGATTCATCTTCAGATCCTCCCTTAGATTTAGATAGGATTTCTAAATTTTCAATTTGCTTTCGAATTATAAAATAGATTTTCTAGAAGATATTTTCAGATTGACTGAAATTTATCATAAAGCTGTATATAGTTCCTTAGACTTGATCATTTCCTCCATCTAACAAAGTGTTAATAAATTAAATAAAAGACTAGAGATATGATAAATATTAATACCATCATTAATTTCTTGTCTTGGTTATTTTCACTCAAGACTAGCAACACCATTTATGTTGCTCCTAATTTATCAAATAGATTTTGCATCTCCACTTTTCTTGCTGGATCAGTGTCAATTATTTTTTTTAGAATATGTAATAATGTTTAGATAGACCCCTTGCAATTAGGATCCGAGAAGGCTGATTAAAGATAAGATATAAGTTTCCTAGAAATACTTTTAACATCAGGTTTATTTGTTAAATTCTTGCTAAATTCTGGTTTTAATAAACTAGATATGTTTAAAATGGCATTGGCAATAGTTTCTCTTTCTTTTTCAGCTTCCTTAATAAACTAATCCTTATTTAGTAATTCTTTCAAAAATAACTTCCAAAGCTTCTCAACTTTGATTGATTTAGTTGAATCATACCCTTCTAACAGTTCCTCTCCTTCGTCTTTATCAGAGAATACATGTATTTTCTTTTTATCAGGCAAGTATTTCTTACTTGATTTTTTATCATTCTATTCATCAGGATTACTAAATTATTTTGATGTCAAACTGCTCTTCTTTGAATGGTATCCTCCAATTATTTCAATGGCTGGCTTTGAATTAGGAATATTATTATCCTAATCAAATTAAATTTAATCCTAATCTGTTTCTTAAAGTGAGTCTAATTTAATCTTTACTTAATTCCAAATCGGATCTTCTTTTTAACTCACTGTCTTCTCATAAAACACTTTGCAAAATGTTTATAAACATCTTACTAATATCTTTGCGTCTTCACTTGTAGTAATTATAGGATGAAGTATGTTTGATTCAGAAGTTAAAGTTTTTACTTTTTTTAACCATTCTTATAAGAATTTTTCAATTGCTTATAGATCTTTTCTTAAATCTTATTTCTCTATGGTTTTTAAGAATCTATCATGATATGCCAGAATAAATGGGAAAATCCCTTAAATGTGATAATTTTTTAGATCTTGAGTGAATAATTGCAAGTCAGTTATTTTATCAAGTCTATTGATTTCAAAGGTAATAAAATCAATTATTTATTATCGGCAATGGAACAGTTAAGAATGTTATACCTATCCTCTTTCAGAAGAGATGTGAACCAATCTCAAAAACTCTATTACTTATAATTTTATTAAGGAAACCCCTTTAATTTTGTCATTGCTATCAATATATTGAATTTGAGATTTAGTTGTAATAGGCATCTTAACAAATGCGTCATTGGTACATAGTATTTCAAGGAGATAGGCTGCTGTAAACAATCTTTTTAGCTTACTTACACTGATGTTGAAATTCTTTTTCACATCTTCTTCTTTTGTGTTGGCATTAAATTTTCTCTTTTCTACATTATTCAAAGTTGTCTAAATGAGAATGTCTAATAATTATGCATGATAATAGAAGGGTTCATCTCTAAATGTATCTCTATAGTCTATCTCTCTAAGTTTATCAACAAATTTTAAATCAGGCTCTTAAATTGGATCATCCAAAAATAATTTCAAATCACTATTCCTTGAACCATCACAATACAATATCTTTATATCCTTTTCCCCAAATTCTACTGGCAACAGACTATTTTGTATTAAAATTTAATTGTCAAAAATGTAATTTTATTAATAAATCATTAATGACTCAAATACTTTTAAAAACCTCCTTTGTCTACCCTCTTTTAGAATGAGTTATAAAATCATGTCAATTAATTATTAATCAACTTTTTGAACAAGCAAAGTCTTATTATTTTAAAATATAGATTCAACCAATTCTAGTTAGCCTAGATCATATTACATGTATCGATAAAAGTTTAAATACTCATAGAGTATAATTTAATTTTCATTGTTGTTGAAACAGAAATTTTTGAGAACATCAATAGCCAGTCTAAAAAACTCAATCATATAAATCTTTTTCTCCTCTTCTAAATCTCTATCCATTATATATTCATGAATGTATCTTAATCCATTGGGCAATAAATTAACTACTGCTATATGAGCTCCCAAATTTGCATACAGTTATTGCTTCTTAGGATCAATAACATCTAAACATGATATCAATTCATTCTCTTCTAATTTAATATCACTTTTCAATCCATGATAAAAACTATTTAAATATTTTTATGCCTATTCAAAGTCACTACTGACTCTATCCTCAAAAATATAGTTGGATATCCATGTATCAAGACGCTCATTTAAAGTTTAAAACTTTTCTAAATTTGTTGTAATGTATTTGTGCAGTATAGTCTTTTCAGCATCAAAGATAACCTACATGTTTTACAGATTTCGTTTGAATTCCTCTTTTTAAGTAAATAATCTTAGGAGCAATTAAAGACATCTCTTTTCTAATTCTTTATCCTTCACATGATAGAACGTATGTAAAAATGTTGGCAATAAACTAGCTACAGGCTAATCATTTGCATTGATATCCCCTAAGGCCAAACTCAAATATTGGTCCAGATCTAAGATTTCTGGGATTTGAGGATTGTTGATATAATTGTAAAACCTTGCTTTTGCTTTTTCTTCCTACTGATTCATTTTCATTAAGTTTTTTGTAAAGGAAGTTAAACTATTTTCTTCTTTTAATGGTTCATCTATTTCTTTAATCCCAGTCGAGGCTAAATTAGGCAATAATCCCAATGCATGATGTTTTAACAATCTCTAAATAATCAAGAGGTTCTTTTGTCTTTAATTTAAATCTTCATACTATATTCTATGACTACGAGGTTTCTTTTTATTTTCCTTTTGTAAATATTAACTATAAGCAATAGGATTATTCTCTATGTGATCTCCTTACAATAGATAGGTTTTAAAGAACACTATGCAATTTTACATCATAAAATCTTATCTTAAGTCTAATAAATATTCCATAAAATCACATATTTTGATCTTCAATTAAACTTCATTTTCTACATATTTTGGATCCAAGAAATTGATTGTTTACATGATTGATGATAATTTTAAATACCCTCTCATAACTGGATTTAAGTATATGTTTTAATCATTTGTTGTTTGACTTTCTCCTCTCTGTTCCTCATTATCTTCTTCTTCCTTATTTTATTTCTTCAAAAGGTTCATAAAATTTGGAGCTGTAAGTTTATGCTGACTTTGCTTATCTTATAATTTCTTTTAGACTTTTTGTCTTTCTGTTTAACAATGAGCTTGAATTAAATTCAGTTCGTATTTCTCATAAGTGAAAATATCTAAACAAGACTTAACCATAGATTGAATGAAATTTTAGGGTCTTAAATTGGGTTATAATGTTTCACCTAAAGAATAATCCAAAACCCAGATAAGATTCAATTTCATAATCTTATCCAAAATTCTCATAGTGTTTAAGATTAATTCTTCTTATAAGAAATCTGGCCCAACCTAGTTTTAGAACTTTTTCGAATCTCTATCTTCGCCCCCTTGATTATTCGCTGGAGGACACATTACTTCATAAATTTCACTTCCCTTCTCATTCACATAATTCATCAGATTATTCACCAAATCTTTGTAGGTATTCAATTCTTAAATATTCGAAGATCCAGCTTTAGTTGAACTTTTGAATAGAATATAATCCCTAGGCTTTTCACACTCACTAAATAATTAACACATAATTGGTGCTTTCTTTATCCTCAGAGGTTCTTAATCAATATACAAAGTCAATGCTAATCTGGCAAATCCAGGCTATAAATCTATATATTTAGGATCAATAGGATGTTTAAACCATATATTCCTAAACAAAAATGATTTTTCAAATTAAGCACCAAGTTCATTTTTCCATGAATAATTTCTTCCTAAAGCAACCTCTGAAAAAAAGGTGAGTTACTCAATAATATACATAAATTTGTCCCTTGAACTTTTATTAATGTCTCTTAAATCGCAATCCTAAGGTATGATTAGTTAACCTGCTTTGGATGTTAGTCTTACAGTTCCATCATTACTTTTGCTTTCTTCAGCTTTAGTTTCGACTCCCAATTTTGGTTACTTTGTATTGTTCTTCTTATACAACTTAAAGATGTTTTCTTAGTTAATTTAAATTGGAAATTCTGAATGACTGCAAACATTTCTTAAAAATTTTAAATAATATGAGTTGTTTTTGGCTTCGTCATCCCATAACAAATTAATAAAGTATTCAATTAAAGGGACAGGTTTCTTCATTATTTTTTCATGTTATTTTATCTCAATTTATTCTTCCTTATCATCAAATTAGTACAAATTAATTAAAATCTTTATTTGTTAATTATCTATTTCGTCGTCCTCATAAAATTCAATCTTAATATCTTCACTTAATTTATATAATAAATATTTATTGCTTGATACAATATTGATGATAGCTTCGATAGCTTTTGGTAAATATTTAGTGTGCAATTAAAAATATGGTATTAAGTCATAAGTATATATTTAGTTTTCTCTGTTTAATTTACATACAGATCCTAAGAATTAATAGATCTAATCAACTAATTCTACTTTAGATTTAACATAATTATAATATTAGGTCTTTAATGTGTTTTCAGTCTTTTATTCATGCAACATCAAGGCTTTGTCTTCAAAAATAATGTTGCTTTCAATTTCAAATATGTTTTTGGATTGTTTATCACCTTTTTCTAACTCAATTTCTAATTTCTAATAAAATTCCAATTCTCCTTTAGTAATAATTCTTTCTAAAATTTTAATCAGTATATCTATGTAAAACTATTCCCTCATTAATTTCTATCTATATTAATTGATAGATCCAAATAACTATTCTGCAGATGTGGTATAAGACTTATTATTAACAAAATTCTCTAATTCTGCAATGCAACTTTTTAATTATTAAAATACTCCAAACCATTTTCTTTTAGAAGAGAAATTATCAATTCCAGGATATTTTGGATCTTGAATTTAAATAACAAATTTGGCCAATCTACGAAAACAAGATTGCAAAAATTAGATTTCCCAAACTTCATTCCTAGTAGCCATATGTATTTTAAATACTGCATGTTCAGTCTTTTCATTTGGTGCTTTCAAAATTGGAATATATTCATGATTTTACTTATCATTCTAAAAATCCATCCAATTTTAACTCTATCTATTTTATAGATATGTATAACTTCCTCCCTTTAAATATTTTTAATTTGGTTGAGTTTTGAGATCAACAAAAGTAAATATTGTCGACTTATCCAACTCCTAAGTTAAACGATATTTATATTGTAGTTATTTTTTATTTTATTTATTATTCTTATCCCCTGGGATTTCTACAACACTTAAATAATATCCAGTAGTAACATTCTTAAGTCTATATCCAGCCTCATACTTGACAAATCCTCCTTAAAGAAACTCTTCCCCTTCGATTTACCATAATCCATTAGTACTGCCCTGATATCCTTAGGCACTTTCAGTTTGAGACTTAGTAATCGCCACATATAAATTTTTTATGGACAACCATTCAGAAAGGTGATAAAATGTGAAATTGGCCTTGTCTACTGCCTCTTGATATTTCTTCACAGAGAGTGTAGCTTCCGCTTCACTATGATACAACCATATGCAATCCCCCACTCTTAAATTTCTTGAACTTTCAGAGATGTATTATTAAAACAAAACTATTTTCCAAGAATGAGACTGTTCAACACTAGCATTTATTTCTTTCTTCTGGATGTGTTCAGATCTTGAAGAAGCATATCCTTTGATTTCAGAAATTTCCAATTAAGAACAATTGATATATGCAAATCGATTAGAGATAGGCATTGCTCTGGTTATGGCACACATTTCACCAGCATTCACATCCTATTCTCCATGACTCTAATACATGTAAGCAGGCACTATTTTAAACACAGTGTAATCACTTGAAAAATCATCCAATTTAACCAAGTAATTTTAATTCTCTAATTATGCTTCATTATCATGACATGCTAAAAATCTACCGCTTGCGATATGTAATAATTGGAATGGTTGATGGTATGTTAATTTTTAGCACCTCGATTTATCAATCGCATCAATATTTTGCTTATACTCATTCATTAATTGACTAAGTTCTTCATTCATCCTTTATGTAGTCATTTTGATCTTATCCTAATCATAAAATTGTTAATAATACATCCTTCCCATCTTTGTCTCCCTTCTTAATATCAGTTACATTATAATCTTACAAAACTCTAGTCTTCACTGTATCGGAAACCCTGGGCAAAACCTAAAATAGGCATTTGTAAAAGGAATCATTATCTAGGCCATCAAATGTTTTTCTTCTATATCATTCTTAAATACTTTTTTTATTCTTTATGAACAAAGTTTTTTAAAAATACTTCTGGTTTCAAAAACCCATCTGAAAATAAGAATGCTGTTTGATCAACAAAATCAGAGATGGCGATTATCGACCCAAAAGTGACCATCGTTTAGTCTATTTATTCATCTTCGTCCATTTTAATAATTATAAAAATTAATTGTTTAACTAAATTTGAAATTCATTTATTATGCAGTATTTTTGCATTCTGTAGAAATAACAAATAATACTCAACTCAAGTAGATATCACATTCTTCCTACAGAAGGTATCAAAATTTAATAGAGAAAGATGAATTTCTTAAATTTATATGATCTAAAACATTATTTGAATTTTAATCATAGAAAGATGGAAATAGGTAAGTTTATTGAGGGACTTCATCAACTAAGCAATTCTAAATGTTTTCTAAGAATTCTTATTCATAAAATTAATTAATATTTTATTTAATATAAAAGGGATGAAATCTATATATTAAGACATGTTAAATAGAGCTTATAACACTCTATTCCACCCATCCGTGTAATGGTTTAGGATTCTTACACCAGTGAGCAAATTTGTTACGATTTTAGGGTTACAATATTTTCAGATACCCTGCACCAGCATCAGAATAAATTAATCATATCGAACATGACTTTAAAACTCCTTATCGTGACTCAAAATATTATGTCAGACATGATGAACCTGTAATCGAAAGAGTATCAAAGTTTACATTCACAGACCCTTTGAATGAAACTCCATCTGAAAAGTAATTGATATTCATCAAGAATCTAATAGATTAGTCAGATTAAAATTACTTACTAAAGATCAAGTCAACAATTCAGAAGCTGTGTAAACGGCAACTTAGCAATATGAATAAAAATACGGATTGCCTTTATCTTAAAGAGGTAAGATATAATTATCAATAATTAGTGTATTGTAATCAAGTTGGAGGTGGAGACGCCCTTTAAGACTTTTTCTAAGGTGAAAATATAAGAGAAGTCATGGCTAGCTTTGTGAGACAATAATGGGAAGAAGTCAATGAAAATGCGCTTGAAGACTTAAACTGTACCAATTTAGATGACGATTACCATCCAGTTTTAAATGAGAAGGTTGGATTCAATCTCCAAGAAGCAGATCCACTTTTTAGATAACTAACTGTTGATTTACACACTTTAGTTAAAAATATTGGGGTAAATTTATTGATTTAATGATTTATCAAATAGGAAAAAGCAAAATAAGAGGGTCATCTAACATTTTTCAGGGGAGATCCAAATTATTGGCATGTCCTCGATAATAGTTTCCCAGTAGAATCCATTAGATTGATATAAAATACTTTGGGTGATGAAGTCTCCTAATTAGGTATTACTATCGATTACTATGTTTTATTTTAGATCCAAAGGCATTATAAAAACAACAAAATAGAGAGGATTATCACATTGAACAAAAGGTGTAATTACCCATAGAAAATAAATATTATTCATGAAATCATAAATAAAATAAAATATTTATTCAGTATAATCAATATTTACATCATTGAATGGCACAGGAACAAGAACATTTTTTCTTCTATTATTGGTATTGTAAACGTTCGACAATATAAATGTCTTAGATTGGTGTACCTTCAATCTAATCTCTAAATGTGACAGCTTTTGCTGACACCCCTTTGAGAATAGGATAGTTAAATTTATCAAATCTTTTAGTTTTTTTTTTAATTTCTTGTTACGCCACCCTATCTTGGTTCATTTTTATTAATTTTATTAAAAATGGCATTATAATATCAATTTAGTAACAAATTAATTGAATCTATAAATAATTAATCAGAGAAGAGAAAGCATTAACTCTTTAAATTAGCTAAATGTCATCTACTTTTTAATGGAATAATTACATTATTGTTTTAATCTTTGGATTTCTTATCAAAGTTGAATTTCACACAATTATAATCTAAAGAACAAATGTTTAGAATTTCATCTATGCTAATCTTTCCACTATGATTTTTATCTATCAATTTGAATGTCACTTATAAATGTTGATGAGTTAAGAGAGAAGATTTGTCAACAGATGCAATAATGAATTCATGAAAGTCCAAAAATCCATTTTTATCAAAATCTACCTTTTTAAACAATTCAATGATCTCTTCATAATTTTACCCAGGGTACAGTGATCGATATGCTTCCTAGAGCTCCTCAAAACTAATCTTTTAGTCTCTATTCGTGTCAAAGGTATTGAAAATTGAGGCGAAAAATTGCTTCTATTGTTAGTTGAAATGATTCACCATCAATAACAAAACACAAGCTTAAACATTATTGATATTTTTTAAATTTTTAACCTTTTTCATCTATTTGAATGCCTCAACAGTTTTTTATGAATTATTAATAGACTTTATCCAATTTGTGTCTAATGCCTATGAAATGGTAATCCTTTGTTTGAAATCATAGGCAAGCAACTTTTTCATGAAATTCTTGCAATTTTCACTTGATCTTTCAAAATCAATACAATCCAACCTCATGCCTCCGCGTATAATATTCTTCATAATTTGCTAAATCGTTAATAGAGTGCCAGTCTTTTGGGGATGATAATTAATTAATAATTAATATCCTATCATTCCTATGGCCCAAATATCACAATGTTTATGCTTTTATTTTGTTTTGCAAAATTCTGGAGAATAATAATATACTTGTTCCCCTTCTTTATGGATGACGGTTTTTGAGAATAAGGGCTCAATGTCAACCAGTTTCAAAATAGGATTCTGAGATTCATCTGAGAACATGAAGGACTCCAACTAAAGTTCTCCATGATATAAATGTTAACTGTGTAAATACTCAAAAAGAGTCAGCATTTAATACATAATTTGTACACACTTTTATTCTGAAACTGAACCAAACTCCCTTAGATAAGCTGATAATGTATTCCCACTACAATAATCCTCAACCAAGTAATAATGTTTGGGATCGCTATAGATTTCGTATATTTCTGGCAAGTTTATGTGTTCCTAATTCAAAATAAAATTGTACCAATTTCTTTTTCTAGACATACTCAACTACTGCTGGTTTTGTCAGGCAGTCCCAATTTAGTTATCTAACGTATCTTACAGATTATGTGAGATTATGGTTGACAATAAAATAATTGATAAGTGAGTCTAAGCTAATAAAATCTTTTACTCTAACATCCTTTGAACCTGGAATCCATAAGAGTGTAATTTTTAAATATACTGCCATCTTATTCGTTTATTTTCAATTCTAAATTACTGCCTAATTATTCCTTCTCCAGACTCTTGGATATTTACAAATTAAAGCTGTATTTGCTAGTATTAAGGTTATTTTCTTAGGTTTTTACTCTTATTTCTGCTGCTTATTTTTTGCTTTGATTAATCTTCTTTTTTAAAGAATCTTTAAAAGAAGTACCCGTTTTATCTTGTTTAGAGAACAAACAACCCATTTATACTTTATATATTAAAGATAATAAAAATTATAAAGAGAAATATGATTTTCGATAATTAATAAGATTCTTCTTAATTTAAAATGTTTGAATAAATCATAATCATTCTAACATTAAATATTGTTAAATCCATTATTTTTACAAAGGGATGATTCATAAGGGCAGCATGAGATTATTATATTCTAGACAATGAGATAATTACTTTTTAGATTGAGATAATTTTATTAAATTGTCTTTAGATTATTAATTTTGGAATTATCATATAAAAATTGAATAATCACTAGAAACTAATCAATAATCGAGAGTTAGATAACTATTAAATATAAAGCCATTTCTGGATTTGAAAATCAATCAAGTATCTGTCTATTCAAGAACTGTAGGTTTATTTAATTCGCTTTTATTTGGTTTTTCTGATTTTGTAATCATTTAAGAATGTATATTCTCTTGCCAACAGGGAATAATTTAAAAGCGTATGATTAATGCGTGTTAATTCTACAAATTCTCGAAGAATAATCTAAATGCAGGGTCGATAAATAATTAAATATCAAGTAATTTATATCTCCTTTCGATTTGAGTGAAGATAAACAGCTTAGAAAAACACACTTATCTAATTAGATTTATTTCTTGGACTACCATTTGAAATCTTAATGGTATACTACCAAATCAAATTAATATTTTATCAAAACATAATATTATATACAAATTCGATTTGATTTTAAATTTGAATAGTGTCAACATGTATTACCTATTGAATTAAACATGAATAATAAACATATTTAAACATATTAAATACATAATAAATTAATATATCATAAGTCTGATTTTTATGAACGCTATTGAAGTCCTAAAAATGATTATGTAAAATTAATGATTCCATCCTTTGTAATTTCACTTAATAAATTAAAGCTGTCTGAGATTGGATTAAATGCCACAATCTAAGGGAGGTAATCTATAATGTAAGCATACATTTTTACCATTCTAAATTCCAAAATATTGCATAAGTCTCAACCCATATTTGTTGTCTGTATTAGCTATGCAAATAAGAATCTAATCTTTGATTTTAGATAAAGCTAATCTTAAGTGCTTTTCAGCTTGACTTGTTTAAGAATTTTACACTAAGATAAGAGTTGGTTAATCCCCTTTGAATATTCTTTTTGCTGTCTAAACAATTTAAATTCTATATTCCTACTTAAATGTCGAAATTCATCAACACAGGATAAGAATGTTTTTTGACAAATTATTCTATGTAAGAAATCTCGAAATTATCAAAAATTGCAGCTTTTCTTTCATCATATGGTTTATAAACAACTATGCTGGGTACTTAAGCTCTCATCTCATTAGCGAAGTTTTAGTTAAATGTGTGCAAAGCTGGGATATGTTTATTCTTTCTAAATAAATAAAAATATAGTGATTACTGTGAGAATTAATAGTATTACATGAATTCGTATGATTCTTTCTATTCACCGAAGAATACCATAACTAAATTAGGAGATTCTGAGAACTTCTTCAATTAATCTAATGATTTGGCTTCAACAGATCCCTTATCTAAGATGTACTCATAAATATAATGTTTACTTGTTTTCTTTCTCATCCAATCAACAATAGCTTTTTCTGTTCTATCGCCTTGGTATTCCATCAATAATTGACCATCACCAAATAATTTTAAAGTTGGGAATCCAGTTACTTAATATTTTCTACATAAATGTTCGTATTAAGGACAATTGATCTTAAATTTATCAAGTTTATTACTTTAGCAAATTGAACATTTTGATTCCTGACTTATCTTGCAGATGAAGCAAACACTGGAGCTAGATGATGACTAAATTTTATTTATGATTATTACCAATGTCCACACCAATGAGCATAGAAATCCACTAATACAAATTCATATTTCTTCAGAACATATTCAAAATTTTAATCGCTCAATATTAAAACTCCATTCTCCTCTGGCACTTATTATCCAAGGACAAGTGAGAAAAAAAGAAGTGTTAGTAAATATTTCATTAGAAAATTCTAGATTATTTATATTAATGATGTGTAAATTAGAATTATTCATAATTAATATACAATAGATTATTTAAGTAATTGATGGGATAATAAGATTAAATTGATGCTTTTCAGATCGATACCATACTAATTATATACAAAGTTCTATGAAAATTATAATTAAAATTACAACATGTAATTTTTATGAAATCAATAAAAATTAATTGAACAGAATATTTTCATTAAAATTATTAAAGTTTTCTTAATCAAAAAAATTTAGTGTGTGTGTATGAAAATACTCTTTTAAAGTTAAAATCATATATCACTTCCAAATAATTAAAACCTATTATCAATGAAAATATACCCTAATTTTAGGGTAATTAGGGCAATGATCTTAGGAAAGAGTTAATTTCATCATTTTGTTAAAATGAAGGGAATTCTTCAATTTTTTGAGGATACTCCTAAAATAACGATCTGCTTGATAGATATTTACTAGTTGCAGAGAGAAAATTATTTTTTCGTTAATTCACTTTTTATTACAAATGTTTAAATTAATAACTGATAAATAAAATTTAGTATTAACATTAAAAAACGCAATATTTCTTTGAAAAACGAATATATTTTGCTGAGTTCCTGATTCAAAATGGAGATATCAAACGATATTTTTCATTATTATTATTATTAATGAAGACCGTCATATTGGCTTTAGCACTTATTGTCTTAGCTTCATCCACATAAGCTGATGTTATTGCTACTATTAAGAAGATCGATCAATCACCATTCGGCAGAACATTGTTTGATACAATCTATTTAGAACTCTAAACAGGAGACCCATTAGATAGATTATTGTCAACCTTGACTGACTTGGAAGATAGATATGTGGCTGAATAAAAGGAAGATGATGCTAAAAACTAAGAATACTAAGGTGCTTGCACAGTTGTAAGAACTTATGCCTATATTTTAGGATATCTCAGCATTCGATAAGGATTTGGCTGAATCTAACAGAAAGAAGATCGAACTTGAAGCCAGATTAGAAGGATAATTATACCCATAAAGATCAATCTTGGAAGGCTTAGTTGCTTAAAAGAAAGCTGAAGTCAAGGGATACTAAAAGGATTTGGATGAACTCGATGCTTAAAGAGCTGAAGAACACGAAGATTTCGAAGAGAAAGTCTTAGAACACTAAGAAGCAACAGCTATCATCGCTGAAGCTAGAAGACTCTTCGCTGATAACATCGAACACGGATCCTTCATCTAAAAAGGAAAGGCCACAAAGCAAACCCACAAATTCACCAAGGAAGTTGCTAGCATGATCTAAAAGCATTTTACCACATCTGCCAAGAAGACTGCCAAATTCTAACACAGAAAGGGATACAGCAAGTTATTCAAAGCCTTTGCAACAATTGCCTCAAAAGTTGAATAATTAGCTGATGCTGGTGCCGTCTAAAAGATCATTGACTTAGCTGATGAATTATTGGCCAAGATTGCTGATTCATTGTCCTTATTGAGATTCGCTGAAGACAAGAGAGTTGAAGCATATAAGAAATCAAGAAACTTCATAGTTATCTCTTTGAATGTTGCTGGTTCCGCTCTTGCCAACGCTACTTCTGACTTAGCATCATTGAACGATATCATTGCTTAAGTTGAAGCCTCACTCGATACAACTGAATAAAGAATCGAAAACGTTTCAGCTGACAGACATGACAGATTCACTTAATGCGAAGAGGCTGTTTAAGATTACTAAGATGCCAGAGCTGCCAGAACCTCAGACAGAGATGTTGTTTCATAAACCATCGGATTAGTCAACAAGGAATTGAGAACCTTGAGAGAATAATTGGCCTTGAGATAATAAGCTGGAGAAGAAATTTGATTTTTATGATCTATACAACATTAAAAATGATTAACATTTCCTTGCAAGTTTTAATTAAATTGTTTTATAAATTAATTGTAACATGTAATAATTCGACAATCAAGAAATATTGATGAAGCTCAAGTCTTCCAAATAATTCTGGGATATCAAGAAGAAAGTACTTACTTTTCTCTATCTAGTTAAAATAAGGACTCGGTGACTAACAGAAAATTGGAGTCAATGACATTCAAAAATTAGCTCAAAGTTGTGAAATTGAAGACCAATTAATTAAATTGATATCTCATATTCTCAAAAAATCTAAGAAACGAGAAACTCTTAAGGAAGATTAGATTGAATTTCTGAACACTTCAAAAATAAAATGGACCGAATTGTTATTTAAAAATTTAGATATCGTTCATTAAAAAACAAAAAATTAAGAAGAAGATGACACTAATACCGATTCTAAACTATACATCTATGATGAAAAGAACCTATTGGCATTTTTATAAACTTTCAAATAATAATAATAGTCCAATGCCCTATACTAAAATGTCCAATTTCAGTCTAATAAACTGTTAAATATCAATATACCCTTAAAGTCATCACAATCAATATTGGACAAATATTAATATTTGTTACTCTAAGAAGAATTGCAGGATGATAAAATCAATAAAATCAGAAAGCAAATTGAAAATGAACACTTAGATATTGAATTAGAAAAGATAGCCCAAACCTTTGTACCTAATGGAGAGAGGTGTCTTCTCTACTTAAAATATTTTGAATTCGATCACTAAGAAACAGTCTTACAGTAAAATTTTGCAAAACTCTAAAAAGAGTGTTTAAATTAGTTGTTTTATGATGAACTACTCGAAATAGACGGACATGAAATATCTGAAGATACATTCTATTTTGTGTTTTAAGAGTAAATTCTAACATGTTTAAAGTGCTTTATTAGAGACAGAACAATAAAAGAGAATATAAGGGTATTTGGATTAAATATTAATTAGATTCAACTATAAAATGGAGTGAAGAAAGAACATGCAGAGTTTTAATTGCCAGTTACAGGATTCTTTCCTTTCAAAAACATATCAAAATATGTTGCACCATTATGTTACCTCTCTACAAAAATACACATAATCTATGCATTGTTTAAGGAGTTTTTTTGTAGATACTTTTGCTTTTTGCATGCCATATCGTCAGAGAACAATTCAATTTTATCTCTTTGCATGCAAATCGAAGAAATTGTAAGCACTCGATCTCCTAAATTATTTCATCATTTAAAGGTAATTGGATGTGACACATTAAAATTGATCATTCATCAACTAGTGTATTGTTTCATAGGTGATATGGATCCTCCACATATTTTAACTATTTATGATTAAATTATAGGACACGATAGTCTAGAAATTTTAGTTATATTATGCGTAGGTTTTTTAAATAAATACAAACCTAAGTTATTATTAGCTAAGAATTAAGAGAATGTATAATAAATCTTTTCAGAATTAAGAGAGGACAGATTTTAAGAATTAGTGCAATTTGCATATAAATAATGAATTCTATAACCTAAACTAGTTTTAAAATTTTATTTCATTAAAACTAAAGTTGTATAATTAATCGTTCACTTTTTTAGTCCTCCCTATAAAATCTTAATTGCCTTCTATATTTCTTCATCTTTATGCAAGGCTAATTCAGCAAGAGAACCCCCTTAGGTTCTTTTATTTTATTTCACTCTTTTTGTCCCTTCCTCAGGAATCATCGCTATATAAATTGCAAATAGTACTAGATTTATGGCTTCTTTAATATAATTAACGAACAGATTTTTGTTAAGATAAATATGGCTTTTCGTTTCTTTACAATTAATTTTAGACATTTGGGGATTACCAATCCATGAATTAATTTTATGTTGGTAACACTATTTAAAGATCTTACTTTTAACCATCAATTCTATATTCCAGTAAATCCTATTACTATTCTTGCAATAGTTATTCAGTATATAATCGTTGAATTGATGGATTGAGATTATTGAGAGATTTAATCTATTTGAGTGTTTAGATTTGCATATCACTAGAAGGATGATTTTTGTGTTATTCTTAGGACATTTTCTTTTTAGTATTCAACTACTCTTTAATTGCTTAAGGTTTCTAAAGTAATTTGCCAACTTCAAAACATAAGCGATCTATTTCATTTGCAAAGTAATGAATAGTTCCAACAGCATTTGCTTCATTACCTTAATCCTATTTCTAAGGAGCTTAAGGATTAAGAATTTGTGCTGGATCTCCATAAATTGTTTTTGGTGGATCCAAACCTCTCTTTGTGTAATACTCTAATGGGTTTCTATTTAATCTTTAAGTTTTGGAATGAGAGTCTGTATCATTATAAATGGTTAAATATGAGGAATAGGTTTAATATTTAGCAAAATGATTTAGATCTTCTGTCATTTATTTTAATTAAATTAATGAACTAAGCTACTTGATATAAGACACTTAGAACTTGAGATTGTACTGTCCTAAGTTAAACCTTTATTTTCTATGTGATAAATCATTAAATTAATGGTAGACTATTAATAATTAAATTGAAGATCACTGAACATTACTACATTAATTGAGAATTTGAAGTTAAATTTTAATCCCTTAAAAAGGACTAGGGAGTAAAGATACTGATAAAGATAGAGGAGATGGATAGAATCAAGAATCAAGTTTAGATCAGCTAGCTCTTCTGTTATTTTAGTAATCATATTTCAAACTTATTGATTTTAGAATGATTTATATAATAAAATTAAATAAAAATATTTAAGATTATTTATGCGAATAGGAATCAAAGAATAAAAATAATTGATTATAACAATAGCTACATTAATATTCGGAAATGTAGTAATTGAATTTAACATCTTAAGGTTAAAGCATAAAAGAATTCTTGGTATAAAGAATATAAAAACTGAGTTATTAGTATCAATTGAATACAGGATGTCTACATTAATTAAGTCTTAATTATAAAATGTATAATTAACCCTTTGCTTTGATTTAGAAACTTCTTTTTTTTCTTATTCTGCAGCTCATCTAAAGATTGTTTATATTGATTTTATAATCCCAAGGATTTTTTCATTATAATACATAATCTTTTTCTCTGCAAATATTGAATCATACTTGAAAAAAAGCATGCATCACTTAAATGTAAGTTCTGGAGAATGAAGATCTAATATAACTAATTTAAAGATTCTAGACTTTTAGCTAGATTTGCGTTTTAGTATTTTTATCAGTGATTTTGTGCAGGATAATTTTTATTATAAAATATTTTCCTATAAATGTTCTAAGCAGAAAAAGGAGCTAATGCAATTCCAGGATATACAGGGTATGAGTGTGATTTAGTGTAGATTTGCCCCAACATAGAATTTTGATGCAGATTTATTGTAAATTTAAGGCAATAGGAATCATATTCCAAGTAATAATCATTTTGTAACCATATTTAGACTATGCTGGTTTTGTGCCAGGGATAAAGGCTGAAAATCTGTTTGGAAAAACCTTCGGGAAAATCACTCTTTTATCTGGTACGAGATAAAATCATTAGGGGTAATTAATTGATAGATGATTGAATCTAGATCGAATTTGCCAGCAGATCTCAGATACAGAAGTGAAGTCAAGGATGCTTATTGCGATCAAAATCATTAAAGAAATAAAGATAAATTGCTATATGGAAAACTTGATTCTGAAACTTCCGTAATTTATATTGAATCTATTGTAGAAAGCTCTGGCTTATAGCTTATCAAACTTAACAAGCACTCAGGTACCCAAAACAACGAAATCCAGAGGTATTGTTAAGTTAGTATTTTGTAGTGGATGTGAAGGAGAGAGTGAGCAATGTGAGTTATCAGGAAGCACTAAAATAAGCCGGAAAATGATTATATTAATTATGAGGATTTATTAATTATCCCACAATTATTTGTTTTCAAATCAAATACATTATAATTATGAAGTCATTAATAAAAATAATTTAATGAGTGAAAACTATAATTTTTCTGATTTCGTCAAATTTAGGAAGGGTAGTACCTTTGGCATAGGAAAGATAGAGAATTTCAGTCGCGAAGAGGATTGGTTCGAATATTTCGAATACATCTTAAGCGAAGAATTACCAACAGGTTGGTTTATATATTGTATATTTTATTGTATTTAAATATTACACAACACACATTTTCCAATAATCCTTATTATTGTGTTTTTCTTTTTTATTAATTTTTATTAGGTAAACAACCACATCATGGATTGTATGAAGTGTTTAAGACAGATTAATTGAAGAAAGGGAAAATGACTGATATTATTGAAAAAGTCCAATTAAGTAAGCTCCCCGAATATGTCCAGATGACGGAAAAGAAAGGTTATGTGATGAGACAATAGTTCATATCCAAGGATCTGATGCCTCTATTAAAATAGTGTTTTTGTGGCCAATATGTGAATCCAGATTAGGTTCTTGTGCTTTGTACTTCATGTGAAAAGCCTTTTCATGCTGAATGTCTAATTAAATAGTTTGAACAAGGAAATGCTAATTGTGATTCTTGCAGAGAAATTCTCTCTAACCTCCAAATTACCGATCGTATTAAAGATGCATTGTAGACCAGGTCATCTACTATTGTCATCTAAACCAATCAACAAAAGACACATGAACAAAGGGCTATTTAAATTGAAGAGGAAGAAGAAGAATAATTAGATAGAAATGAAAAGAGAATAGATTTAGATAAGATTGTCAAAAAAATCAAGACTAAAGATGGTCAAATACATTCTAAAGTGTAAATAGTAAAGTAAGATACTCACACAAATGGAAATTCTAGAGAAAAGAATTAAACACATGAAGCCATCCCATAAGCAAATCCTCCTGAATAGTAGAAACAATAATCATTACCATTTAAAAACATATCAGCCCAGGCTGTAGAAAAAATGAAAAGCTGGGTTGAGAGATATAGATAAATGGAATCCAATGCATCAAATTTTGAAAAGAAGAGATAAGAAGTCAGAGAAAAATTCTTTTCAGTCATTTTTTATGGCATAGAAGAATTAAAAGATATGTATGAAAAAGATCCTAATTCTATCACACAATTAGAAAAGGAGATTATCAGTAATTCTGACACAGCCTTGTTTTAATATATTAAGAATTTAGCATTAGACATTGAAGTTTACACTCATATTAAGTTTAACACATAATACAAGACAAAATTAGAGCCGCTCTATGTTGAAAGATGCAAACTCATTTATTTACACATGAAAGATGATAAAAATTTAGAATTGCGAAGAAAAGTCATCTCTAAAGAATTTTAAGCCCAAGATTTGAGTACTAGAGATGAAAGAGATCTTTACAATCCAGAAAAAAGACGATAAACCCAAGAAATAGCTATGAGAGTCATTGAACTTAATTAAAAAGATAAGGATGAAGAATAAAAAATCATCAAAGATATTGAAGAAGTATCCTTTTCTAGAAATGTAAATATATATCATTATTAATTAGTAATCTATAAATGAAGAAATTTAAATCACTACTCAAAAGAAGGATGGTCATTCGACTAAAAATCTATTAAAAGAGAAAATGATGGAATATTCAGTTGAAAAGTCTATCATGAGATTTAAAAAAAGAATTGCTGATGAACTTAATGACAAGGAACGTTTACAAATATTAGCCAGCTTAGAATAGTATCAACTTCATTAATGAATATTCAAATATTATTGTTTTATATAAATCATAATTTAAAATATTGAAATAGTTTTTGTTTTCCAGAAAAAAATAGATATAAAATGATAAAATTAAATCAATTATCTTTATAGTATTCTAACCATTTAAATTATGTTTTCATAGATGTTTCAAACGCAATTCTTATTAAACTTTCTATTGCTTTCTCCTTGGCAGTCCCCTCACATTATTACAGGTTTTTTATAGATCTACGGCTTTTTATAAAGTTTACAACCCATTTTTTGAAATATTTAATCTTTCTTTTCTTTTAAATTATATCATATTTAAGTTTGACTATCTAAAAATCTTATTTTAACTTCTAATTTGAGAGTGATTACCACAATTCATGCAAATTGTCATTTTACAATAGATATTTCCATGCTTAAAATGCTTTCTTTTGAACATTTTTATTGTAAACTTCTATTGCCATTTCTTCTATTTATTGTCTTTGTTATTTTAAAGTGATTATCTTCAATTAATCTTACAATTTCTATTATTTACTAGTTAATTAATTATATCTGAATCCCTCAAGACCTTTCCTTTTTAATAAAAATTGGTAAAAGGGGTGGTATTCTTTATCGTTTTTCCAAAATTGAAACCCCTTCTGTATTCTTCTTAGTTACATAATTTAAATAAATTCTTTTTGTCTATGTCTTTGGAGGAATGCTATTTTCCATTTGATAAATACTTTTTACATCAAATTTGGACATAATTTTAAATCCTCTTTTAGTTCAAAAATTATGAGCTTAATTTTCTTAGCTTAAACTTGTCTTTCATCTACAGTATATATATCATTTAAACAATTAGGCCCTTCATACATATTTCTTGGTTTTTCATCAGTTAAAAATTAGGATAATACTTGATTATCATCATTATCATCATCCTCTTTTTGATTTTCAACTCTTTATGCTTTTTCTTTTTATTCCTTCTCTAATTGTCTCTTTCTTTGCTCTTATTAAGTTAGGTAGTAAGTAATTTATTACCATGCTTGAAGTGATTATCTTAAGAGAATCTTTCTGATTGACTTTGCTGCTTATCTTTATCGAGCCAAACATTAATGAAATATTCTCCAATTTTAAAATATTGTATTTAAAGTTTTCACTCTCATGTGATCACAGACTAATTCGTAGAATTCATTTTTAGATTTGTTTCTTTAAGAGTATTAATATAGCTTTTAAAAGCATTTTTTTTAATTTATCATTTGTCTTATCTGTGTTGTATCATTTAATATCTTGTTAATTGCACTTTTGTATTTAATTCTCAAAAACAAATATCTTAAAAACATCTTTTTAGTTATTCGTTTTTATTCTAATAGTAACATATTCTTCTTCCTTTCGTAAAGGGCTTCACTTAATAACTCTTTTTTTATCTCATTTGCCCTTATGCAAAGTTCTCTAATAGGATAGATATAATTCAAGCATAATATTATACTGTAAATTTTCAGTTACTAAAAGAGTTAAATGCTAAGAAGAGTGAATTCTTTAATATTATTGTTCTTCTTTTATTTTATCGACTGATTGAAATAATTAATATTCTTCATATTCTCAATTAAGGATAAAATGTTGATATTTTATGTACTCAAATTGGCTAACTCTTCTTCAGGCCAAAATATGCATAGATTTAAGTTCAATTTCAATCCTTACTCTAATTTTTTTTCAATTTTGACAGGAATCCAAGAAGGTGGGTTTTCCAATTCAAATTCTAATTTTTTTATTATTAATTTAGGTTGTACTTGTCTAACTATACCTGTTCTTTTTTAAAAGACCGATTCATTTGGTATTGTTCGAACTTTTTCTAAGTCTTACTAATATTCATCAGCAAATTTAACTTAATGTTATTATTCATCCATTTCATCTGGTTCATTTAACATTTATAACTTTTGAATTTCTGGTGTTGAACACGTAAATTATTTAGTAGACACATCTTCAACTTTGGGTTTTGCTTTTTTCACAGTTGTAAGCTTTTAACAAAAAAAATCAATTTCTTTTAGTAGCATGGACTATTATGAAAACTCCTCTTATTAAATTAGAGGAGCATGAAGAGGTTTTGGTTTCTATAGTACCATCATTGTCTCTTCCATCTACTTTAAAATATCTCTTTAAGGTTAAAAATTTGGAGTCACATCGCTTTCCAATTTAATCATGAATACTTATTAACTGAAAAATAATTAATTCAAATTAATTATTTATTAAATGAAAAACAAATAATAAATCCATTTAAGAAGACAATCATAGATGCTCATCTATAATATACAAAACAATTCGATATTTATTATATTATAAAGTATCCTATAAAGTCTCTGATCTATTTCAGGTTTAATTCTACATTATATACATAAAATGAACTCAGAAGATTGTTATAGGATATTATTTTTTTAATGAATTATTAATTATATCTAATGAACTTTGAGCCATTCATGTTGCAAATTGGAAAATTAGGGAGATAGTATTTAATTCTAAATAATTATAACTCAGAATTATGGATTATTTATATATAAGTATTAGTGCCTAATTTGTGAAAATTCAAATCTTTTTAATAATTAATGGCATTTGTTAAGCTTGTTAAAGGAACACCCTATTTCAAAAGATTCTAAACTAAATTCAGAAGACGAAGAGAAGGAAAGACTGATTATTATGCAAGAAGCAGATTGATCGTGTAAGACAAGGATAAATATAACTCACCAAAATACAGATTTGTAGTTAGACACACAAACACAAAGATCATTTGCTAAGTGATCTATGCTACCTTAAAGGGAGACAAGGTAGTGGCTGCTGCTGAATCTACTGAATTAAAGAGATTTGGTTTAACAAGTGGTTTGACTAACTATGCTGCTGCCTATGCCACTGGTTTATTATTGGCCAGAAGAACACTTAAAACATTGAAGATGGATAAGTTTTATGAAGGCAACAAAACCATCGATGGAAACTTGTATGATGTTGCTGAAAAGGAAAACCCAGAGAGAAGACCATTCTTTGCCGTACTTGATATTGGTTTGGTCAGATCAACTCTCGGAAACAGAGTATTCGCTGCCTTAAAGGGAGCAGCTGATGGTGGTATTCACATCCCACACAACAACAGAAGATTCCCAGGATTCTCTGTTGATAATGACAAGAAAGAAAAATATGATGCCAATGTTCACAAGGACAGAATCTTTGGTGTTCATGTTGATAAATACATGGCTCTCTTATAAAAGGAGAAGAAGACTAACAAAGATGGAAGATCTAAGTTCGATGTCTAATTCCACAATTGGGAATAAACCTTGAAGACTGTAATATAATAAATTAATATTAATAGGCTGGTGTCAAATCAGTTTAAGAATTGTTCAAGAAGATTCACGATGAAATCAGAAAGAATAGTGACAGAGTAAAGAGAGGTGCTAAATAAAATCCAAAGAGAGATCACACCAAATACAGAGCCAAGAGATTAAACGCTAAATAAAGAAGAGCTAACGCTTTAAAAAAGATCGATATAGCCACCAAATAAGCTGCTAAATTAAAGAAGAAGGCATGATTTCATTTATATTTGGTACATTATAAAATATTCCAATCTTTTTCGATTTTGTCTTGACTAACCTAATTAATATCACTACTTGACATTTATTATTTATATATCCAAATATGTCTCATGGCCACTTTAATGGTTATATAAGAATAATCTTTTTGTTATTTCAATTAATTTCAAGAATAATAAAAATATAATATATGTCAACTTAGTATAGAATACCATCTAACGATAATTATATTCGAGACTTAGAAAACATTTCTCAAAGGTAATTTTGAATTTATACTAAAAGAGAGCGTCATGGATTGTTTAATCAGCCTCCTCCATTACTAATAGGTGATTAATATAACGACGCATTAAAAAGTAATGAATTACTTATTTAAATATAGGCTAAGGCAAGGAGAAAGGTGTATTGGTCAATAAAAAATTATAAAAAAAGCATGAACCTACTTTATTTTTAGAGCCTGGATATACAACATTAAATGATCCTTACAAAGATTAATTTAAAGCCAAATAAATTTACGACAAAGAAAGAGAATTAGCAATTAAAAATCCAAATTGTTTCAAGCCAAATGATCATGTTAAATCAATGTAAATATATGCACTGAGTATCAAAGTAAACATTCAGAATTTGAACACATGAAAGAATTCAATGATAAAGTATTTAATACAAGAACTCCAAAAGGAGATGTTAGGACTTAAGCTCGAAATTTCTTAACCAATCCTGCAAAGAAAGGATTAGGCAGAACAACCACTAATAATTTATTTGGATAAATTGAATATATACCTGATCCGTATGACAGACAAGAGGAATTAGATAGATAAGATAGAATTAAACATAGAAGCAAATTTTTACCAGGAACAACTAGGTTTATTACAACAAGTCACGGCAATCGACCATTTACGGCTGATGGAATATTACTTGATGGAGCAGGATATTTATCAGGTAATTACTTTATTCTAATACCAATAAGCGAAAAAAAGACCACTGTATAAAGGTGCCCCTTTTAGACCTGCTAACTAAAATAAAAATGGATTTTAAGGAACATTTGAAGTGCTCTAATACATGGAAGAAGGTGTACCAGATCCTAAAACGAAATAAAATACCTTCTAAAAATTAAGTGCCACTTAAACCTATGAAAATCCTTGGAGACCAAATTCAAATGGAACCTTTGCTCGACCATGTCCTAGTGTTTCGTAGCAATTAAGACATAGAAGCGTAGGATCAAATTAAAAATCTTGAAAATAAAGAATACATTAATTGCATTAATTTGAATGTTTAATTAGACGTAATGAATGCAATTCTCAATAAGTACTCTGTTTAAACTATATATAATCATTTCCCTTCTCTTTGTTCTATTTATGCATATTTTCTATAAATCCTTCTCATAACAAATAATATTTACTCATATAGTTTTTGTGAGTCAAACTAGTCTATGTCACAAAATTGAATTTCTCCTCCTTTCAGATATTCAAAAGGTAATCCTAGTAAAACACATTTCTGAGAAAAAATTATTGCTTAAGGAATGTAATACTGTTAAGGAAATTACTTATTAAAAAAGTAATCTTGCAATTATTTTTAGGATTAATAGAAATCATACAATTTGTCATCAAACATTTTTTAATTCTCACTTTTGATATTTAAGTTTCCAACTTTATATTATCTCTATTCCAAAATTCCAAATTGATCATATATTGTCAGATGCTCTGTTTTTGACTATTGTAATTCTTTAATAACCAGATCAATGATAGGAATTACATTTTTATGTTTTGGCTATTGAAATCCCAATAAAAGATGAAGAGGTTGTTTCTATAATCCTTGCATTAATTTTAAAATGTAATAAAAACAATAATTTCATATTTTCTGAATATTTTCGAATGAACGTGTTTTCACCTAATAATTTAAAAAAAATTATATTATAGTATCGAATCTTAGAAAATATGTATCAATACTGTAATTAAAATATTAACAATATGCATTAAATGTTTTGATTGATTGAAATATTATTCGAACAATCTAATTGATTTTTGTGATTGCACATATTCATGTTCATGTATATTGTGTTGTGAAGTACTCCTATGTTTAAGAATGCCATATTAATTTTTTTTGATCACTAACTCAGCTTGTTGGTCATAAATTCTGGAATGGTAGTTTCCTTTGATTACTACTTTTTAACTCTTAATAACAGCAGCACCTACTTATAGAATTGATTCCTTACGTTTTTGGAGTTGTTTAATTCACAATTTAAGTTTCTAATTGTTAATTCAATAATAATTAATTTTTAGAACAAAATTTTGATTCAATGACCGCAACTATGCAATAACATCATTAATTGATGGACGAAGAGTCTGAATTAGTAAATAAGATACTCAAGGAAATTTAAATCGATTCTAATATGTGCAACGAACAAGTGCAACTTATGATTGATAATACTCCGGTATATTTTCCTCATCAACCTTATGAAGTCTTGAAGGTTTATATGGAAAGTGTAATAAATGCATTAAATAAGAAGTAGAATGCATTGTAAATTATAAAAATCACTATGGAAGATTGGAATCACCAACTGTAACAGGTAAAACCCTATCCTTGCTCTGTGCCTCCCTAGCATGGTTAAAGAAGAACAGAAAAGATTAATAGAATTCTGATTAGCCTAAGAATATTAAGATTATATATTCATCAAGAACTTACACTCAATTAAAATAAGTGGTCATAGAATTGAAGAAGACAATCTACAAACCCAATATTTCAATACTTGCCTCAAGAGATCAATATTGCATCAGAGAGGAAGGTTGCTGAAGGAATAGACTTTTCTGATGAATTATGCAGAGCTATCTTCTTAGTAGGTGTTCCCTATCCAGTTATAATAGATAATCGTTTTATCGAAAAAATGAACTACTTGGATAGGGTCTTCAACGATCTAGAATTCAATCATTAATAAAGAATAAAAAGCTCTAAATGGTACACTCAACAAGCTATTCGTGCTACAAATCAAGCTATTGGAAGAGTTATTCGGCATATCAATGATTATGGGTATAATATTGTGTTAATAATTTTAGAATTGTTTATTTATGTGATAAAAGATTTGAATACAAAGAAATTAGACAAGGATTATCAAAATGGGCATAGCCAGCTATCTAACCTTGGATCAATGATGACGATGTGATTCAGCAAACCAAGTCATTTTTCAACAGATCAATGTTGGAGTGATCTATATTCGAAATTTGATACTGAAAGAATTTACATGATATTTATATTTTTTTGACATCCTGTTCCAGTAGAATACATTGTTCAAAAATAGAATCACTAAAAGAAGAAACTGCGTATAAAATAAAAAATGAACTTATTATTATTTATTTATATTTTTGATTTATTCATTTCGATCTTGTGCATCCTCTCCAGCCTTTGGGAATTCATTTAAATGTGTTCCCTCTATTTCAGGATCTTCCAATAGGGCTTCCATTATTGTTTCCTTAGCATATGGCTGTGATTTGCTAGTTAAATGCACAATGAAATAATATTTATTAGAATTTAATATAATTGAATTGATAATTGAGAAATAGAGTTGTCAACTGTTACTGCCGATATTCAGACTGCTATAAAAGATCGAATTGCTGAACGTTCATTTTAATAGTATGAAACTATATTAGATTGAATATATCCTTATTAATGAATATCAGTATATCTCATTATTTCGACAATTAAAATCTTTTGACAAAATTTTAATTCAAGTAGTCGAATTACTTTTCATCGAATTTTTCTCTGTATTGTAATCTTGTAAAAATAGATTGAGGTAAATCATATTTTAAGGATTTATTGAATTCAACATGTTACCCATATGCCATCACAGTAAAGGAAGCATAGCAAGTTGCCACTATGTAATATTTGTAAAATACAAATGACTTTTGAGATTTATTTACTAAAGTACCAACTTAATAATGCAGCATTTGATACAACTAAAAAGAATGTTTCATGGAGATATTACTACGGCAATAACTCCTTACGAGCATAAAAGTAATTTGACATTTATATCTGAAATAATTTTCTTGCAAAATATGGTTATTCTTTTGTGAGATTTTTTTAAAATCTGGGTTCCTCCATTTGTTTAATTTATTAATAATTATATTTCTTTATTACATTATAATTATTAATTCAGAGTTCAAAAATTTGAATGGTTGGGATTTTATTGAATGCTTGAGAAGTTTATAAATGATTAATTTGTTGTTTGATCTCCAATTATTAGATAAAATGATTTTGAAAATTATTTTATAGAAACTACTAAACTTCTTAAGCACTCTTATTTAAGATTATAATCAGTAATTGCCATATATCTTAGAATTATGAAAAACACACAGCACCGGTTACAATCAATATAATTTATCAAGCAATGGCCTTCAATTCTATCTCTATAATTTACAATAAGTATCTTGAAATGAAATTAATTTGGTAAAAGAATAAAGGACACAAAATATCGCAACGTATAAATTATCTATTAGAAAATAAAGTAAACATGTTAATGATTGATATTTGGATACTATTATCGAACCTTATGCTCAAAAATAATAATTATGAATTTTAAAAAAGAAAGATATTTAAATGAGCTAAATTAAGGCTAAACTAGTTATACATCTGCTGGTTGAAAGATCTTTCTTGAAATTATTTAATAGTCACAACAATTTATAAATGATTAAAACGTTGATTTCAGCCTAATCAAAAAATTAACTTTATAATAATGCAAGAATGATTATTTAAGAACTTATGCTTGAACTCAAAAAAACTCTAAAATAGTCTCTAAATATCATTTATTAAAATGATGTTCATGAGGCTTTAAAAGTAAGCAGTAGTTTCATCTTAATTCGACTTATACTCTAATTCAAATTAGTTTAAACCATCACTAAATTGCAAATAGTTAAAATAGATAATATAAAATATTTGATGAATTACCTTAATACTAAAAATTGAAGAAGTTTCATTTAAGTAAATACAAATTATTTTTACTTGTGTTATAATGAGATTTAGCATATTCTGAAATAATTTTTTTGAATATTTATCATCAATTAGCAATTATTATGAGGTTTAATAATACATAGCTTTTATTTTTTAGGACATTTTGTTCAAATATTATTAAATACACATTGTTATTAATAATAATTTTATAATAAGTTTAACATTTCATTCAAAGCCAAAATATTCAGCAGGCTGATTTATTATTTATAGCCAAAATATTAAATCATTCTCTTCAGCAAAAATTAAGCAATAAATCTAATTAAAATATTAGATAACTGTTGAGTTAAATTAATCTGAATCCTGTTGATATCACAGAATATAGGAGAAACAAACATTAAATCAAGTGAATTATATCTTATAAATAATATTATGAATAAAAAAATAGTTCACACATATAACAAAATCTCAGATGTTTTTTCGAGGGCCTAAATAAAAAATGCTGTTGAATCCCTTGATAATTATCAGGATAGACTTAAGTTAATTGACTCAGTCATTGACAGAAGGCAATAGATCATCCAGGTTAATGATTTATCTAAAATGTCTCAATATGCTCATCTTTTTAGAAGGATGATTCACAGATATCGAAGTAAAAAGGAGGGTGAAGCTGCTAATGAAAGATTATAAATGCGAATGGTCGTAAGTGTGTTTGCTTCTCAAGAAAAATAATCATCGCCATGTCTATAACCCAAAAATCTAGAATAGAGAAACCTAGATCAAAAACGAATAAGAATAAATGAAATATCAGATTAACGTAGGGATGCTGTTCAATTTAAAGTAAATCGAACCTAAAAGATCACTAATATGAATTCTGAAAGAAAGAGTTTCAATTAAAGAAGCAATACTAAAGAAGGTTGTCAATTTTCGAATAGAACTTAAAGAGTTTTGAGCTCGATTGATGTAGATAATAGGTATCAAGAAAAAGAACTATATTTATTGACTGGGGAGGATCAAGAGATTAAATCATTATAAAGTAAGATAAAGCAAAGTGTAGTCCTTAAAACAAGGATAAACCTGAATCAGAATACTAAAGTATGAAATTCTACTTACTTTAGGATAATGAGAATCTTGTAAGATTGTTGTAAAAATAGCATAGTTCGTTATCCCGTAGATAATATAAGCCATATTCTTAGCAGTAAATATAAGATAATTGTGAGAAAGAATAAGAAATCAAAAGATGTGATAAAATTTAGAATATTCTTAATTAGGAAGAGTCTTTCTTATCATACTCTGAAAATCTTCTAAATTAGCTTTACAAAAAATCTTCTTAAATTCAAAAAAAAGACTCTCAAAGTCAGCACAATCATTAGAAACTAATCAAAACTAACAAAGAAATTATAGAATTATCAAAGATTAAATTGGCATTATAAGTGTCCTGATTAAACAGTTTTTTTATATATTAATTAACCAAAATTTTTATTTAATCCCTAATAAATATCTACTTTAATCTATTTAATAACAATTAATGATTTTTTTAGTTCAAAATAATATGATTCATCTCACAAAAATATAAAGTAAACTAATCTTAATTAAAAATTTATCTTTATCTTTAATTGAATTAGTTAACTCAGTAATGTAAAGTATTTAGTTTAAAAATTAATATATGTTTACATTAAAAACAATGAACATTCACATAATGTATTATGAAATCTAATGAATGATACTTCAGTAATTTAAGATTTAAGTCATAAGCGGCTTTAATTGCTCGGTACTAAATAATCAAAATGGGTTTTTGTTTATGGACGAAAGTAAATCAATAAATTAAAAATCGGATGCCAAAAATTATAAATAGATTCAACTTTATGTTTATTTTTTATTATTTAAGATAAAAGATCGAATAAATGAAAAAGAGAAATTCAAGAATAAATATAATAAAGAGCCATTAGTTATATAATTATTTGAATTCCTTTTAAAAAATCTGAAATAAAATTAAGCTTGTTTTTTTAATTATCAATCAAGATGAATAGATTATTGTAAAGTCAAATAATTTTTGAAGATAATAATTTAAGTTATTTAGGAATCTATCTTCAGATAACTTTTTATGGATAAATAATAAATATACTCTTTTAGAATTTCAATATTAATGTTAGACTAGGTTGAAAAAATTTTTAATGTCAGAAATTCTAGCAGATTACTATTCATTAATTAATACTAGAATACTTTATAAAGATGGAATTCAATGTCATCATCTTTGATATCAATTGCAAAATAGTGATTTGAGTTTTTTTTATATTTATCCATTTTTGTCTGTATAAATGCTGCAGAAAAGGATGAAAGGGATGTAAAAACTTAATTATTTTGAGCAGATGTAAGAATTGACAAGTATCTCATAAAATAATGATGATGAATTGAATTCTACTTGCTAGTCTATATAAGTTCCAGGGTTTAAAAGGCACTTTGGAAACAATTTGACATTATTTCATATTTGGGGTGAGCCTTTGATAACAATTGGACCACATTGTAAAACATTTATAAATGATTAGTTTAGGGCCTTTAACATTATGCATGATTATTTCATTTGGTGGAGCTAGCTATTTGTTAATTTACGAGATAGCCATTAGAAAAGGACTTTATGTTTATTACTTTTCAATTTTTATAGCAGCACTATAAATGCTTAGTTACTTGATAACTGCCCTAAAAAATCCAGGCATTGTGACTAGTACTAGAGAATACAAAGGGATATTATAGTGTATAGTAAGAAATATATATAATTAAAACCTTATTAGGTTTGTAATAATCCAAGAAATATAGGTTCGTTATATCATTGTGAAGATTGCGATGTTTGCATTTCTGGATTTGATCATCATTGTCCTTGGACAGGAAAATGTATAGGAAGAGGAAACATAGGTTCCTTTTATATATTCGTAACTATGATACCGATATATATTGTATATTTCGTCATAGTTTCCTTATTATGATTAATGAAATAATATATTCAATCAATTTTTTGTTTTTTGATTGCCTAATCTTCTTCTAATTCAACGATTTTCCTAAAAATTGAATTTAAAAAAATTACCTTTGAATAGCTTTTGATTTTGGTCCATACCCTTCCAAATTAGGGTAGAACATTTTAGCAGAGTTGAAAGTAGGTTTGAATGTAAAGTCCGGTGTATGAGTTGTTTCAGAAGTCAAAATTGTATAAGCTGGAGTGTTCTCTTGAATACTCTTTAGATAATTTTCACCGTATTTAATTTTTTTCTATGAATAAAATCAAATATTACCCAAGTTTTTATGATATCATAGATTGCTTAATTGGGAGCATTAGTCTTATAGAGGTCTACTTGAAGATAGCATTGAGCAATTTTGAAACCCAAAGATTGAAATCCAGCACTAAAATCGATTAGATTATTTACAAAATTTCCTTTTTACTGATATTTGTGCATTTCAAATTAGATGCCAAGTAAGTCATATTATAAGAATAGGGATTTGAAGAAACTTCATTTTAATTAATAATTCCTGTCAATTTTCCTTATATCTAATCAAATGTTTAGAAATGAGTATGTCTAGTTTCTAGATTGGTTAACATTTTCTTAACAAATTCAATGTTATTTATTTCGTCTATCCATACAGGACCATTAATTTTGAACGAACTTCCACAAACCTCACATTTGGATGGGATGGGTTTTTTATTGATTTTGTACCCTTTGTCTTCCTTTTAACCATAAGGATAAACATGAAATGATTAGCAAGATTAACAGAAAAATAAATTACCAATTTGAGAAAATAACTTATGAGTCTAAACTTTATCCTTTGTTACATGTACAAAAACTCTGAGGTAAAACTCTCCATAAAATGAAATCAACGGCTTTATTGCTTTACCTAGTCTACCAGCTGCTTGACTGATTGTATATAGCAATGTTCTTAATCCGTTCTCAGCAAAACAATTCATCTTAGTTCTTGCTGTACCGTATTACTAGTATAGATTATAAATCATACAGCAAAACACTTTTATGTATCAGGACCACATAATACTCTGCTATCTGTACAAGTGATACATAATAAAGAATCATCACAAGAATGAATGGCTGAATCTAAGAATGGACAAACTGTTCCATAAGGATCCAAGTCTATCACATCAAATTTAATGTCTTCTTTCATTAATTTGTTTGCATCCATGTTGTATATTTTGACATTGCTAACATTATTGAGTTTTATATTTTCATCAATTAATGCTAAACTTGCTAATGAAAGATCATTTGCGTAGATTTCTTTAACATTTTATATTTCTTATGCAAATCTAACACTTCTTAACCCAGAAGCAGACAAGGCATCTAAAATTGTTATTGGTTAGCGATTTTCTTAGAAAGTATCTATTACCAATACTGTCAAATCACGATTAATGATTTGTGCAGGATTGTAGAATACTTCTTCTTCAATCAATTTGCCTTCTTTTTTTTCGATTCTCTTAGTTTATATGAGGGCTTTTCCTTCTTTTATGAATCTTTACCCATCTTTTTCAATAAACATTGACAATTCTTTCACAATTTATTTCATTTAAATTATTTATTTTAAAAAATCAATATGTATGAAATTCACAAATAATTAAATATAATAAAATAATGATATGATTTGTGATTTATTACTCTTTATATTTTCATTTCATTGTAGGCATAGCTGTGCTTAATGTATAGCTGTCAGATGGCTCCTTCCATCTCGAAGTGATTGTTTTCATTTAAGTGAAAAATCTTATGCCAGCTTTGCCATAGAAATTGGCATCACCATTAAAGGATCTCTTATTTCCAGTGAAAGAAAACATAGGCAAAGGAACTGGGATTGGTAAATTGATACCAATTTAACCTGCATTCACTTCATTTTAGAATTTTCTGGCAATTGATCCATTTTATGTAAAAATGGCTGTTCCATTACCCCATGGATTGCTAATGATATAAGTATGTAATTACTTATTAATAATCTCTAATGCTTAATCAAGAGTATCAGCATACAAAATATTAAGAACTGGACCAAAGATTTCTTCTTTGTATGTTGTCATATTAGTGTTCATCTTCAAATAGGATAATTATATACATTATCAATAACAGTAGGACCAACAAAATAACCTTTTGGATACTTTGGATGCTTGAATGATCTTCCATCCAAAATCAATTTACCTCCTTCTTTTTCTGCTGTGCCCAATAAATAATGAATTCTTTCGTATAATTCCTTATATGAAACAGGAGCTATGTCAATATTTTCATGTCCAGGTCCTACTTTGAAAGATTTAGCTTTAGCAATCAGATCAGGAATCCACTCTCTGCTTTTTCCTACAAAAATAGCAACGCTCAAGGCCATGCATCTTTAGCCAGTTGAGCCAAAAGCTGCAGAAGCCAAAGCATTCAAACAATCCTCCTTATCAGCATCTGGCATAATTACACCATGATTCTTAGCCCCCATATTTATTTGACATCTCTTAAATGTTTTTGATGCATTTTCATAGATATAATCACCAGCTTTATTTCCTCCTACAAAAGAAACAGCTTTAATATCAGGATGTTCGCAGATATGCTTTGTTGTTTCAAAACCTCCTTGTACTACGTTGACAACTCCTTTAGGAACTCCAGATTCTTCTAGTAATTTGGTCAAATAGGTGACTGCCCCTGGTACTCTCTCACTTGGTTTCAATATATATGTGTTTCCTGTTACAATTGCGATTGGGAACATCCATAACTAGGAATGTTAATCTATAAATATACTGGAATCATTGCAGGGAAATTAAAAGGACAGACTCCTGCGCAAACTCCCAATGGTACTCTATAACTATATGTGTCAACACCTTTGGCCAAATTTTCCACTGTTTCACCCTACATTACATGAGTAATTCCACAAGCAGCTTCCACAACTTCCAATCCTCTGATTACATCACCTTTAGCATCAGCCAAAGTTTTTCCATGCTCTTCTACTATTATATTAGCAATATCATCAACTTTAGATCTGATTTTGGCTTAATACTCAAACATATATCTAAGGTAACATTTATGAATTACCTTTATCTGGTTGGTAATGGCACCTAAGACCATGTTTTAAATGCTGTTTTTGCTGCATCAACTGCCTCATTGAATTCCGCTTAGGTTGTTTACTTTGTTATTCCAACTACTTCATCAGTCAAAGGGGACTTTCTTTCCAAAGCTATGCCTCCATTTGATGTTTTCCAAACTCCATTAATGTAATTCTAAGCAATATTGCTGAATCTAAAAGATTGCTTTCTCAGCTAGGTGTGGAACATTAATAAATATTTGCGTATTATTTTAAATCTTTTTACTCGAATATTAACAATTAAACACAGAAACAATATTAAATTTTATTATGTATCTAATGATTTTAATTATTATTCACTTCATTTAACTAATTTTCACCCAATTATGTATATTTTAAATAATTGCTCTTTTCTCTAAATCTCAACTTTGTCTACTTAGTTTGAAGAATTACCAACTAATTATATATTATTAGTTCTGATTTAAAAATGAAAAGTAATACAAAATATAAAATGAATCCTCATTTAACTGCATCATAAAATAGAGAAATTATTAAATGAAGCTACTCATCTTTATTATTTAAAGCATCAACATAATATTGATTTAATGCTTACAAGTCATTTTAATGCTTCTCTCTCATTTCTTGCATTTAATCTGAAGATTTATTCTTTAGGATTATGGAATTTAATTTCTAGATTTATTCATTTTATTTAATTAATTATTTGCACAAATCTATAAAATTTGAATTTTATTATTCTCTTATTTCATTGATTTCCCTATCTCTTTATTCTGACTACTGCATATAGTATTTTAGTTACTTTCATATGATATATAAAATACTTCTTAATTTACCTATTAGTCTTAATGTCGTTCCAATTACTTTGCCATTGAGTTTCTCCTTGAATGTGAACTTTATTAGTAGCAACTCAATTATTTTTCCAGCAGCGTTATCTATTTTGATTTCTCAATTAATTATAATTACAACTTCGTCACATTTGTTTCATCGGTGTATTTTAATGATTAATTATTATGAGAAATAGCGTGATCTATCACAGATTTATTTTAAGATTAGAAAAAATCAAAACATGTTGATTTTGGAGACTGTCCAAATCTTTAATCAATTTCAAGTATATAACTATTGTTCGATGAATAAACTCCTTGGTGTCTTAAACTTTCAAAAGGCTATTTCCTTTCATATTAATTCATGTTTTAATATTCTTCTAATTCAAATTTAAACATCTCCATCTTCTTTTTGAAAGATGCAGCTTACTTTTCTGACTCATAAAGTTAACCTTTTAATTTTTTTAACTCTACCTCATACTAAAATTCTTTCCATTCTAATTTTTTTTTGTTATCTTCTATTAATTTTTGATTTTTAGCTTTTAAATTTTCTATAGTCTTTTATTCCTTCGGATCTTTCACTAAAATCTATTGTTATTCTGGCTCTATTGATCTTGCTGTTGGTGGGCAAGACAATAACTATGATTTCAGGGTTTGGTTCTTTTATTGCAATTTGGCTATCTCCTTCTATTAGTTTTAAACCACTTAATTCAAATCTTCAATTGATTGCTTGCATTTTTCAATTTCTTTGATGTATTCCTCAAATTTATTGAATACTTCTTCAAAATCGCAACAATTTAGTTTTTATAAACAGAACAATTCCGAGTCGTATAGTTGTTCATATAATTCATTTAATTATGTAATTTTGTTTTGTTGATCAATGATTTTACTTTGATATTCTGTTTTCATTAATTCAAATTACTTATTTTGTTGGGCGATAATGTTATCTTTTGTATTGATATTTTCTTCCAAGGAGATAATAGTATTTGTAGTCTAATGTTCAAAATATCCACACTCTTGAAAACTGCCGATGTCATTAATTTAATTTTAGAGCAACCCCATTATTTCTGATTATTATTGTGGTAATAATTATTACATCATTTCTACTAATTCTTCCTAATTTGCTCTCAACAGAGTGTCAATAAAATACTGTATAAATTTAAGCAATTCTAAATTACAATCAGAAAGTGAAATGTCATCATCAAAATTTCTAATTTCTAGTTTGCATTTTTTCCTTGCTAATTAGATATTTGTAATTATTAGGTTCCAAAATGGTCTTCTAAAGTCATATCCTAAACTAAAAATTTTGCAATTCATATATACTAGTCTTCTATCAATTAAGCAAACAGAATGCCATCTTAAATTTCCGTAAAGTTATGTATCTGTCTTTTTTAGTAATTCCATTTGTTTAGCTATATCAATAGTGATTATTGTTACAAGTGTTATAGCACTTTTCATAATAAAAAAAATTTGATAAAAATATTATATGTATTAAAGAAAGCCTTAAATTATGAAACTTTTCTCATTTTGAATTGTTTAATTACTTATTTACTATTAAATAGAGCGAAATACAAGCTTGATAATAATTTTATCAAACTTTACCAAATCTCTAATTATATAAAGATGTTTTACTTCATTTTTAAGAGTGAAAAATTGAATCAGTATCTCAAAATTGTAGAATTATTTCTTACATTGCCTCCTGTTTTTCTGAAAAATAAATCCAATAGAAATACAATATTACAAATCTCGAAAAAACTCCTGATATTGAAATTTTTCTATTAATTATAAATGAGCCATTTTTCTTAATACTTAATTTCTGCAAGATTATAACACATAAAAATGAATATCAATCTTACCAATTGATTTAAGAAGATAATTTAATAAATTAACCAATAGATAATTTAAAATATATTTTAAGAATCATTTTAAGATATGGAATTTCACAGATCATAACGAGAAATTCATTCTTTAAGTGTTTCGTTTCCTGTTTTTGTGTAAAATAATAGTATAAATTTTGTTTAAATTCTCAAAAACATGAAAATAAAAAATAAAAACTACCATAAACATAGGAAGTACTATTTATCCTCAAAGAAGATCTTTAATGTTCTTTAGTTTCGAATTTAGAGTCACTCAGCCCATTCTCGGTGAGGTTTAATGAAAATCCTTAACAATAAAAATAAATATAGATTTCTAAGAAATGCCAAATACAAGGGTGAAAATGTGTTTAGTATTTATATTTTTCATTATTATTCTTATCTTGATCTGATACTTTTTAAATGAGTAATCCAATTACTATCACATTTAGGTAAGTAGTAGTTTTTAGAAGATTTCTCTGCTTTCTAAGACGACTCATTTCTTTCTATTTGATAATATGCAGTTTGTATTGCTCGGGCTGAATTCATCTAATTCTCTATTTTTTATTCCTAAATTATCGAATTGGCTTTCAATCTTGGGGTTGATTAAGATTGATCATTTTAAAGAGTGCTTAAATAAATTTGTTTCCTTTTTGGTTATGCTTTAAAATATTTATACTGAGCTCCAATTAAAGTTGGATCTACTTTAAGATGACGCTTTACATTTTTCTTTTGGACGATAACTAATTGATGGTCTAGTCTTTTACTCTACAGAACTGCTAACTCTTTACTATTTATTTTAGGTTTTCAAAAGTTTATCAACCATTTTTTTATTGCAGAGAGTCAAGAGATATTTATGAATATCATGAATTTTATTTGATTCTTTTCCTATTGCATAATATTCAAACATTTATAATAATTTATCATATAAACTATTTTGATGTTATGAGTACATTGAAAAAATCATAATTACAAATATACATAAAATGATTAATTAAGAATGCAATATCCTAATGAGAATCTACATTTTATGTAAAATTTGAAACTAGTTTCTAAAATTTATTTTAAAATTAGAGTTCTATCAAAAGAAATAATTATAATTACATGTGAACCTTTAACTGAGATTTTTATCGTGGTCTTAAAATATCAGAGATATGAAGAAAGTTGTAAATGGTTTATTTTAGTTAAATTTCTATATTAAGGATTTAATAACAAGAACTTTTTTTTCTACTAAAAATAATCTTATTATTTATTTTGGATTTCCTATAATTCCTGTAATTTCTATTTTAGAAAACTTTCTTTAAAAAGTAGAAATAAATAAACTTTTTATACTAATCGGTTATGTTTGTATTAATGAAATCGATTTTTAGATAATATTTTTGGATAAGAGAGCATTCTTTTTCATATTTATGCTTTACCTATTTAGTTTTTGAGATATCATAATTAATCTGTTTTGGAAATACGATAAAATTTTAGTTAATTGAGGTTTAAGCTTTAAGAATATTTGATCAAATTTAAGTCATTTTTAGGGAGAAATGGATTTCAGGATTATATTCATCCTAATATTATACTACAAGAACTGTTTATTAAAATATAAGTGTGATTTATAATCAGCATTTTATTTCAATAATGCATAGTATAAAAATATAACTAAGATTGAATTACAAAGGGCTCAAATTAAGGAATCATTTGAAAAGAAAACGAATAAAAGTTTAAAAATAATCAAATTTTCAACATAATTATTAACTATTCTAACAATATGAATAAAATGAATTAGTTTTCCTATTTGTAAATAATTAAATATCAAGATTTAAAAAAAGCTCTGATTAGATTTCAAGAATTTGTATTATTTAAAATAATTAAATCAATTATATAAATATTTAATTTTAGAAGACTTTAAATGGAAATTCAATAAATTTTGATAAAAATGTTCTCCTTTCCTCTTTGTATTGATCACTTATTCATTGTTTGATTAAAAAAATGAATTTGAATGGAAATTAATTTAATCTTTTTCATACTAGACACATTAATCATTCAATTCATGAATAATTTGATCGATATTTAAATATACAAATTCCACCATATTAGGCTGTTTAATAGGTGTTTTAGGAGTTAAATAAGATAAATGAAATTATTTAGCTTGTAATCAAAATTAGAAAAGACATCATTTATACTTAGTATAAAGAATCAAACACAAGTAATTTATTCTTAATACTAGATGACACATGTTCAATGTTTGGAACGTATTAAAATCTATAAAACTATCTTGGTAAATATTTTGAAATAGAAATGAAACCGTAATATAGGAAATATTAGTTAACTAAATATGGAATCATCGATTTATTAGTTTTTAGTTTTTTACATAAAAGCAGAAGTTTTCATAGAGTAATAACAAAAGGAATAGCTCCTTAAATATCATGTTTGTATAGTTGGTATTAGGAATTTATTGCAGAATTTGAAATCAACAACAATATTGATCCCAATTATCTGCCAAGGAAGGAGAAAAGAGTTTAAATATAGAAAAACAAATAGCAAAAAAGTAACCCTGAACTGATAGAATCCATTAAGGATGACAAACTTATTATTTTTAAAGATTTAATTGAGAATGGCGCTTCAATTTATACTGTATCTTTAAGAGATAAGGAGAAAATGCTTGTTCCTCATTTAGTGTGTGCATTTGCAAGATTAAATTATGCATAATATTTATAAAGTAAAAATGTGGATTGGGAATGTGAAGATGATGACAGAATGACTGCCTTTATTTAGTATGCTATCAGAAGTGAATCTAAAGAAATGATTGAATATCTACTTAATCTAAAAGTAAATTTAGAACACAAAGATATTTAAGATAGAACTCCATTTTATTATGCTTGTTCATTAGGATAATTATGTTATTATTAGGTTCCTTGTAGAAAGAGGAGCTAATATAAATGCTAGAACTGCTTTGGGAAGAACTCCATTTTCAAAGGCAAGCTTTTTAGGATTGTATAATGTGATTGAATTTCTTCTTCAATAACCAAACATAGACTTTAATTATGCGGATAAGCAAGGAAGAAATGCCTTACACAATGCAGTTTTTGGCCCTAAAGGAGGTAGAGATGGAAGAAAGGTTGGCACTTGGTGTTATGATAGTCCTTTGATTGCTTAATTATTACTTGAACATGGAATGGATGTGGAAGCAAAAGACAAAGATGAAAATACTCCATTACATGTGGCAGCATCAAGTGAAGCTTTAAGTTCCATTCCTGTTTTAATAGCTTTTGGGTGCGATATCAATAGAAGAAATAAATGGGGAGAAACTGCTTTAATTATAGCAGCAAAATTTAATCATCATGAAACTGCTAAATTATTAATTTAAAATGAAGCCGATTATTTCTTTGAAAATGAGGGATATACAGCAATGGAAATTGCTGCAAAAAATGATTAATTTGAAGTATTTCAATTTCTATTAGATAAAATGAAGCCACAATTATTGGAATTAGAAAGGTTAAGATAATATAAGTTGCAATCAGTTCTCTAATCTTTAATGAAAATTACCAAGAGTTTCAAAGCAAATAAATATATAAGATATTTTTTAGAAAATTTCTAACCATATTATGATTAAGAGCATGCAGGATTGATAATTGAGATGCAAGACGGGTAAAACGAACTTATGTAAAGTTATTTAAAGAATTAAATTATCTCATAAGAATAAATAACTAATGCTTTTGAACTTTGTTTGAAAAGAAAAAACATGTCAATTTTCAAATAATTATGCCTTCATACCTAAATCTAATATACAGTCTGCCTTTAAAAATCATTAATTACAATGTTGCTCGAATCACCAGAATTAGATATATTACTGTTTTAATTTAATATTGATTGGTTTAACTATAGAAGCAAATTGGGTGAAACCTTTTTACATAAACTTATAGAGAAGAGAAAGACTGAGACTTTTTTAAAAATACTAAATTTATTTTAAGAAATAATAGATGAATAGGGTAAAAGCAAAGTTAAAAATATCTTTTTAAATTCTATTACTAAAAATGATATTTATAATGTTTTAATATTCTAAAATTCTGGTGCATCTACGATCATCGAAATAGCTGTAATTCATAAATTTATGGATATATATTAAATGCTTGACAATTTTATTTCAGTTAACTATGGTTCAAAATAAGGACTCAAATTTAAATTGATTAATTATTCTATTGAATTAGATCATCTTACAAAGTTACCTCAAATTTAACTATAAGATGAAGAAAATTATAAATTTATTAAAAAATTTTCAGAAATAACATAATTAACAGATAAAGAATTGTAATTTTTTGAGACAGTCTTAAGATAACATAAATAAGGTAAAATTAATTTATCCTAATTTTATTCATAAATTTAATCCAAAAAATAAGTTATTGTTGTTGAATCAGAGGATCATCTAAAATAATCATGTATTGATATTATTCAAAATTATACTATTTTGGGAGTTGATATTGAGCATTACTCTGATAAAGTAGATGAATTCAAAATATCCTTTGCTTGCACTATTTAATTATCTACTGTAGAAATGGATTATATAATTGATGTTATGAAATTGAGGCATGTCTGTAATAAGTATTTAACTCCGATTTTCGAGAATTAAAAACTATTAAAGATTTTTCATGGTTGCGAGGTTGATTTAAGAGTTCTTTTTAGTGATTTAAAATTAATGGTTAAAAATATATTAGACACTAGCAAAATTGATATGGCTTTAATTAAATCACCTAATGCTTAGTCTTTTAAAAAATTATGCAAGCAATATTTAAACATCCCTTTTAACCAACTTTATCAAACATCTGATTGG